CCCACGCTCTAAAATGGCAGCTTGTGCAACACCAGCAGTATGGACAGGTGCATTATTGTGCAAAAGACGCACGCCTCTGGTCAGTTTTCCTCGACGTTTTACACGTATGCAGTCTCGCAATTTATGTAATAATGCTGCGTAATATTTATCATTGACGGTGGTATTAGTTTCTTCAAAATTTATCAAAAGAATTCCTTTACAATCCCAAAAGATCGTGGCCATCACCTTTTTTGTTGACTGGCAGACTCTTGGAGGTGCTCCTGCCCCATTCGAAAACGTTTTGCCCATTCTTTCAATACAGAATACGAAGGAGAACTTTGGCCGTACACACCGTCTAGCCTTTCTTTAATAATTTTAGGTGCTAACCCTTCTTTTGTTAAAAACTTTATGACTGCTCTATACCCAATTTGCGTTATTTGCGACATTTTTTCGGACACGTCTTGTTTAAAATACCGTCGATAAAAAACTCTTTGACGCAAGACTTCAATTTTTTTTCGAAGCCTACAAAGATATATATTTAAAAGAAGACAAAGTTTTATCGTGATACTGGAGCTGCATCTATGTCAGGATATAAATGTGAATTAAATGTTTGATTTAATATTAAAATTTTTCCTTTTTTTTCAAGTCTGTATTTTCCGCGATAACGCGTAGGCCTATAATAAACTATCCACTTTCTAGAACATCATAGAGTCCAAATAAAACTCGCCCAATCGAAATCCTACAGGAATTTCACGGAACGCGTGATATAAATATTCATCGTCCGCAAAATGCCATTGCAAGACTTCGTTCTAGAATCGGATACTTGTTTCAAGTGAAATCGAACACTCCGTGCCGAGGAACGAGGCATATGGTCCCTCGGAGACTCGGCTTTAGTCGTCTGAAATTTAATACTTTAAATCCCCCGCAGGAATTAACTCCCGCGTAGTCCACGAATTTCAGCGGTATTTTGTTAATTAAGGGAACGAGCTTCAACATCCGACGGAATAATCCGAACAAATTTTTAAATAAATGCACGGCCACTCTCGTCTCGTTAAATAAATTATTATTTTTTTCTTCGTAGGAAATAATTGGATAAAGTTCGTGTTATCCTGTACCGTTGGTATTTCCGGAAGTTTTGATATGTTTTTCTTTAAAGCAATGCTTAAATGTGGAGGACGCCTTGCACTGCCGAACAATCCTGGATTAAATACAAGGAGTTGAGAAATCTTGCAAATATGGCTGTTAAGTCGGAGAAAAAGGCTTTTTTACAACACAAGTTTCTTACTAAGTACACTAAATACAGATGTCTCAAATATTACGGATGCTAATGAACTTGATCAATGCTTTTATAATAATATCCCTCAAACAGACTTAAATAATGATTTCATTAATAAGTTCCACAACAACAATAACTCTTTAAATCCAGAAAAATTTTCATTTTCAAGTGTTGACCCTAACGAAGTAGGAACTGATGCCGTGGGGTCTGATGGGATTGATAGGAAGATGATATTATGCGTTGTCCCCAACTTTTTCCGCATATTACGTATATTATTAATAAGTGCTGGTCTACTAACAAATTCCCTAAACCCTGGAAATACGCTAACGTCATTCCTGTCCTTAAATCCTCTCAACCGCATGATGTTTCTCAATTCCGACCTATTAGCATCCTCCCTATTATATCTAAAGTGCTAGAAAAAGTTGTTAAGAAGCAGCTTGGTGATTTTATAGTTCGCACAATATTCTACCCCCAACGCAATCGGGCTTTAGGGCACATTATGGTACAAATACGGCTCCTTTAAAAGTTTGTGGTGATATATTTCTGGCAAATGATGTAGGCTTGAATACCTGCTTAATATTGCTTGATTATAGCAAGACATTTGACACCCTGGACCACCGCCTGTTCTTTGCCAAACTGAAATGCTTTGATGTGGGGGCTGGTGTGTTGCAGTTTTTCAAAAATTACCTTTCTGATCGGTGTCAAAGAATATTCTTCAATAACAGCTATTCCAATTATGTAAATATTCGTAAGGGTGTGGCACAGGGTCGTATTTTAGGTCCGATGCTGTTTTACGTTTATACCTCCGACTTCTGTAAATTTATTAAGCATTGTTCCTCCCGCATACGACACTCTAGTATATCTCTTTTAATTACTCTCAAATTAATACCGCTTTTAAAAATATAAACAATGACCTGCGTGCTCTCAGCTTCTAGTAAGCATGGTCTGTTAACGAAAATAAGACGCAACTTATAATTTTTGGTAAAGATAAAGGAAAAATAGTTAATCTAGACGCTGCCAAAATTTACTTAAATGACATTCTCTTACGGCCGGTTGTCGAAAGCAAAAATCTGGATCTGCATTAGGATAATAATCTGCGTTTTGAAGGTCACCAAGCTTCATTGATCGAAAAATCGTTTTACAAGCTTCAGATTCTCTACTGTAATAAAGATATTCTAGACACAGCAATTAAGTTCTCTCCTCAATTTCGTACTGTATGGTAGTTTACTGGCCTGCCCTATTTCAAAAGGACAAAGTTAGTCTTCAGCGTCTTCAGAATGGCTGTGTCAGATTCTCATACAACATTCGTAAATTTGATCACATATCTACTAGCCTAGAGGATTCTCGCTGGCTAACATTAGACAAACGTTTTAAATCACAGATTTAGTCTCCATTAAAAAAGTAATATCCCTCCAACGTCCGACGTATCTTATTGCCAAGCTTACTCATGAATCAGACATTCATTCGGTTAATACTCACCACAGGGGCCGTTTACCGTTCCCAAACATACTTCAGTACAGTTCCACGCAGTTTCGCGTATAATGCTTACAAGACTTACAACAAACTCCCTCTCCAACTGAGATCAATCACCTCACTAATTTCATTAAAAAAAAAAAACAAAAAAAATAGAGGCCGATCATAAAACTAGTAACTATCAAATTGTTTATATGTATTTCTTTTTTGAATTCACTCTAGCAGTGTTAAAATTATTAAAAATGTTTTTTTTCACAATTTAACTCTACCATTACCACCTAGTTTTTCCTGTGTTATAAGTTGCAATATTCGATATTTTTCATTTCTCATAAGAGTTCCTTATTTTTATTCAAGATAGTATCGTGAGTTACATGGTATGTCCATCATTCTACGATAGCACCACACATCAACACTCCATAGAGCATTACAGAGGACACGTAACATTTGAGGAATCACAGCCATATTTGCAGATTAAGGTTTAGTTTACACAGAATGTTTCTGAAGCGGTTAAATGCTATCGGTACTTTTTCAATTCGAGTAATAATTATCCGAAAATGATCGCATCGTTCGTTCAAGCTGCAACCAAGATACGGAAATGTTTCTACTTTTTCGAGGTCAGTGTTTTTCAAAATAAATAAGAACTAAAAGTTCAGATTTTCACGAAATTATATATTATGACATGACAATAGTTTCGACAACACCGTGTCTTTATCAAAATATGATAAAGACACGGTGTTGTCGAAACAATTGTCATGTCATAATATATAATTTCGTGAAAATCTGAACTTCTAGTTCTTATTTATTTTGATACTATTTTTTATTTTATAAATAGCGTCATATGCTCGTTTTAGGGGGTTGCATGAGAGCAGCTATGTTGGATGCCGCCTCCACAGTTATATATTTTGTGAGATATCTCCTTCGCAACCGAATAAAGGCCCTTTATTATTGTTACTTTTCAGGATGATTTTTATGTTTATACAGGTTGGCCCAAAAGTGCTAACATTATCAATGTTATAGCATTTTTGGATTCGTTATTAATATATGTGTTAAAATCTAATCTAGTTTTAGACTGTCAAAAATAATGTATGTGAAGTAATTAACGTTTAAAACTAAAAAACTTATTATCCCCATACAGAGTTAAATGTAATCAAATGGAGCATTATTTTTTTGACCAACTACAAAGTATACTTTTTAATTAATTTAAATAACTAATTCGTTCTCGTTAGTTAGTTAGTTAGTACCGTGTCATGTCCATTTCTAAAATTTACCTATTAATTCTTAATTTAATTTCCTCGTTAATTCTTATTTCTATGATCAAACTAAAAAAAATTACACTTTCTTGGTTAACGTTTTAGGTTAGCACTGAATTCCGGTTCAATAAATTGTGTCTTTAAAATTTAAGGAATTTTTGAATTTGAATTTATATGACACGAGCGCCATCTACCTTGAGATTCATGAAATGTCTAGCGAATCGTGGTGAAAGTACGTCACGAAGTTGAAAGAGTCTATATGATTTGAAAATTAGAAATTTGTTTCTCGTTCTTCACGCTTTGAAGTTCAGGCTTTGATTTTTACAGATACATAAATTTTTTTAAAAAGTCTAGTAGTGAAACTTAGAACAGAATATCTACGCATTAATTGTATTATTTTATATTTATATATTTTGCATCAATTTATAAGGTGATTTGTGTGGAATTAGGTTTCTCCCTGCGCCTATGGTCACTCTTTAACTTAGTTGTTCTGATTAGAATCCCTCCGTTTTATTACTCCGCACCAATTAAAAGTTGACTTTAGTTCTCCAGAACTTTTAGGAGAGACAAAAGTCGAATCACTCTGTATAACCCTTTCGGAACTGTACGTATTATGTAACTTTGATTTGTTTAATTGCATTGCCAATTTCATTGTCCCATAAAAGAAGCATTGAGCCGTAAAATTAGAAGTTGCGATAACATATTTGTTTACCCGCAAATAATTCCGTAACAAAAGAATTTGCATCGTTAAATGTCGATCCAAAGGCTCGCGCCAATTAAACTACTTTATTGGCGCGCTCTTAATTACCGGCTGTCAAAATGTTGTTTTAACCTGATTGAACCACTTAAGCGCGCCATTTAACGTTTTGATCCATTATCGAAACGCCGGGAAGTCAACTTCCGGTCTTGTCTTTTTGTAAAAAAAAATGTTTTTGTTAGAAGGTATCGGAAATCATATCTCGCTGAAGCATTTTTTTTTCTCAAAATCCATAGGAGATTGCAAAAAGGACTACTTATAGGGTTTATTATTTATTTTTAAAACTTTTTGTGCAAAGTATTATTTAATTATTGTTGTAATTAGAAATATCCTTTACAACCTCATTCGTGAGTATGCTAATATTTTTTCCATAAAGTCCATCCAGGTGGTTAAATTTCGGTAACGGGATGAGGTATGTTTTGACAACGTTTGGAAGCTGTGAAACCACGGAACTGAAAAGAATCTGTAAAAAAAGTGAAATCAAACTATTTAATCTGATTAACTCTCTATCAAAAGTTTTCTCATTTCTGTATCGGCCACGGTTGCGTAGCAATATTCGATAGTCTCATTGGGGCATAGGATATTTCAAATTATTTATTTTACTAGATATTATTTGAAATATAGTTGCGTAAAAAAAATTGAAATGTTATCCGTTATCAAAAGTCGAACTGTTTAATCGCATAAATCTGAAAATTTGGTTGCTCATTTTGCTTTTTTCTTTGCTACGCATGACAGCTTCGACGTCCCAAGTTTTTCATTAAGCTGGTAACTGGGGCGTTCAGAAAAAAAATACATCATGAACGTTCGCAAAATAAATTCTTACTTCGTTGTTGACCCACCAATCATCTTCTCCATAATAAATCGATATCGGAGTCTTGACGATACTCAAATCGTAGCTGGTAGGCTCAGAGTGATTGTAGACTTGCCAGTTTTTCTTTTCCCCGTAGTCGTATGGTCGAAATTTTCCTGTCAAAAATTTTGTTACAAGTGAGAAGATCCGCAGGAAGGGTTGTTTTTATTTTTTCTATTTCTTTTGTAGCATGTTTGCTTGTAATGGATATGATTTCATAGTTATTGTTTGTGCTAATACTCTACTCGTATAATACTCAAATATGCACCCTCCAAGCATGCGCAAAGTGTCATATTCAGACGTCAACCACTCTCGCGAGCCACTTCTGACGTTTGTCATACCTCGGTGCGTATAAAGTTTGTTAGTTCTGATGTTCACATCACACGTCACTGTATTTTCACTTGAAAGTAAAATTGAAAAATAAATATTTTCCAAATTTTCAGATCTTCCAGGAACTCTAAATTTATACTCTGTATTATCATTTTGGGGTTCTAGATGGAATATGTATAGGGTGGGCTGTTAATCTGCGGACAGTACCTTATATCACAAACTATGCGGGACCGAATACCTGGCATATTATTTCATTTTTGAATTCTATTCAAAATTCTAGACATGTTTTGAGTATAATGTTCTATATCTAATTCTAACCGTTTTTAATTTTTTATGCGAAAATTGACGTGTGCAAGACGTAAAATATCTGCCAATTTCTTTATTCGGAAGCATTTATTATTCCACTTGAGTAAGTTTTGTTGACTACGAAGGACTCGAATAACGGGTTTTCTAAGAAATTTCGATACATATTAATACAGGGTAGGCGAAAAATAAGATTAAAAATGAAATTAAAAAAACTGCCAATTTTTTTTAATGGAAACTAACTATTTTTGTAACCTCATATTTAGCATCAAAAATCATCACGCATATGCAAATTTATATAATATTGCCTTAGTTTTTGATGCTAAATATGACGAGGTAGGTAGGTAGGTAGTTTCAATTAAAAAAAAAAAGTTTTTTGTCAGTCTTTTTAATTTCGTTTTTACCCTGTATGAATATGGATCGAAATTTCTTATGAAATCCGTTATTCGAGTCCTTCGTCTACAACAAAATTTACTCAAGTGAAACAATAAATGCTTCCGAATGAAGAAATTGACAGACATTTTACTTCTTGCATACGTCATTTTTTGCATAAAATATTAAAAATATCATAACGGTTAGAGTTGGGGTAGGACATAATAAACAAAATATGTCTAGAATTATGTATACATTTCAAAAATGGAAGTAATATACCAGGTGTTCCATTTAAAATAATAAAGATGACACTCGTTCACAAAAAATAAACACCCTGGATATACAGCTTTTGTCTCCATCCCATATAGTTTTTGAAATGAGATAGTGTCCCAAGATAAACGGACCACTCTATACATATTTTATCAACACAAAAGTGACTGCGTTGTAACACTATTGTAATATTTTTGTCCCTACTGTGATGGATCAATCGTGAACATCAAAACACCTTAACATTAACAAAGGGCTGTTAGGCTTACTTGGGCTTGTGGCTAAATTCTTTCTTTTTTCAGATAGTTTAGAAATAAGTTTGGTGGATTAAAGGCATTATTTCCGATAAGGGCTATTTAGCCGGAAAAATTACCAGAAGATGCTCCTTGTAAGTAATGCTCCCATTGTCTAATTGATATTCTTACTGGAAAATTCGTAAAAGCATGCGGAACCAAAGCCTGAAACAAATAACTCGACTCAAGATAAACAATATAAACATTAGCATGGCCTATGATGATTGTCTATCATATACTCACATAATCAAGTTGGCCATAGGAATATCCAAATAGATGGGCCAATTCAGCGCAAAAGTACTTCAATATTGGCAATCGGCAGAATTTCCATACACCAGAAAAATCAGCTCCCTCTATTAGTCGTAGTGGCTAAAAGGACAACTTTAGTATGGCATACGAAAGACGGTACCAACAATTGAAAAAGACGATAGTGTTTTTATTTTTAATTCTTGCTTGCTTATATTTAACGAATTTTATTGATAAATAACACAAAATGTATACTTACTGGAAATATAATCCATGGAATTTTTTTCGCTAGCGCTACGAAGGGGGATTTTATTTTGTACATGTTCGTAACTGGCGAAAGGACATACGCCGCCGCAATTTTGTCGTAATGGGTGGGCCTTTTATATCCCATTGCCAAAAATGAAGTAAATCCTTGAGCCCAACATAAATAGATTAACTTGTTATGGCCGGTTACGTTTAAAATTTTGTCTACACTATCGGGAACGTCATATATACCGATCTCGTGGTAACTGAAATGCGAATAATTGGGCATTTTTAGGTGGGTGTTTTTCGAAAATGTACATTTTTGAAAGTGGATGTAATATTTCTGGTATGGTAACTTTTGCGTTTCATTGAAAATAATTACAGAGCATTTTTTACACAGAATTTAATGGCCTAAATATAAATTATTACTAATGTTTTATTAGTTATTCACCGAAAAATCGACACATGGGATGATGGGAGTTTTTCTGGAAAAAGAAGTTTTGCCCAAATTCTGATTATGGTTGCATAGACGCTATCAAATAAATTTCAAAAAATCAACGGCAAACGCATTCTCGATTACATTTGTCTAGGTACCACTTGAACCATAGCCCTTATCTGGTATCGTGTGGAATGTGTGTTTTTTAAAGCATTCCAAGGTTAGTTCTTGCTAGTCTAGTCTCCTTATAAAATTATTTTTGGCGGTTCCTTGTAATTCATAAGGAGTTCATGTATAGCATTTTGGTCACCTCTTTTCAAACTGATTACTGTTAATCTTTCCTTCAGACTTTAAAAAAACACTATTACATCCCATTTACGAGGACAGCGCCAAAATTTCCCGGCCTGAATATGAAAGAAACAAAGTAGAGTAACAATTTTATATTATTTTTCAATATAATCCCCCTTAGCTTCAATACACTTATTACATCTCTTTATTAACAACTCAATCCCTTTAAAAAAATATTCTTTTGATTTGTCTGCAAAATGAGCAGTCTCTTTTAACTCTATTTCGTCGTTAAACCGACGTCCACGTAAATCCTTTTTCAAATATCCAAGCAAATAATAGTCGCTGGGGGCCATATCTGGACTATAGGGAGGATGATCTATCTGTTGGAACGCACACTCTAAGATGGCAGTTTGTGCAACACCAAAAGTATGGACAAGTGCATTATCCTGCAAAAGACGCACGCCTCTGGTCAGTTTTCCTCGACGTTTTACACGTATGCAGTCTCGCAATTTATTTAATAATGTTGCGTAATATTTACCACTTTAAAATCTATCGAAAGAATTCCTTCACAATTCCAAAAGATCGTGGCCATCACCTTTTTTGTATCTCCCGTCGCAATAGTTTCTATCACGACCCACAGAGTTCCAAAAACCTTATGCATACCTAAATTATCGTGCAGGATTCGACGAACCCTTCTATCAGAAAACTCAGTAATTTCTGAGATTTCCTTGACCTTTAAACGTCGATCACTCAATACCACCTCTTCCACAATCGCAACGATATCTTCCGTTATGACCTCCACTGGTCGACCAGTTCTTGAATCATCTTCAAGGGACTCCTGCCCCATTCGAAAACGTTTTGCCCGTTCTTTCACTACAGAATACGAAGGAGAACTTTGGCCGTATACACCATCCAGCCTTTCTTTAATAATTTTAGGTGCTAACCCTTTTTTTGTCAAAAACTTTATGACTGCTCTATACTCAATTTGCGTTATTTGCGACTTTTTCTTGGACACGTCTAGTTTAAAATGCTGTCAATAGAAAACTATCTGACGCAAGACATCTTTTTTTTTTCGCAGCCTACTAAGATATATATTTAAAAGAAGACAAAGTTTTATCATGATACTGAAGCTGCATCTATGTCAGGCCGGGAAATTTTGGCGCTAACCTCGTATATGGTAACTTCGAGCAAAATATCATACATACTATATTTTTGGAAATGTAATTTTCAATTTTTGAAAAATACACAAGTTGTCCCATATAAAAAATTAATTTTTCGGTTGATTACTCGTTAACTATTGATTTTAAAAATATTATATTGATACCACTAAATTCTGCGTAACAAGCTACTTTGGAAATGTTTTTTCATAGAATCAAAAATTTTGCATAACAAAAAGGTTAAAGCAAATTTTTAATAATGATCATTTTAAAGCTTTTTTTAATGAAAATGAAGCTCCAGTAATCGACATTAGCTTTTCTTCTATAGTAAAGGGAGCTTCCCTTTAAAACTGTCCAGTTTGGTCCACCATGTACATTTCCACGTATACGATATAGAAAAATGTTCGAATAAGCACATCATATGCACCTCACAAAAATTATGATCAACTCTTTTCCAAAACTCCTAGTTACTAGATTGATGAACCTTTTGAAGCCAATATCAAAAAATGTTGACGACAGACGTTCACTACTTGCATGCGGTAGTTATTTCAAAACTCGGCTTTTGTTGTTTTGTATATTATATAGTATATATATATATATATATATATATATATATATATATATATATATATATATATATATATATATATATATATATATATATATATATATATATATATATATATATATATATATATATATATATATATATATATATATATATATATATATATATATATATATATATATATATATATATATATATATATATATATATATATATATAATATATATATATATATATATATATATATATATATATATATATATATATATATATATATATATATAGTATATATATAATAGTATATTATGCAACAAGTGCGGTAAACGGCATTTGACTGACGAGTCTAGTTGACACGAGCGGAGCGTAGCGGAGCGAGTGCTTAATAAACGAGTGACTTAAAAAGTTTACTGAACATGTTGCGTACTATACTTCTTCTACGACCGTTAATTTTTGGGTACATTTTCGCAAAACAACACGAATACATTCACTGACATGACCGTCAAAATTGACAAACGTCAAAATTCAAACCGTGCCGTAAAATCTCCGAAAACATCCGATTGCTCCCAAACCCGTGCGGTAGAATCCCAGAAATGTCCGAAGTGGCTCGGATCCGTGGGAAACGAGACTGACGTGGTAAAGTGGCGCTTCCCGCGCCCTAGATCGGTGTGTAATTCGGCATTTTACAGACGGGAGTAGAAAAACATATTTGTATCAAAAAAATAGATCTTTTTCTTCGCACGAAATATGAATTTTTCCAATAATTTCGTTAAACTTTAGATAGAATAAGTTAAATTATTTATCTTAATTATTCCGCTGGCAGTGGTTTGGTCGTTTGACGACATTCATATCAAGACACGTCACACCTTTTAAATATTTCATTCTCTCAGTTACCTAAACTTGTCAATGTCCTCGTGAGAATTTGCAGACGATTTAGTCGGCTTTTTGGAATACTGATTGCCTCTCGAGTTACCCAACCAGACATCGTATCCAGCATCCGCCAACATAAAAGCGTAATCTTTTTCTGGTCCTTTAACCACCCAGTTCATAGACGATCCGTAAAAGCCGTGCATTAGTAATACCGGATTTTTTTTATTTTTAGTCGGGCTTTTTTTTCTTCCGCCAGGAATTCGATGCAGAATCAAAGTAAACCCATCTCTAGTTATTACATTATGAATTTCTACTGCGTATCCGTATTTGACTATCAGGTTGTCCTAAACAGGAAATAACGGCGAACACGCAAGAACAAGATGTCGCTACTTACTATGTCCGAATTTTTTGCGCTTGTCGAACCCAGCAAAGTGAACGCTACCAAACAAGATAGAGCGAAGAACTTCATCGCTTTGAAGTAAACGAACGAATAGTTTAGGCATCGAAATAATGCATTTTAGCAAAATGGGATCGACAATACCGATACATCGCTGTCTATCTGTTATCAGTAAAAATGTGATGGCCCATAGTAATTTCGCACTAGAATTTGTAGCGAAATAGTCTTCAATTACTGGCGCCCACTGTAAGTATCGCAAAATGCGTTAGGTGCAATTTTAATTTTTTGTTGTTCTTATTCCGTATCTGTATGTAATAGAAATGGACTTAACTTCACTTATGGAAATTTTTTTAAGCCAAGCGAAATTTGTAAACGATAAATGCATAATTGTGGTTTATTGCAAAATGTATTTGTTGAAATGACTTTAGGTGATACTTTTCATTCGTGTCTGTCTTTCACTTGGCTTGTTTCGCTAAAGGAAAAGGAAGAAAGATGAATCAATAATTCACATTAGACGGACATAAAACTTCCACAGCCAACTCTAATATAATATAACAGTTAAGCTCTGAAGAATCCAAAATGATGATTAACGCAACGTCAGCAGGTTCGATTTGTCAACAATAAAAATATCAAATCATTATCAATAATCAGCACATTTAGAACCACGATCTAGACGAATATAAAGACAAACTCTTTCTCAGACTTCTTTTCTTATTAAGGGAGCGAGAAGCTGTAGAAGTAATTCTAACCTCGTTTTATCCATTCGAAGATGATTGAGATATTGAGAGTCTGAGTCAAGATCTTCATTTAATAATTTCTTTAACAAAGATTCTGAAGTTCAAATGATATTTCTGTTCCAAGGCGAATAACATTCATTTGTATGTTATTTTGTCCACACAGCTACTAGATAGCCATATGGAGGCCTGCCTATATACCGCCCACAGTTTTTGGTAATATTTTCTCAAAATATACAGTGATCCCGTTAAAATGTCAGAAAAAAATGGCAGAAAGTGCAGGTCAGTGTGTGAAATATCATGCACGGTCTACGATTAGCTACGGTAACTACATTGTCTAATAGCTATAACTTACAAAAACTGTACCAAATACACTTTTAATGATTGCGCGTGATGAGCTTGCCATTCTCTAGTGAGTTTCTACAAAGGTTAGGTTTCGTTTATGACATAGTCTTGTAGACGTACTAGTAACAAAACTATTCAAAAAAATCGATAGCATTTGGCTGCAAATTTTTAAAATATATTTGTAGAGTTATCGAGCAAATACTCTTTGTTGGAATACTCTGTATATCTTTGCATTGCCTTTTGTATTGTAGGTAAATAATTACAAAGATGCAAAGCAACTTTTAAAATTTATCCTTGAAGAGATAAAATAGTCTATTTATGTTTTAAAATTCCCTAAGGTAATTATTATAATGTTATCTAGTTGGTGGAAAATTTTCAGTATTTCCAATTGCTGTGTTTTCAAAAACTGTGCTTAATTAACTAATAATAATTTAGCACTGGAATGAATAACAGTTTTTTCCATTCAATTTTATAGTCACATAGTTTGATTTGGTGCGAGCGGACCAAGTGTTTAATAAACGAGTTACGTTGCATATCTTTTGTATACTTTGTTTTTGAAAAAACACTGTGTTGCAAGTGAATATTGGCCGTTGTGGTGATAACAGCTAATTTTAAGAAATAACAATTAATACGACCTCATAAACAATAATTATTCATCAAACTTACGTTTATAACCACTACTGCACCACAACTTTATTTAGAACACTGGACACGTGTTTCGCCAACCAAGTTGGCATCATCGGCAGATGGGGTTTCCAACAAACACTTGCGACTGTTTTACAATTTCGTAAATTTGTCTTTCTTTCTTATATTAATTGTCCCTATTTGTGAATATTAAAAGTAAAACCACATTGGAATTTAATATGAAAACTCTACTAGATAAAAAATAGTACATTTTGTGGTATTGAGGTTCATTGCATCTTCATAAATGTTCCTGGAAACTGCGACTGTATGAGTCGATGAATTCCACAGTTTTGTTTGTAAGCGATGAAATATTTTTGCCCAACATAAAATCGCCATGGTTGAAATCCTTATAGGGAACCTTGTAAATTTCTACCACGTTTGGCATTTGTTTCGCCACGGATGTTAAAAGAATCTGAAAGCGTAAAAAACTTTAATATAATTATCACTTATCTTCATATTCACCCAGTAAAACAAAATTTCACTGTGCAAATATATTCTCTGGTACTGGTAAGGACAGCAAGTTACGGAAAGGACTGTACGAAGGTAAACAGAGAATCCGGCTTATTTTTAGGTAAATAAAATGGAGAGAAAAGAAGTAGCCAACGCCATAGCACCGAAAATTAGAAAAAAAACCTTAACTAAAGTCATCATACTAGGCAACCAAAATAAGGTTGGAATATAGTGGAGTGGAGGGGACCAAAATAACGACCCTGTAGCATAAAAATAATTAAAAATCTTACCTCGTTGTTGATAAGATAGTCGTCTTCTCCGTAATAAAATATTATGGGAGCTCTAATCTTCTTGAGGTCGTAAGATGGAGGTTCTCGGTTGTTATATATTTTCAAATTTCCTTCCAGACCGTAGTCGAAAGCTCTAAAATATCCTTAAAATAGAAAAAGTCATTTCAGTTAGTGCTTAAATCAGTCGCGTTACCACGCTACTACCGGCTCAATGCAATGTCATGTTTAATTCATAATTGTTATTGGGAAATAGATAATACATTTCTTTAAATTTTGGGATGCGTTGGGATATTTATATTTGATATATAGGAGGAAGTACTGCCCAATTACTTATTCTATTATGAAACTCAAAATTCTAGCTTATATTTTCAAATGCACACTCCAAGTTTGCACGAAATGAACAGAATTTCAAGTAAGGAATAAACTCAATACAATACCAATACAATGGACAAGAGAAGAATATAATTAACGTGATTTTAATAATTCTCCATTAGTGGATAAAATGGGTTAACACTAGAAGATGGTACTTACTTCTGACACTGCAATAATTAATGACAACCAACATGAAAACTGATAGAATAACTGGTTCCACAATCTGAATGTTCAGAATCGAAACATGCCCAAAGTACAAAAAAGATTGAAATCAGATATACGAGGTGTGTTAAAAAAGAAAGGCGACTTTTGTAATTGGCTAGGTACATTCGATCTTCAATATTTTTTTTCTTATATTGGTACACATGTTCCGAACATATGCTCACAGTTTCAGCCAGTTTGCACGTTTACTTTTTTCATGTGAGACAGAAGCGTTAGACGTGTTTTCTGTGCTCGGCGATTTTCTGCTGTCAAAAAATGAATGGAACAAAGAATTTTGCATAAAATTTTGTGTAAAAAATGGAATACAGAGCTGCAAATACTTTGAGCAAAGATGGCGGAGAAGACGCCGATGACGAACCTCGCATTGGACACCATAGCACTGCGACAAGTGAAACAAATGGTCTTAAAAAATCATCGAATCACTATTAGCGAAGTGACTGCTCATGCCATGCAATTTTTTGCGAGTGTAGGGGCAACATTTTTTCCGAAACTGTTTTGAACAAAAGGACCGTGGAAGTAACATCGTTCAATAGCTGTTAAATCATAGATATATGGTTATGACGTCGAAAGCAAAGCCCAGTCGTCCCAATGGAAGAACCCAGAAGCACCAAGACCGAAAACAGCACGTCAATTTCGATCAAATGTTAAGGTGTTGCTTACTATTTTCTTTGATTATCGTGGCGTAGTACATCAAGTGTTCTTCCCACTACGTCGTACGGTCAATAAAGAGTTTTAGCTTGAAGTTATGCGAGAAGCAATACGAAGAAAACGTTCGGAATTTTGGAAAAACAATTCATGCATTTTGCATCGCGATCATGCATCTGCTCACTCATCGGTGCTTGTTTCTAACTTTTTGACCACAATTATGCCTCAGCCACCATATTCACCGGATATGGCCCCCTGCGACTTTTTCCTGTTCTCAAACTCAAGAAACCCATGAAAGGAAGGCGGTTTGGGGGGATTGAGGACTTTGAAAGGGGCAACATTAAGTTTGATAAATAAATAAATACTTTTTGATACAATTTACCTTACTTTTTGAACACACCTCATATCAATACGTAAATTAAAGATGTTTACCAGTTTGAGATCCTTGAATGTAATGATGTAATTGTTTTATGGACATTCCTGCAGGATAATTGATTAATGCCGTTGGCAACAAGCTCTAGGGACAAGAAAATATCAAATTTTGCTTTCGTTTGTTTTTCTTACTTACCGTGTCCGTGTGCTTATACGAGGCTCCTACAGGATGTAGTAATGATAAAATTATGGAATCTCCCCAAGGGATTCGGCAAACAAGTCTTAACAGTGGTGCCAGTGTATTGGGCAGCATATCGTACCAACCAATAGTCTCGAAGATCTATGTAAAACATAAAAGGACAATAAAAAAAAATCACAACTTTTATTGTAAGGAAGGGAATACAGTTTTCATTCCATTCCATGTGAAATGTGAATATTTTATTTCAAACTAATCATCAACTATAACCATGTTTCCCCGATATTAGAATTGATTGCATATTTTCTTTAATTTTTTTTTAAAGAAAAAATACAGAAATACTGAATTCGACATTTACTGTTTCGATCCTATATTTCGATATTTGTTGACGCATACCGTGCGTTCATTTTATCTTGATAATAATTTAATTTGCTCTCACTTTTTGCTTTTTTGAGATATCAAGGTAAACAAAAAAAAACAAAATGCAAGGTTAGTTTTGGTTAGTGACGCATAAAACATATCACTTTCAGTGTGCTAACATGTAAGCTACATTATATTTTAGTCCACTCGTTTTTGAGAAATCGGCAAAACTAGGAAATTTTTGATATCATTTCAAACAGTGCCGTGACTGACTGCAACAGCCATAATTATTTGCAAATTAAAGTAGAACAAAAACACTAAAAATGACAAGACACAGTAAACTAAAAATTCTTTAACTATTCTAATTAGTTTTCATACATTTTCCTGAACACATTTCTCATACACTCTAATTGTATGATGTCTTGCATTTAGTAGCGTTTTCGGGATTGTCTCTTAACTGACTGCCTTTTTTTTTATGCGTCTTCAAAAAAAAAATCCATTAAAGTTAAGTCAAGGCTGTTGTTGTAAGAAAATTTTTAACTTGTACAACATGGTGATGATTCGCACCGTTTTGCTGCCATATAATCAGCGCTGATATATTTAGGGGTAAATCTTCAATATATTGTTCTAATTGGTCCTCAAAGAATTGCAAATAATGATCTCCAGTTAACTTTTGATCTTTAAATATCGGACCCAAAATATGCCCATCTATGACACCACACTATACATTAATTGATTGGTACCCCTGGGTTTCTATTTCGTGTATTTGTCTAGCATTATTTAAAGACCAATATCGGGTATTTTGTCTATTACAACCCTTTCTTGTAGTGAAAGAACTTTCATCAGTCCATAAAATGTTTTTCAAAAAAATATTATTCTCCTTATGTCTATTTAAAAAATCCTTTGACATTGTTAACATTGTTCTGCACTTAGTTTTGAAGTTTTACGAAATTTAAATGCATTAGATTTATATTTTTTCAAAACTGAGTGCCTTGATCCTCGAGAAATACCTTTTCATATACTCTAGTAATAGAAGAAACTGGATGTGCTTAATACAATTCTAATATGTTTACCTTATTATCTTCATTTAAAATATTATGATTCCGGCATACCTTTTTAGCATTTAATAGATTACAGTTTCCTGCAAATATGTGTTTTGAAGGAGCTTAGCGCTCTGAGCAAAGTCTAATATACTGACGACGCGCTGCGGTTGCACTTTTATTATTCAGAAAGTATACTTGAAGCATATCACTCCTTTCACGCATGCTAAATTCTCGAAAATCATTTTAACAATAATGACTGCACCAATAATTCAACCATCAACGTTGTCAATTAATATGTCAAACATAAACATATTTTTATTTGTCATTCAGGGCACTTTCTGAAATTATATAAAAATTTCCTATTTTTGCCGATTTATCAAAAACGAGTGGACTAAAATATAAAGTGTGTTGCATCATTGCAAATGGGAATAATATTCTATTAAACACATATATAATAGACAGGGTGTTTCCTTAAAAGATATATGATGTAAGCTTATATGTCAGAAAATTGATAGTGTTTTGTTTGATACGTCACTGGGAAAAAAACTTGGCTACTAACCCTACATTTTGTTTTTTTTTTTTTTGGTTACCTTGATATCTCTAAAAACTAAAAAGTTACAGCCAATTGAAATGTTTTCCAGATAAATTGAACACACGGTACAACTGAATGTACGTGGTGGTCAGTTTTTCAGTGCAATTGTATGGGTAACTTCTAAACCGTTAAAGATATAGTATTGTAATTTATTAAATTAATTCCAATTTTACAAAAAAAAGTCTACAAAACTTGCAAAGTTCAAAATGTGTTTCTTCGGAATTCACTAAACTAAAATTTTATAATTATTACTCCTTGGCAGTTGCTCGTTTTCGAGGAAATAACAATTGAAAATCGGAATGTTCACAATTTTGGGTTTAATTTTCTCGTAATGGTGTGCGTATTAGTCAATGAAATAGTCTGTTAATCGTATTCCTTAATCAGCAATTAAATTAGAGCAAACTAGAATAACTGAGACAAAAAATTTAAAGAGGTAAATTATTCATATTAAAAAAAAATCATTTCAAATGTCCAATCAATTTGATGAATTAAAAGTTAAACTTGAAAAAGTCGCCATGCTAAATAATGAGATTTTCTGTGCATATTAGACATGGGGATTAGCAAAGTCACAAACTTCTAAAATTAAAATTGAAATTAGTAAATTAATATTTTTTTTTTGTTTTAAATGATTTGCAATGATCAATATACCCCGTAATGGTACTTTATGTACAGCTCACCTTAAATATTGAGGGATGATCCTTAGCAAATCGCAAAAGAGGACTTGTGATATTATACATATTGGTCACCGGGGCATAAGCATTCATCAGCAAAATTTTGTCGTTGTATTCGGGCCTCATGCTAGCCATCACGACAAATGCCGTAAAACCTTGCGACATACCAATGTAGGTCAACTTTTTAAAACCAGTTTCCTTCAGTACCATGTCTATCATAGCGGGAAGATCGTACATTCCAATATCATGATAGCTGCAACTAGATGGTGCATATCCAAAAGCTTAACAGACAACGTACCTATAGTTCCAAAAATTGGAGTTTTCCGGTGTCAGAAATAAATGGTTCCTGGAATAGGAATTGCCTCTGTTATTTCCAAGCCATACGTCGTAACCCGCCTCCGCAAGAATCAGAGCTAACGCCTTTCGTCGGCCTAGAAGTATCCACTCAAAAGAACTAGCACACATACCGTGCATCAAGAACACTGGTGGTTTGCTTGCGTCGATGCCTATTTGGTGTTGTACGCGATGTAGTGTCAATATGTAACCATCTTCCGTAACCACGTGGTAGATTTGTAATGAATAATTGTTTGCCTTAAGCATTGTCTCCTATAAAATGTAATTGTCATTTGAGCCATCATGCGTCATTTGAACTTATTGAATTAAACAAGTTAATTAGCCCACCGTACACAGCTGTGAGCGCTGTTATCCATTAACGAAAATATTAAATGATAATACTTGTTAATTGATGTAGCTGATGGCCAATATAACGTAACCCTATACCTTATCTCAGAATATACAAGTTGTACGAAAAACTCTTAAATAAAAAAGTCATCTGGTTTTAAACGTCTTTTTTTTTTAATGGAACATCCTGTATATTATTGCATTTCTGAATTCTACTCAAGTTTCTAGAAAATTTTCATATATAATGTTCTATAACTATGTGTAATGGTTTTTGACATGTTTAAGTTTTTATCTCTAATATGTCAGTTGCAGGCCCTAAGAAAAATACCAATTTTTTAATTTGAGTTCAATACCTTGTTACCCTACTTTAATAGAATTTTTATAATATTTTGACAACTAATAAAGCAGGGTGTTCAAAAACCAAGATTAAATACTAAATTAAGAAAACTTCCAAAAATCTTTTCTTTTATGGAAACCCACAAATTTCATAATTTTATCCTATTTAAGATTAAAAATAATGGTAAGTTTGTATAACGTTGTCTATACTGAAACTGGTTAGTTTTCGAAATATTGACAAATTAATCTTCTTTTATGACGATGTTGCTGCGGGTTTCAAGCTTTGTTATACTTAACCACGAATAAAAAGTTAAGAAGGCCATGATAAACAAAAAAGCCGAGAATATCACAGACTCTCATTAAAATATAATTTTATTGTTTACTGTCAAAAATATATATATACACAGATATACAGTGCTTGACCTACAAAATGGTTTAGTCATAAAAACCACCAGGACGAAACCGAGAACTGTCCTTACTGAAGCAAAACAATTAGATATTCTGGTGCATTATGAGGAGTGCGAAGAAAGTTCCCAAAGGCAAGCCTCGCGTGACATTCCAGAAGTACGACGAAGTAGCATTCAAAACACTTTGAAAGTAAATATTTATTTTCCATTTAAATTCCTTCCTGTTTAGTTATTAGCAGCTGAGGATAAGGATGCAAGAACAACATTTTGCGCTCTTATGATGGACTGTTACTTTGAACCTTTGAAAAAGTGTTGTGGACTGATGAATGTATTTTTGATACGGTCGGAATTTTCAATAGAAGAAATAGCCACTACTGGTCTACTAGTAACAAACACCTTGTTGAAATTATTCAGTAGTAGGGTTACAGAAGTGTATTTGTTTGGTGTGTTATAATATCTAACAGAGTTATGAGGCCGATATTCCATGAAGGCAATCTTAATGGTGATCGGTATTTAAACCTGCTAGCTACGCAGATTCATCCACTTAATGACGCTTTCAAGATAGTGCTCCGTATCATACATCAAGACTAATAACAGGTCTTGACTTGGATAATTCGACACGGAAAGATACCTTGGCCAGCTCGTGGCCCTGATTTAACGCATTTAGATTTCTTTCTATGGGAAGATCTCAAAAGTCGAAATGAAAATAGAGATAATTTAAAAGAGAAAATAAAGAAGGAAATACTTATAGGAATCAACGGACCTAACATAGTTAGTGATGCTCTAAATAAAATAGAAACCTGTTTGCTGGTTCCAAGTTAGTTGTACTTTAAGTGTTATTATTTTAGTTGTTGATAAAAAAGTTTGCCAAAACTTGATATATTTTTTTTAACCAAAAATATGGCGTATTTTATAACATTAACACACATTTCTTTGGAATAAGATTGATTTTAAACACTGTCATAGCCAACTAAGAATAGATATAACAAAGCTTTAAAAATCGTTATATAAAAGTGTTAATTTGTTAATCTTTCGAAAAATAAACGTTTTCAGCATAGACAACCTTATACAAACTTACCATTATTTTTAATGGCAAATAACATAAAATTTTGAAATTTGGAGTATCAATTTAAAAAAAAATGCTTTTTGGAAATTTTCTTAATTTATTATTTAATCTTACTTTTTGAACACCGTGCATTATTAGTTATCAAAATATTGTAGGTTTTTGTCAACAAGGTATTAAACCCAAATTAAAAAATAAAGATTGCCTTTTAGGAAAAATTGGTATTTTTCTTAGGGTCACCAAATGACATATTTGAGATAAACACATACATATGTCAAAAACCATTAGACAGAGGCATAGAACTTTATATATAAAATTTTCCTAGAAACTTTAGTGGAATCTAAAAATGTAATAATATACAGGATGTTCCATTAAAAAAATGAAGTTTGTTGACCCAGGCGACACTGAATGCTTTGTATATACAAAAACATAATAAAATAAAACTTCGTTTCAAACCAGATAAATTTTGTATTTGAGATTTTTCGTACAGCCCTGTATATTCTGAGATAGGGTATAGGGTTACGTTATATTGGCCACCCTGTACGTACCAAGAGTGTGTGTTTTTGGATATAAAAATTGAGATACGTTATCAAAATTAATACCTGTATTCTATTTGATATTTCTGATGTGGCTAATAATAAAAATGAAATTATATGTATTGAAGAGAAAAAATGGAAGAAAATAAAAAAAACAAAAATTAAAAATCCTCTCCTTAAATTTGTTGTCTGAGTTAATTATGACAAAGCTATCCATACCACTTCAATTTAAGAATTTTCACACTTGATATATGTCAATTCCGTACTTGACTAGTCGATCCCTTGACTCCAAAATCTGATATCTGACATTATAACATATGTACTAAATATCTTTTTTTTACTCGTTAATTGAACACTCGATCCGCTACGCTCTTGTCAAATAAATTCGTGACTCAAATGTCGTTTACAGCACTTGTTGCCTAATATACTAAAAGCAAAAAACAAGGCTCTACACATACAACAAAAATTTACAATAGAAGGACCGTACTTTTTAGCGAGGTACAAGAAAATTATCTAATTTTTGCAGAAAAACTGCAGGTTTCTAAAAATTTTATAGTCAAAGGCAGCAGAGCACAGAAGTTGGGGAAATGAATCAAATTTTACGTAATTTTTTTTTGAATGTCTCGAAAATATTTAGAAAAAAATTTGATCATCTTTAACATTCCTGTATCATAAAAACGAAGAGTTTGGTAAGAGTTAGAATTTATTTCTATTTTAGAATGGCGAGCTAGTGGTTAAAATATTCAGGTCTAATTTCGGAACACCCTGAATATAAAGGAGTGATTGGGGAATGTGTTACATGTGCAAATCGTCAGTTTGGTTCGTCCATTTTGCACAATGGCATTGCATTTTACTGTATATCTAATATATCTAATTATTTACAGGCAATTGAGGGTCAGGACGATATAGCTACTAGATAGGTCCTGTCTATGCTGATAATACAGGAATTATTAATTTATTAATATGCGCTTGCGCGGTTATTTGAAATCTCGTTTTAAAGCAAAAAGACCTTCTTTTCAACATGTTCCAATTTAAATTTAGTATTTTTACGGCAGTATTTTCTCAAAATTTCACAAGGTGGCGTTAAATGTTCTGAAACAAATGACGTGTGTGGAGATCGCTTTTCAGTAATAAAATGGCGCAAAATACAGCTTAGTGGATAAAATTTAGAGACATTCCTAACGTATCATAGCCGCCTGAGCCACATAAATTTTTAACTTGCTAGGGCCACTATATTGTTTAATAGCTATAGCTTTATTCATCAAATTCGTTTATTAAAAGGCAAACCATCTCAGAATATACAATCTAAAACACCTAGTAGTATTTTTAAAAATACCAACAATATCTTCCTGAACTTATTTCGTCAATTTTGTTGTAATTTGTCGTCAGGCCAAAAAATTGAAAATAAATTAATAAGCAAAAACATTAAGAGGGGATAGCCCCTGAAAAATTACACTTCAAGGGTTCGAACAGATAGCTAACTATTATCGGATCGGATTTTTGGTTAGTTTTGATAATATTATAATGTGATAATATGCCCCCATTCATCAACAACTCGCAAAGTGACTTTCGGTCAACACCGACGTCTGTGTCTGAGATAAGTTAGCAGCAGATAAATTGTACTTACAAAGAAATCCGTATGATTTATCGTGAAGCACTTTGATAACAATATTTTCACAATCCCAGCAATCAATAAAGTTAGAACCGAACCGAGCAGTACTTTATTCATCGTTCGATATCGATATCGACAGGTTCAAGATATTCAGCAAAATTATAATGGATATCAACAATTGACGTTCTGTATTCGAGTGAGAACAGTGTTTAAATTGCAGGTGCAATAAATGTGTAATTAGACGAGTTTATAGTACAAACAATGCTTCTTGGGGCGTTTTAATGGATGTGAAACAATTTGCCAAAGTACTTCATACGCCTGAAACTCGACAATTGAGCGGTCAGTTAACCTTCCTTCGATTTATAATATATTTTAACTCACCAGACCGATACTTGGTGATGACATCTAGCAAGGAAAATGTCTTTATTGTAATTTTTTTCTTTTATTTTCAAGCGTCAGTAAATCAGTAAATACAAGAAAACACTTCACAATCGGTAACAGCACATGTAAATTAATATTACAGAGCAAAACATTAAAATAGCTGTTCGGAATATTTATATATGCCTCCGAAGTAAAATGAAGACCAAGAGGAATAAAAAAAACACCACTAGAAAACGATATGGAAGCATTTGGACTATCTAAAAAATGCATAGTTTTAGTTGGACGCCATATATCATCACCCATAGGCGACACTACGTCACAATTAAGTACTTAAAGTACCTAATTTTTTCACGTAAATTTAACTCAAGGATTTGGGTCGTCACGACGTTGGTTGCTTACTTTAACCTCAATTGAACTACCATCAACGTCAAAAATACTTTACTAAAAATATTACGTAAAATGTTTTAACTAACCAAACTATTAGTTAGCAAATCAACTTAAACTGGCACAGGAATAATATCTATAAATACATTAAATTTTATTTAGATTATGATGTGAATGGACTGCAGATATTGACAATTCAAAGGGATCGAGCTTTCAAAACAATTTCAAGTAAAACTTTCTTCCAGGCTTTTCTTTTGTCTGTTTTTTCTTCTAGACCCAAAGCTTCAATTACACTGAGATAATTTGGAAACGCATGAAAACCTTCGGTTATCAACTTTTCCTTGAGTTACATTCACAAACGTAGCAATTCTGGTTGTACATATTTGTATTTCGTACCAGTAAGGCTTTTCTTTTAATGTTCAAGACTTGGATGAATTTCAGTAATGTCACTGAACTGTTTCTTATCGGCCGCTTTCGGGTGTTCGTCGCCGATGCCTCGGGTGATTTGGACAAATGCACATTATAGCATTTGTGGTTTTTCATACTTCACCGGTTTCGTAATCGGATCGGATCTTTTCGGAGATAATACCGAACGGGTTGAATTTTGACGTTTGTCAATTCTGACGATCATGTCAGTGAATGTATTCGTGGTGTTTTGCAAAAATTTACCCAAAAACTAACGGTCAAAGAAAATCTATAGAACGCAACACGTTTGGTAAACTTTTTAAGTCACTCGTTTATTAACACTCGCTCCACTCATACCAAATAAACTCATAACTCAAATGCATTATACGCTTGCTGCATAATTTACTATTACCAATATTAGAGAGACTACGACGTCCGTCTAACGGTACTTTAGAGTATAGTATAGAAAACTGGATATATGTAAAAGCGGATATCCTTAAAAATGATTCACATTATAATATATATTTTTCATAGCTGCGTTAGCAGTTATTTAGGCATGCTCCATTTCTAAGAAAATGAGTATTTGCGTAGAGTGTGACACACGATAAACGATCATGACTGTAATAATGCTGTCAAAGTATTTATCTGTTCTTAGGCATTTTTGGGGCCAATAAATCAAACCGGTCCAAAGTAGTAATAAGGAAATTGAAACAAAATATTTTAATATATTCTGTTGTATTGCGTACGGTATAATATGTCTGAATAGTTTGAATCTGTGCTATCGTTATCATCCAAGGATATAATTAATGCTTATAATATTTTTAAGTTGACCCAAGCTCTTCATAATTGTTTTCCGCTTCATGTACATGATTAACACATTCTCTCCATCTACTTTCTGGTATCAACGCACACTGAGTTTACGTTTTTTTAATTGGTCCTATATCTTTCTGTAGGATTCAGATCGCATTGATAAGGTGTTAATATGTTTTACCATATGATTTGATACTTAAAACTAGTTGTTTTTTTTGAAAAAATGTTTCCAAAATAAAAGCCATACTGCCCAAGAAACTATTGAATACCTGTTTTTTACTGCTGATAGTTGGCACTGGTGGGATATTTGGAGGAAGGCATGTTTTTATCCAATTTTCAAAAAATTGACTTGGTAGTCTAATGAGCAGTCTTTAATGTTTTTTGCAGACCGTAGCAATGGGTTTGACACCCAACCTTAACTCGAGCCCCAGTGTAAAATAGATATTCTTTTTCCTCTAAATGCAGATAGATACATCTAAAACGTAGTTCGATGAAGAATTTTGTCACGCATTCTTTATAGTGTCAAGACTGTCGTCTAACCAACTTTTGTCTAAATTATATATATTTCGTTTTTCTCTACGCTTTCTCCAAAAAGCGATTCAAGTAAGGGAATCTGATTACTCTCATACATCGCATACACTTCCCTGCGAATCAATTCTGCATCACTATTCCTAAACACTTTTATCATGTCACATCATTCCTTTCTTTCTTATGAATTAACGAATACACGCAAGGTTGAGCTTGGAATGCCAATTGACTCCATTGGCCTTCCAATGGCAGCTTCTATGCCCTCTGATGTTTTTAAAAGACCTGCAGGATTTTTGTTTTGCCAAGTTAAAGTTTCAGGAAAATTGTAGTAAACATTGACTGATGCCTTTTCAAACAGTTTTTTAAAAATTTAAATACGTAGAAACAGTATGTGCAATTGTTCGGTAATAAAAATAAAAAGATACTCGATTCTCTTGCAGCACATATTTGATGCATGTTTAAGGTAAGAAGACTAGCGTACTTAATTTTACACTGAGTCATAGACGTTGTTTTTTGAAATGTCCTTTATTACGATATTGCTTATTTTAATAAATATATTGATACATGCCATTATGATTTTTTGAATGTTGTCGAATTACGATTGTAGCGGTTGATATTCTCCAATGTTTTTTCCCGCAATACAGATATGTTTTTTCCAAATACAAAGTCGAGATGATTGAAATCGTCAAATGGAACTCGGTAGATTTGGACTATGTTTGGGAACTGCGGTAGGATTGATTGAAATAAAATCTACAAAGAAATTGATATTTTCTGGAGGCGACAGATTCCCAGAGCAGTTACATCATTGTTGATGAAATAATCATCTTCTCCGTAATACATTATCATAGCGGCCGTTACTTTGGTCAAATCATAAGAGGGTGGCTTCGTATTATTATAAAGTTTTAGGTTTTCCTCAATTCCATAGTCAAATGCTCGAAAGTATCCTAAAACAGTTTTTTTTTATTCAGTTATATCTTCTGATTTCTTGCATTCTGATGCAATTTTCATGCATGGCCGAAATGTTCCGCTATAGAAAAACTTTTTTTCAACATACCCGACCACGCCCCTTGAATATAATGGTGCAATTGCTTGATGGACATTCCCGCTGGTATAGTAATGAAAGCTGTCCGCAAAATGCTCTGCAAATAGTTGTGTTTATGTTAAATCTGACACTTTCACTGGAATATATTTACTTTATTTATTTGACTGTAGGAAGCACCTAAGATGTGAATAGCTGATAACATGAACTCTTTCCCATTGGGCAGTGTACAAATAAACCGGCATATGGAGGCGAGCGAGTTCGGTGCCACATCATACATACCAAGTAAATTTAAAAGCTAAAAGTAGAAACCCAAACTGTTGACACCTTTAGTGTTGATGCATTGTGTTTTAAAAAACATTCGACGGCTTTGAAATTAATACTGTAAGTATGACAAACATCAAACAGGCATTACTCATTTCATGCAAATTTTTAGTGTTATGAATTTAGGTATAAATTTGCAAATCAGTCGCAAATAATGTAATTGAGAAACGACATCCTAATTGAAAATATTTTAATTTTATTTATTTGATATTGTGAAGGCACTCTGGAGGAAATTAACAAAATATCAAAAATGTAATTAAATTAGATCAAAATATTAATTGTTAATCAAGAGTTAAATATGCCCCAAAATAATTCATTATTCTTACAAATTCACAACAAATTTAATCCTTCATAGATCTTCGGATATTCATTGATAAATCCTGCTGGATCATCGCCAAGTAATAGTCAATCCTCTGACACCCTCAATAAATCACGGAGGTTGTATCCCATAAATGAAAAAATGTTTATGCTTCAAAACAATTAACACTTAACACGATAATATTAAAAGAAATAACTTACGGGAAATATCAAGGGATTGTCCTTTACAAAATTCATCACTGGACTCTTGATCTTGTATAGGACGGTAGCTGGCGCATAACAATTCGCTACAAGAATTTTCTGGTTATATTCCGACCTCAGGGAGGTCATAACGACAAATGACGTGAACCCTTGGGACATGCCCAAATAAGTAAGTTTAGTAAATCCGGTTTCGTTAAGGACCCTGTCGATCATAGCTGGAAGATCGTACAATCCAATTTCGTGGTAACTAAAGTTCCAAAAATTAGGATCATCCGGGTCTAGATGTATATGTCTTCTAGAATAAGTATTTCCTCTATTATTTCCTAACCATACGTCATAGCCGGCGTTTACGATATCCAAGGCGACGCTGTTATTAGGTGCCCAGATTAACCAATCGAAAGAAGATCCAGTCATTCCATGCATTATAAATACTGGTGGTTTCGTTGTGTTCCTACCGAGCTTTTCGTTTTTTCGATTTACCCGAAACATGGACAATATGTAACCATCTTCGGTGATCACTTTGTATGCTACTAGTGTATAGTTGTGTCGGTTAAGTAAATTTTCCTAAAATTAAATACCTAATATCAGTATACAGGGTTTCTTTTCAAAATATTTTCAACGTCCTGTCATTTCCAGTTTACCCGGAAGTCTCTATCGACTTGAATATTTTAAATGGAACATCCCGTATATTATTACATTTTGAGTTTCTGTGTGAAATTCTAAACATATTTTATGTGCAACTACATATACTTATGTGTAACCTTTTTTCAATATTTGACCTTGAAAGAAAATTGTGCCTCCAGCTTAAGCTTAAGTAACTTTGAAAATGCATATTTTTGTAGTTTTTTACTCTCATATTTAGCAAAATGTTAAAAATGAGGCTTAAGGTCACGTTTTTGTTATTGTTGTCGTCCAAAACTAGCCCGCATAACATTCACGTATTTGGCTATGGAAAAATTATTATTACGTTCTCCTGTCAAACATGACAATAAACTATTAGTACGCAGCTGCCACTCACAAAGTAAAAGTTTAAATTTAATTTTCAAAGTTGGTAAGCTGGAGACACAATTTTTTTTTCAACTTTTAATGAACGAGTTGGGTGAAAAACCCTGTGTTAGAGTTCTTTTTAAAGGTTCGCCTGTGCGCAAAGTCGATTTTGTGGGGCAGCTGACGTAATTAAAAAAGGATGGAACCTAAAATCTGTCCTTAAAAAAAAATTGTCATATTTAAATTTGTGATACTTAGTCATATAGATAGTTGACACAACTTGATAGCTTTATAAAATAAAATTGAAATATTTGATATTTTAATTCAGTTGGATCTACAGCAATTGGTTGGTAATGGATTGATATTAGAATTTGTGTTTATAATACGTTTAAATATCATCTACAATAGCACATAAATAATTTTTGCCCAATTTTATCCACATTTACACTACATATTTATATGGCGCAAAATTAATTAAGTTTTACAGAATGCCATTTTATTAAAACTGGATAGCAAAAGGACACATTATGCTTTGCCGTTTTATGCTTTGAACGTGAGCTAGATTACGTGAAGTGCAAAACAGGGGATGCATTATCGAACGGAACATAGGCAATCCCATGTAAATTTTTAGGTATTCAAATATTGGCTCCCTTGTACATTTTATAGCAAAAGTGTAATATAACTTTTTGAATAAATTTTAATAAGCCAATTTGCAGTTGTTGAATTAAATATGATGGCAAAATTGCAAAAGGTCAATACAACGAACACATGACATAGCACCTAAAGGTTGGTTTACAATTAAGACATGCACATTTGGTTTCACACATTCCAAGTAAATTACGTATGTAGGTATATCATTATGTTTTTCTTAGGACCAAACTCAAGAGCTCCTTGTCCCTTAAGGTGTTCTTAGAATGATTTTCATCGGAAGGACGGTTTAAGCAACAAGGAATCTTCAAGAAACGACTATAAATTTAACTTAGGTCTTTTATTAAGAATCATTATAATTACAAGAAGGCTACAAAACATTGCTAAAACGAAACATTATCTAAAATAAACATTATTTCTTAAGTAAATGTTCAATCAACCCTCCATTAAGAGTTAAACATTATCCTCAGCATTTATAAAATTCGTTTCTAACATTGCTTAGTAAATATTGTAAAATCTTGCCACACTCTAAGAAAATGGCGTTTTGTAATTGGTTAAGGTTTTCACATTTAACGTTTTTACATATGTATATCATATACATTATAACAATTTTCAAGTGACCCCACAGAATGAAGTCGTTCTGCGAGAGGTCAGGTGGCTAAAGCATTCGAGACCTTGGTATCAAAGTATTTCCCAAGTACTCCCCAACCATACGGGAATTATGAGCAGCACAAAAATCCATCTGGTACCAGATCTCAACAACAACAACTTCTTCTAGTGCAGCTTCAATTTGATTTTGTAATGTGTTGAAGTAGGTTTCTGCCGCTAGGTTATAGTCCATTTTAATAACGCATATTTGGCTTCAAGCGCGTTTAATAACGTATAACAATCACAGATAAAAATATTGTTACTGTTACGAATTTTAGTGTTGTCATTGCCAAAATGTATTTTACTGGTGTTTGATTTACTACCTAAACTATTTTTTTTTGTAATTTTGCCTTCATATTTAATTTTTTATTCATTCATTCTATTAAAGATTCAATTAAAGATTGGCTTATTAAAATTTATTCATGCCGGCCCCTTCAAAAAGTTATATTACAACTTTGCTATAAAATTTACAGGGAAGCCAATATTTGAGCACATATAAATGTACATGGGATTTCCTATATTCCGATCGGCAATGCATCACCCGGTATATGACGAACATTGAGAAACAAAAAGTAACAGCTGCTAAAGAAATGCTTCGGTTAAACAATCGGAAAAATACCTACGATTTGTCAAAATTGGTTCAGAAATAAAGGATTTGTTAATTATTAAATTTTTCCATTTATTAACCTTTTTTTTGGAACGCCTGGAAAGGCGGTTCGTAATGTTTGTTATACCACTAGCTTCTCCAAAAATAGTCATTTGATTTCAAGTTTGTCTATAGGATTACGAAACTCCAAATTTAAACAACAACATTTCAACTGAACAAGAATTTCCAGTTGTTTTCAGATTAATACTAAATAAAATTTAGGCTTACATACATATGCTATGTCTATCGAGATGTCTATGGTAAAGATGACATGACAATAAATATCATTTTTACACCCTGGTGGACAGAGCTCTAATATAAAGTAGTTCAGGAGGTATGCCACAGTAAGAAATTAAATTTTCAAGAACGACCTTCAAATGAGCTTCTTTAGACTTCTGGAAAGACGCAAGACCCAGATAAGACTGCAGAAAAAGATAACCAACCTACTCACAGCATCCCCTACATGAAAGGGCTCGCCCAAATCTAAAGAGGATAGGTAAACAATCGCCTCCAATTCGAACAATTCTCGCGAGTCACTTCACCATCTTCTAGTTCAGAGCGAAACGAATAACTCCGTAGGTATATCAGATATATTGTGAGTGCGGTTCCTCCTTTGTAGGTGAGCCGAAGAGCACCAAGTAACACCGATAAAACGAACGCAATACCCGGTGAAACGGAGAAATTCGGAAGTATGGGTATCACCTAAAATTATCGGCAAGGAATAACATTGGAGTTGGGGAAAATTAAAGAAGCAGCGGCCATTCACCAAAATCCCAAGTGTTTTAACAACCCGTTTTAGGATATCAAGAATGGAAACAATTATCAAAAAGATGTAATCTTGATTTAATGTGAGCTTGGCTATAAACCCTCATGACCGCACCCATCTATTTAGTATTAACCTCGACATCAGGATATACTGGTTCAGTTGAAATGTTGTGAAAATGAGTGATAAAGACAAACGGAGTCCGAAATCTACCGTCTCATCAAGATTTATCATAGTCGAACTAAAAAAAATATTTTCCAGAATTATATTAGTGACAGTGAATACGCAGACGATGTAGCTGGTGCTGGGTTTTCATAATTGAGGCAAATTTTATGAGAATTTAGAGAACTACAGAAATAGCGTTATTAGAAATATCCATTGTGTAATTGTAATAATCGTTAATGGTTTTTTATTAAATACAATTGTCCACATTATTTGGCTTCCATACCACTTATTCCGGTTAAAAAGAAAACCTGAGATCGTTCAGATTTTAATCTAAATGTAATAGAATTTAAAAATATTTAAACTCAAATAAAGTTTATGAAACTCACATAATACTGTACATTTTCGGCTGCTGAAGAGTCGACTGCCGGTAAGTCCCAGTTGGATAAAGTCAATAAAACCAGAATCAAAGAAAATACAAAACCGCGACTCATTTTAAATATCGGGAAATACTAAAAGATGTTCTATGCTCCCGCGTTAATGTAACAACGAGGTAACAACTTAATTGCCCATGCACACGATCTAATTGCAATTTAAGACGTTACGTTTTGTAAGATAAACTTTTTACAAGGATGAGTTATTATTCATTCAAATTAAAGTGCGAGTGAATTTTGCACTTTGGTTTTTTAAAAAACGTAACAACGTTATAATGAAACGCGTTTATGGATTCTTTATTTTAAAAATGTTAACATTTTTTAAAGTTTTCTCTGTCAACGATGATGTCATTTTTCCCCATATGAAGTCTAAGTGGTTGAAATGTTTGTATGGAACTAGATATGTTTCCACGATGTTCGTCATCTTTTTGGCTACGTCCTTTAAAAGAACCTAAAATTAAAACTTAGTTATAAGGAAATCGTACTGAACATTTTTCAAAAATATATTATAATTGAATTGCACTGACATTTCTGCATGTTCGCCCACTGCCAAGGTAAAGTTTATGCAATTATACGAAAGTAGTCTGCCATACTTGCAAACAAGGAATGCTACCAAAAATAAATTTTACACAGGGTGTTTCAAAACAAATTCAAAAAACTTAGGGGGGTGATTTTTCATATACACAGTAGAACGCGAGCCAGGTAAACTCTGCAGAAGCCAACAGTCTGATTGGCGAAATGTCAGTAAGTTTGATTTATAAATAACCGACGCAGCCAGAAGATTTCGAATGAATATTAAGGAGTGATTCCTTATTTAAAATAAAGGGTAGTTTATTATATATACGTTGGGTCAACCATCAACCATTAGAAAGATCTTGCGCTACATGTATGGAGGAAAAATAATGTGCTATAAAAGTATGTGTATGTGTGCCATATGTATATATAAATGTATACAAAAAAATCTAATGGGTGTTGTCACTTCTTAAAGCGTTTCTTATTATTGCTTTATTTGTCATTATTTCAATCCAAAATACGAATATCGTATTCAAAAATTTATCTAAGCATTGAATTGTTCAATAACAAGAGTTTTAATATATTAATTGTGAATTGTACTATTGCAGATATTTATTTTATGCAATCTTATCATAGACTCCCCATCACAGCTTGTTAGTTAGGCTTCATCAAAGGCTACATGAATCTGGAAGTTTCTGAAAAAGGAGTTTTGATGCCACCGAATCCACGATGTTCGAAAACCAGGATTGGAAGTTGTTGTGCTTAATATTATTGAAAGGCAACTTGCGTATCAGGAAAATTGCGACAGAATTAAAAACCGATGAATGAACTGTGTGGATGATTAAAAAAGAAACAGTTGTATCTACGTAAAGAGGTGCTTTATGATGGACCGACTTGATCCCTACATTTAAATCCTTTTGATGCCTAGGACAAATGTATTATTTCACAAGGCAACCATTTTCAACACTTACTATATATAAATATATCGTATTTTTGTTTTGCAGTAGGTGTCTTGATTATTTTTTATTTTATTTATAAATTTTACTCATGAATTAGTGTCAGAAGTGTTAGTTATTAAATTATTTTTAAAATGTACTTGTTTAGAAGATGATTGATAAATGTTGGTACAAAACAACCAAGCAACCAACTAAATTACTTTTCTAAAATAATTACTTTTTCTACATGCAATGCTTTACATTTTATCTAAGAAATCCGTCTATCGAAATTTATTTTTTTCATGTCACTGCGTAAGTATTTCTTTAAATTTAGTAAAAGATAGTTTTTTTTAAAACTGCAGAAAATATGCTTTTAAAATAGTAATACACTCTTCTGTAATATTTTATTGTTTTATCCGTTATTACACATTATTTTTCCCACACATTTGTAGCGCGATGTTTCCCCGAGAGTTGCGTTTTGACCCCACATTTATTTAACAAACTACTGTCTATTTTAAAAAAGGAATCACTCTCATAAGCTGTTCGCATTTGTTTTCTAACACTCTATACATTTTTTTTTTTATTACGGTGGTAGAATTTCACAGAGGAACTTTGCTTTTTACTTGTAAAATGCATTGATGTGAAAGTAAAAATTATTTTGGACCGAGAATAAGTAACCTAAGATCAAAGTTATAACATTACACTTGCAAAACAAGGTTAAAAGAAAACTAAACATTGATCAAGGCGGTGGAACAAATATATAGATTGCAGTGATTAGCTACTTTATTATACTTTGCGCATATTTTATTAATTAGTGATATGGAACATGGAAAAACATTCTAGGTAATAAGAAAGTAAATTGTTTCAAGAGAGACATACGTGTACTAGTTCGGTTAATGATTTTAAACAAAAGTGTTACTGTACTGTCCACATGTCCCTGCGCTTTTGCCAAATTTCACTTTAAAAAAAAAAATTTAAAAACTTTGCACTAGTGGTTATATTTACAAACGAAATATGTAGAATCTTTAATGCACCAGTATTATTAAATTTACTTACAATTACTTAAAATAAAACTTACTTAGCACTATATTTTTCACTAGAAAATCTATAAAACACTTACGTCATTGTTAACGAGGTAATCATCTTCCCCATAATAAATTACAATCGGAGCAGTGATTTTGGTTAAATCGTACGGTGCTGGTACCTTACTTTTATAGATTTTTAAATTCATCTCCTGCCCGTAGTCGTAAGGGCGGAAGTGTCCTAAAATTATTGCGTGCGGGCGTCGACAACTAAGCGAAAATGGAGTACCTCTCACCATATCGGGCCCCCTGTACGTAATGCTCTAATTGTTTCAGCGATAAACCTCCTGGGAAAGCAACAAAAAGGGTCGTTAAGAAATTCTAAAAATTAAAGTCAAGCTGATTCTAAAATTGCTCGTCTCGTTTCAGTCAAAAACAAATTACAATTAGGAACGTCAAAATAATTTTAAAAACAAATAAAACATATTATTTACCGAATAAAAAAAGTATTCAGACACTAACTTTATCCAGTTGATGTGATACTCCTGCGAGACTGATCAACCACGGAACGAACATATCACCACCAGGAATTTTGCATATAATCCTGAATAATGGTGCCCATCGTATTGAGAGCAGTTCATTGTAATTGAAGTACTTTAAAGTCTGTAACATTAATTCAATTCATTATTTTTTATTAGTCTGAAGGATTTTGAACATGCAGAATTCAAAAATGCTGACACTAATGTTGTCAGATTTCGCGATGATAGTTGTAATTCTAAAGTTTCCTATATTTAAAAATCTCCAAAATTATAATATTTTAAGAATTTTTTTATTTACAGTAGCAAATTTGACAACACTGCTATTAGCATTTTTAAATTCTGCATGTTCAAAAACTCCCATATATTGAATTTTATCGTTCCAGCTTCCGGTTCCGGTACTCTCTATTTAAAAGGCGGTGTTTCAGGAGTTCAGTAAGTAATATAAACAAATTTTTGAAATTTTGAGGTGTTATTAAAATCGACCTGCTCAATTCATTGCAACAAAAATAAATGAAATAATCCGTTTAAACAAAATAAATAAAAGTAATAAATGTGACACTGCTGCTAGGATTTTTGAATCCTGCATGTTCAGAATTTTGTCATTCCAACTTTTGCAGTTTTGGAGATATTTAAGCGTTCCGGTACTTTTTGCTCAAAAAACGGCGTTACAGGAGTTTAGTTATTAATAGAAACAAAATTTTGAAATTATGAGACCTTAGTAAACTCGGCATGCAAATTTCATTGCAATCCATTTAAAATAAAATTATAACATGTGACGTAAAAGTGATAAATCTGACAACAATGCTGTTGGGATATTTGAATTCTGCATGGTCAGATACTTTATCATTCCGTCTTTGTCTTTGGAAACGTTCCGGTACTTTTTACTAACCCGGTATAAATTAAAGATGTTTTTTATGGAATAACCTTTATGACTTTTAATTATTTCACTTGGCTTGTCATTAGTTATCCAAGAATAATAAAATAACAAGAAATACATATAAATACATATAAATCTTTTCTTTTATTTTCCGTTATAAGTAGTATAGAGTAATTATAAATTACATAATCTATTCCAAAGAGTTACCTGTCAAAATACACTTGTGTGTGTCCAATGTTAAATGCGCATCGACCATATTATATTTTTTGTATACACTTTTTTAAACCATCATAACTTCTCTCGAATTTTCTTGTTTTTTTTCTTCTAAATGTGGTGAAAACAATTTTTATGAAATGGACATTATGATCGAACCATGTCAAATACAAGGAGACTGTAATACTAAAATTCTACTTATAAATTTGAACCAAAGGCATGAATAATATTTATTTGATAGTGAAAAATACCATTAGGAGCAATTCTTTTTTATTGCTTCTCTTTTAAATCACGCAAGGCAGTGGACACAGACCTATGACCCTTGACCACGATGCCGAACTTTGTTCCACTGAAATATACATAATTTCTACCTACGTCACCAAATAACTGTTCACTGTTCAATGCTGGTAGCGATTGGTATATTAAGACAAGTACGTCACAAATTAGTCAGGGGGCGTAATTTTTTTACAAGTTTTATGGAGAATGGATCATTTAAAATGTTTATATACAAAATGGCTAGCGAAAAAATGGACTATATTTTAGCAGCAACTTTTTTGGGTCCACATAACGTGAATCTTCTATATTTTCTTCAGAGAGAACATAATTTGACAGCATTTTGCACGTGCAATGTGTGAGTTAGTCTTACTTACCGTGATGACAGAGGGATAATCTGCAAGAAAATTTATAATTGGGCTTTTTACGTTGTGCATATTCGTCACTGGCGCGAAAGCATTCATTAAAAGAATTTTGTCGTTATATTCGGGTCTCACACTGCCCATAACCGCGAAGGAAGTAAAACCTTCGGAAAAACCGATATAAATCAATTTTTCCCGGCCCGACACGTTAAGGACTTTGTCAATCATCGCCGGAAGGTCTTGGACGCCTATGTCGTGGTAACTTCAAAGGAATTCTCTAACTAAATGTTAATTTACACGAGATATTTAATACTACCTGTAGTTCCAGAAAGTAGGTTCGTCCGGGCTCAGCGACACGTGTTTTCTGGAAAACGTGTTGCCTCTGTTATTGCCCAGCCACACGTCGTAACCTGCATCTGAAAGTACTAACGCCATTGCCTTTTCGGGACCTAGAATGATCCAGTCAAACGCGGTACATATAATTCCGTGCATCAGAAACACAGGAGTTTTGCTGACATTATTAGCTGTTTCGGCTCTACCGAATGGAATGCGATGCAACGTCAAAATATATCCGTCGTCGGTGATAACTTCGTGCGTTTCCAGAGGATACCCGTTATCGGCTAAGAAATTCTCCTAGGCAAGATGCAAAACAGCAATCAAATGTCCTACCCATTTCCATTGAGAGGACGATATAAATTAAGTACTTTAAGTGAATTGCTAAAGAAAAGGAGGGAAGATAGGGCACTGGGCTGTTAAAAATAACTTGAATAAAGGTAAAATAGACTACAGATTTACTGAACTAATATTAAACATATACAACAGAGCAACAACTACCATTAACATATACCAAAGAACAGAACAAATACCAAAAAATGCAGTCATGTCAAATTCACAAGAGAATTGGGAAACATGCGATAGAACAAGTAAAGATTACATATATCTGGAACAACAGCTTATCTTAAAGAATAAAAAATATCCACAATACCTGAAGACCATGGTATATCCCTACTACTCACATAAGGGGCACGAGATAGACATTTACAAAAGGTAATGTAAACAAAGTAAAGGAAACACAAAAAGCGACTTGCGCTAGACCAAAAAATTAAAGGACAAAAGAACAAACACGTGGATTAGAGAGAAAACTAACATCAGAGATGTCGGAACAGACATCGAAGCGAAAATAGAAATTTACAGGACACAACGTTAGATATAATGGTGAAATGTGGCACGAAGTGATCATATAATGGTGAACATGGGTAAATAAAAGAGAAAGAGGAAGATCGCAGATGATGCGATAGATAGATAGAACATAAAAGTTTGGCTGTTTTTTTATATTTCGTCAACGATAATGCCTGCGGGCATCGATAGTTTTTAAAACACAATAAGGGCTTTCAAGATATGCTTATATATGGCTGGAAAACTTAAGTTATGATTCAGAAATAAAGTTTTATTGGTTTCCACAACCTGTAGTTTAAAGGCAATGCCGAGGGTAATAGTCATTGAAAATATTTCTCATTGGCACTAATTTGGTTGGTTGGTAATTAAACCTAAAAAGAAACATTAACAAGTGCATCCAAATCTCTTTTATATTATTTAATTAATATTTTTGCTGACCTTATTTGTATCTTTTAACATTTTATTAAAGCAGTTTCCTATTCTCTGTATCAAGAACTTATTATTAAATTTGATAGCCGACATTTCATCTTGGTGCTATTTCTTACCTCATGATTGGTGTTCCAATAGTTATCCGGAGTGACAGAGATAACATAAAAATTTTGATAGGTAACAGTAGTTATATTAGCAAATGCTTCTGCCTTTTAACCAACTATAATAACAAACTCAAATTTCACTCAAAAAATTTTGAAGTTGCCACAATCGAGATTCTCCCTTATAGGCATATGAAGTAGTAAGAAATAATACATGAGGTGCTCCATATTTTTCCATGTTACCAGCTATTAGCAAGCTGTTAATCGAATTCTTTTGAATATTTATGGATTATGATTTAAAAGTGTATTGACTACAACCTAATTTTTTTCCTTTGAATTTCGACAGCAAATGGTCAACGGATTGCAAAAAATGCGCCCCTCCTTTTTCGGTATGCCGATGTTCAAAAACACCATTTCCGGTGCTTTGAAACGACCATCTATTGTTCAACAACTGTGTGAGCCTTTTCTTTTCTTATTATACTTATATTTGATATTTTAGGAGTTTCATATGTTATGCATTTAGTATCTAGAAATCAGGCTGTTTGAATTTTTATGAAGCTATTTTTTTGTTATTATTACTTTACTTTTTCACTCACCATGTACACAGTGCTATTTATATAATACGCGTCCGGAATCAAAAGGTTCCATTTTTTAAATACCAATATAAGTGCAACGAAAAACGCTGCAATTTTCGTTATTTTAAACATTCTGCTATCTCCATTCAACGTCAAAACAACACACCGAACAACACAACTACGGCGAAACCGTTTTATTTCTGATGTTAAATGTCAATGACGTTTGTGTTCATTAATTCAAAAATTACATTCACGGTCGCTGAATGTCATCGAAATACTTAAAGATGCGGTACAAAAGTGCGGCATTAAAATTTATGAGTTTAGAAAAATATAAAAAAATAATGGTCGACTACCTGCTCCCAATTCGCGGTTTTCAAAACAGTTAGTTGTTGTTGTAGTTCATGTTAGAATTAACTTGTTAGTAATGGGGAAAGTGGAACAAATTTTTATCTTCCTTTTTAACATACTAAAAGCCCCCGGATGTACCTTTGACCAAGACGCCTCAAAAAAGATCCGATATCTTGAAAATCGGTAGTACAAAACTATCACATATGTCACTATCACAAAACTATCAGAATGTCGATAGAGCAAAATTGAAGGGCATAAAATAATACGTAGAAAATATGTATTTTCAGTCTTTTACCTACAATCGTATTGAAGATATAAAGCTACAGTTTTTTTTTTAATAAGTTAAAATTTTGTATGTACCAAAAGATAGTCCTAATCCCTACTGCTTGACTACTAAATGCTCACTTTGTATAAAGTTTATAATTATGATTAACAATAATTTTATCTTTAATGGTCAATAAAAAAACACGATTTTTTTGTCGGGTTTCCGTTTTTGACCGACTATAGTAGGCCTACATTTACTCACATTTAAAAAATGGTTTTGTTGGTAAATATAAATTACCAAATTCGTTGTTTATTTGTTCGCTTGATTGGTGTTGACTTTTTACTTAAGGTGTTGAATAGATACATTGTTAGGGCAAACAAATACTTTGTACTGGTGAAAGCTCATCGGAAATTAGTCAGAAAAGGCAAAATTCCACGATTTCCAGGTAAGTGAGGTTATTTAATTTATAGGTTTCGTGCTACTTTAAGAGAGAATAGTAGAAGAGCACATTATCAGCTACGTTACACTTAGATGTAAGTAAAATCAATAATCCTTTTCAATATTTATTATTTATTATATATTTATTATCAAATTGCGCGGTCTTCGCGATCGTAAGATTCATGAAAACTGTGATTCATTGATTTTTTGTTTCAGTATAATGGATGTATAACATTGTACTGTGCAGCTTATAGCAGATTCAGTTGAAATTAAACAGAAGAGCTTGAAAAAAGCAAGCGAGGATCGAAATGATGGAAAATAGATTTTATGGGAGAATAAAACTGAGCTGACAGTTCACGTAAAAAGCAGAAGGGTCTACACTAGGCCAAGTGGTATAAAAGCGTCAAATAATCCTCAGAAAAATGTGATGGAAGAATTAACAGGTCTAGATCCGATTCCAAATCCGATTTCAACTTAATATTCGAATGTATTTTTTGTAATAAGAAATGTCTTCATAATCGTGAAAATCGAGCTAATAAAACCAGCCTTGTCACAACATTGGAAGTTAAAAATACCATCATAAAACACTGCGAAAGAAGAAATTATCAATGCAATGGTGTATCATGTACCAACTCATGAATTGATTCGGGCGACCTTGATGAAAATTAATTTGTTCATGTTTTTTTTTGTATATTTTGTGTCAGTTATAATATTACATATCTAAAATTATTCTCATTTGTGTATTTTATTTTGTATTTATTGATAGATGTTGTAGCTTTCTGATATCAAATAACTGTTGCAAATTTTCACTATTTTAAAAAAGTTGAAGCTATTATATCCTCAATACGATTATAGGTAAAAGGCTGGAAATACATATTTCCTATGTATTTTTTTATGCCCTTCAATTTTGCTCACTTTATATTTTTTGATATATGTGATAGTTTTGGAGCTATAGCAAGATTTTGTCCAAAAGTCCCAAATTTCAAGATGGCGGACCTTTTTTGAGGCCTTTTGGTCAAAGGTACATCCGAGGACTTGTAGTATGTTAAAAAGGAAGTACAGTAACACCTCTTCAAGGCAGTCCCAACTTTATAAAAATTTGTTCCACCTAAAAATTTATTTGTATTGTACTAATGTGATATTTTTTACTAAATAATTGCAATTGTTGATTTTTCAAATCAGATTTTGGTTTCAGAAGCGATGCGTTTCTCGAACCATATCTCCAAGGTCTCAGCGACCGCCACAGTCCGCCTGACATAGCGGCCCCAAGTCCATCCCCGCCACTATGTAGAGGAGCTATTCCACACCCCGTCGCATCTCTATCGGGGTCAGTTTCTAGAGAGTCATTGGTGTCGTCACATGGCGGAGGCTCGGATGCGAGTAGCGAAGGCAGTGAAGAGGGTGCGTTGAATTATCTTTAATAAATTGGTACTTGCCGGTGTTATTAAAAATTGTGACATAATTTCGAAAATCGCATGGAAATAATTTTAATTAGCTATCTTAAGTTCACAGCCACCATCCAGAGATCCACAAATTAAAGTTGAATTATTACGGCTAATAATCATTTTTCACACAGGGTCTTTTATAGAAAGACGATTTATTAAATTATATGACAATAGATCGGGCAGGTTTGAAATATTATTTCATTTTAAATTCCTTTAAAATAAGTAAAATTTTAATTAAAAAAAATGTTGCGTTGCCTAAATTGGGATTTAGCAAATTTTTTCTGCCGATATAAGAGCATCTATCAATCATATGCAACTTTTCGTTTTCGTATGATAATACGAATTTTACTGTTAATTAACAATCAAAAAATGGCAAATAAAAAAAATCACTTTTTATAAAACTTCCGGATTCTTCCTGCGTCCGTTTTTGTTGACTCGAACTTGCTAACGTTTCGCATTTTACTTTTTTTTAAGGCTTTAGCAATGCAGGTAAATTACGTTTTATTTAATTTGATTTCTATAAAATAAATTATGAAATTTGGAAAACGTTCGCAAATATGTGACAAAGTATGCTAAGTATGTACCGAAATGTTATGAAATGTTGTATTTTTACATTTACATTTGCAAAAAACTAATAACTTTCTTATTTTAAAACTTATAGTTTTTAAATAAAAAAAAATAAAATGTGCATGTCGGAAAAAAGCATCCTCGATTCGAAATTTCTTGCATGCATCAGTATTTAGTTCTTGTCTGGTAAAAAAGTTGTGAGGAGGTCTACCATTAGGATACGCTTGTGTATAAAGACAAGTTTCCAAGGAATTACAGTTTGCACGCCTATAAAAAAAACTGCATATTTGCCGTTAATGAGCAATTAAATGATTATTGATGATGATAATAAATTTTTTATTTTAATCAGTCGAAATTTGTATTACAACTGCGCAATGTCCAATAAAGCAATAGGACAAAACGCCTCAAGACATGACAGCAGCCCACTAGATTTTTTTTATCTTATAAATTTTGTGACCTCGTTATGCATTGCTTTTATTTTGTTTTTTTTTTATTTATTTATTTATTTACTTTTTATTTATTTATTTATTATTTAGTTATTTTTGTTAGTAAGAAAAAATGACAGAAGACAAAAATTTCTAAATAAAAAATAGAATTAAAAAAAAAACTTTTTTTTTACGTCATTGAATAAGTTTTTAAGTAGGGTTGACTAATTCAATCCCCTACACCCTTAAAAAAATATGCAGAAAGTGTGTTTTTGTTTACGTGATTATTGTTTATCTGTTTTGGTTTAAAAAAAAGAAGAAAAACATTAATTTTCTGCCATATTTGTCGCCCGATATCTCCCTAATGGTTGTATGACAAAAAACAACCCTTCATTTTAAACAAGGAATCACCCCTTCAGTTTTATCATTTGTTTAGAAACATCCTGTTAATGGTTCAAATTAAAGAAATTCATTTATCTGACTTCTGACCGCCCAAGGCCTACATTTCAAGACTTTTCAAAACTAAAACGCGAAACTTTTGCGTCTGCGCGCAATTAAATTATCACAACGCACTTTCATTGGTTAATACAATTATGACGTTACCTGTCGTCCAATGTCGTTTGAGATTGCGCAGTGACATCGGATAATTACGACCGATTTGTGACGTAATTCGAGGGAAATATATATGTATAAATGACACAATAGCAAAGAAAGGTGAATATCATATATAGAACCGTTGCTTAGTATACTTCGAGCAATGCGGCCTCAATAAAATTATTATTGATGTTAGGATATGGTGCCACATGTGACATCAGCCTTATGGAACGCCTTGTGCTTTCCCACCCTATTTGGTTTTTGCCGGGAATTCAACGGGCTGGTGCATTTCATTTACTTCAGGGCAAAGAGGAAGGTTGTTTCGTAGTTAGAAAATCGTCTCAATCAGATACCATGGCGTTATCCGTTCGCTTACCCCCAGATAAAGGTAATATATCAGACAAATAACATTTTTCAAATTGCTGTAGCACAGTTTGCATCAGGTCCTTATATCGAACATTATCTCATCCATTCCTCGGAAGGGCGTCTGGGCTTAGAAACCAGCGAAAATCGGTTCGTCGATATGGCAGCTCTTATAGCTCACTATTCGAGTTGTTGTGACGAATTGCCTGTACAACTAGCGTTACCCAAGACGATTAGGGAATCCAAGAGCCGCCAACAGCTGTCATCCTTAGCTCTTTTGGGGCAGGTTTGGCACCCTAGTTATTTACCATGATGTTCGTTATTAATGGGTTTCCATGTTGCAGGAATTTTGGCGTTACAGTCCGCCTCCTTCTACGGCATCCAGTCCGGACGCCGATTTAGTGCTCAACTTGAACCCGCTAATGACTACATTTAAGCAAGCTGAACCTTCTACTCCCATGCAATCAAAACCAGCGCGACCAAATACTCTTAATCTCTTGAATAAAAATGATCCGAAATCTGAGATAACGAGAAGTATGTCTTCGCTTAAGGGCGAATTGGTGTCAAAAACGCCGCCACCACCACCACCCCGGTAAAACTTTGAGAAAAAATATAAAATACAAATTTGATATGAGTATGATAATTGCAGATGGTCTAAGCCGTCGACCCCTCAACAGAATAACTTTACTGTAACAACCACAGTAACGTTTAGTGTAAATTCTCAAAGTCCTAATAACGAGAAACCGTTACCATCAAAATCAGAGGTATGATGGTAACTATTGAATTGTTAGCTATTTGTTATTGTTTATCAATTATGATGCAGGCAGAGGCGACACAAGGTGATTCGAAAAGAATATCGCCGCAGGGCCAGTCTAATTCAACAATTTCCTCCAGGGGCGGAATTAGGCATCAAGTAATGTCCCCTAACTCTGTGTTATCTCCAAGTTCGGATGTCCTTTCGCCAGATACTTTGTCACCACTTTCTGTAAGCAAAGGAACTAGACAAAGTAAAAGAACGAAACAAAAGATCTCAAAACATTACCAGGTAATTTGCTTTGACAAAACTGGTATTAGACGTAACTTTTATTATATTGTAGGAAAGTGATATCGTAGATTCTCCAACCATGCACTATTACAAAAGCGGACTCGGTGATAAAATAAGCGATTATGAAGATGTCTGGACTAATGAAGGAAACCTTATAAACGCAAAAAATGCCAATCCGAACTTTGCTTCTCCGGATTTATTGCAGCATACTCCAGCAAATGATACCACTAGACATATTGTTTCTCTAAATAATAATGTATTAAGTCCAACTGACTCATCCCATAATGGTTCATCTCATCGTAGTGTTTGTAGTACTCCTATACAGAATAATTTGAATAAAGGTAACTTATTAAGATTGTCTTTAGAATGACGATATAGTATATCATTGTAGCATCACTAGTTCAATTGCCTTTGGCTGATACAAACGCATCGCAGCAAGCATCAGAACTTCCGAGTCCACATACACCTAAACAACAGAGTCCATTTTACGCAGAGCCGGCAGATTCCTTATCTTCAATTAATCAAATTCCTAATATACCTAGAAGACAAATAGCAAGACCTGCTCCTGGTATACCTACTCAGCACAGGCATTCCAACCCTCCAGCATTATCTTCAGCAAAAGTTCTAAGTACTGGATTAGAAAGGGTTGATGATTCAGGTGAATTTATTGGAGGTTTGTGTTTTGGAATTCCCTTGTTTTTTTGCTAAAAAAACTATGTTTTTAGGAATGATGTCTTCGTCTGTGGACAATCTGAGTCCTAAACAAAGATTCATGGGTTTAAGAAAACCAGAAGTTAAACCTGTACAACCACCGTTAATAAGGCCCATGATAAATAACAATGAAAGTTGGCAGATTGATAACAGCTGGAAATTCGTAAGTGAGTACCCTCCAATGTTTGATGCCCCCAACAATTATGCCAATAATAAACGATCCATTTTAGCAGCTGATTGTGATATACCTCAAGAATCTACTGAACCCGACTATGATTCCGATTGGCCGACCATACCAAATTTATTAACCTCTTTGGAAACTTGTACTCCGGATCCAGACGAACGGACAACACTGCAAGATTTAATCTCAAAGCGGTAAATGGATTTTGAATGAACACACTGTAGGGGGCACCTACCCTTGAATTTGATATTGACATTTTACAGGTTTCCCGATATTAGGGCGTCAGCACTTGGCATGGAGGATGACAGATGCCGGATATCAGCTTATGACAATGTTGAAGATAGAAGACCGCCTAGAGCGCCTCCGTCCGAAATCAGTGAACTGACTGAATTTTCTGAACCGTGGGCAGAGATTTGCCAAGGCACAACGGAAACGGACGAATCGTATTCGGAAAATTTGACCCCGACAAGTATAAAAGTGTCTTCATTAAACAAATCAAAAAGTTTTAGAGACAGACTAGACCCTTTACTTTGTACGTATATACCAAAATAAACTGAGAAGTAGCAGTAATTAACAAATTGTATTTCAGCTGCTCCTCGAGTTGAAGCGCTGCGAAACAGGGAGCCGGGTGGACCAAAAACTGTGGGCTTGGCAATAAGGACCTACGCCTTGGAATTAGCTCAAGATAAATCGACAACATTCGCTCAAAACGTAGATAATTTCATTGCCTGCACTTGCGAATCAAAAGAGACCAACCCTCAGGTTGTGATGAGGAACATGCGACAGTTTATGAATGGAATGAAAAACTATTTAGTTAAGCACGGCGAGAAAGGATTTTATAAAGAAATTGAGAGAGAAAGGAATAAGGTAATTATTGAAATATTATTATGTCTGCTAAACGCAATATTAATTTTTCAGTTAAAGTCAACTGAATTTCTAAATTTGGATTCGATTTTGGAGGGAGTTATGCATAAACTAGTAGTGAAGCCTCTAAGGAATCACCTGCAAAAATTGTTTTTGGATCACTACACTAAAACCGGAGCCATCAAGTTACTTGCTGACAATATTCAATACGCTTCTACGCGTCCCATTCACGAATTAGCCATTAAGGTATTTATTTGCGTTACATTGTTCAAGCCAAGAAGAAAAGTTGATGACATAAAAAAACTTAACCAAATAGCCAACAATCGCTGTTTAGGAACGTGTTTATTTAACTTTAAACACATAATGAAAATAATGAAAAAGAAAACACAAATCTCAAATTAATTAAAATTTTTACGTATTGCACTTTTCATGTTGGTTGTAAATAACAGCCTCTTGGGTCTCTTTTGGATGTAATATCATGGAATTGATCTATGCTTTTGCATGGTACTACTACTGTTTTTCTTTTTGCCGCACAAAGTATGGATTATATTATAGATCATTTTCTTTTTTAGGCCAAGCTGGCGCTTCCTCCTGAAAATGTATTAAACAAAATATCACAGTATTTGCATAAGTTGCAACAAGCAGATTCGCCATTGGAAAAACTTGAATATCTATTGGCAGCCATTGCCCTTATTTTCAACACCGTGAGTATTGAGCATTTTATTTATTATTTATTTGTAAATTACATTGACAGTTTCACTAAAATTATAATTATATTATATATAATTATAATTATATTCAAATACCAAAAAAGTTAAAGCTTATTAGGCATATCCTTTTCCAAAGTTGGATTCACAGTCGTTATAAATAGACATACGAGGTGTATTCAAAAAGTAAGGTGACTTTTGTAATTGGGCGATATTTTGTTGGTACACATGTCCCTAACATATATTCACAGCCAATTTGCACGTTTACTTTTTTTGTGAGACGAAACCGTTAGAAGTGTTTTGTATGCCCGCCGATTTTCTGCTGTCAAAAAAAAGGGAATAAAGATTTTTCATAAAATTTTGTGTAAAAAATGGAATACAGTGCAAAAAAAATGTTTATAAATGGTGAAGAAGTTTTGCTTACTGTTTTCTTTGATTATCGTGCCATCAAGAGTTCTTACCAGAAGGTCGTACGGACAATAATTACCTTGAACTTATTCGCCGTTTGCGAGAAGCAATACGAAGAAAACGTCCCGAATTGTAGGAAAACAATTCATAGATTTTACATCACGATAATGCATCTGTTCACTCATCATCACTTGTGTCTAACTTTTTCGCCAAAAACAAAACCACAATCATGCGTCAGCCACCATATTCCCCGGATATAGCCCCCTGCGACTTTTTCCGGTTCCCAAAACTCAAGAAACCCATGAAAGGTTTGGAACGATTGAGGAGATAAATAAAAAATCACTGGAAGAACTTAAGGCTATACGAGAAAGTGCAAGTGTACTATACCTGGCGGGGATTACTTTGAAAGGGACCACACTAATTTTGATGAATAAATAAATACTTTTTGATAAGATTTAAAATTCACCTTACTTATCTATATGTCTGAAACTAGCAGCTGTATAGTAAAAGTCCACACCACTCCAATATGCCGCTTAATTTAAAATTCAATAACAGAAAACATAAAGCTTAGACTTAACTGTAGCTTACTAATAAACCTATTATGCTAGTACATGTATAATTACATATTTTTAGGTAAAATCCAATCATCAGATTGGCTCAGGCAGATCGTTTCATTTAGGAGCAGATGATTTTCTCCCACTGTTCGTGTGGGTTCTGGTAAAAACAAATTTTGTAGCGGCCGAAATAGAATCGGAATACATGTGGGGTTTACTCCATCCCTCATTATTGTCGGGCGAGGGAGGATACTACTTGACTACACTGTCCTCGGCTGTGCACGTACTTAAAAACTTTAAGGAAGGTTGTCAAGAAAATGTGAACAGTCACGTCAAAAATGAGGTAACGGTATTAAAAAAAACAGACGTCGAACTTAATAATAGACGCATTGCAATTTGTAGTCAGTACTAAAAGTCGTCGTTCCTGATGAACTTCACGGGTCAATATTAACGAAAACTTTACCGGCAAGACCACACATGACTACCAAAGAAGTTTGCAAAATAATAGCGCACAAAGCCAGAATTACTAATCCCCAAGATTACGCGCTTTACAGGTTAACGGATGGTGAAGGTTAAAATTCATTTTTGTAAGTATAGAAAATTATGTAAAACTAATAATTCCTGTTTCAGAAACCATACTGTTGGACAATGAATGTCCCCAAGACTTTATAAAAGAAGGAAGACATACTATGCTCGCATACAAAAGAATCGATGCGAAGATAGCGTGGCCAACCCAAGACAAGCTGAACATCTAGTCACTTTCGGTTTCTGCTTGTCTAGTACTCCTTTATATACCTTTGTAAATATTTCGAATTAAGCCGGATATAATTAAATCAAAGTGTAACTTGTCATTTTAGTAATAACTTTTTGATATAAATGTTTTTTGTACTTTGTACTTGTAGCCTAGCTGCAATATTTATTTGAATCAAATACTACTGTGAATTGTCATTTTAACAATATATTTTATTTATTTGAATTTTGTACTAAATAAAGCTAATATATTCTTGAATTATTTGTAACAGCAGTAGTTTATTCTTTTTATGTTTGCTTTAAATAAGGCCTTTTTTTATCAGTAAAAAATTTGTACAAAAATACCGACAATATAAACAAAAAAAATATTTGGGGAGATGGTAAAAATGGAAATTCTAAAGGGGAAATGCAGCAAAAATTATTCACCTGTGAATAAGTAGAACGAAAAGCCGAGAGGCTGCTGTGGATATAATTTAATAATAATTAATTATTAATTATAATATTAAAAGAAATGTGCCAGCACAACTGGTAATTTGTTATAGTGTTTTTGAAAAATGTTTTATTGCTTAATTTTAATACTTTTTACTTTTTACTCTTTCTCACATTACAAAAATAATATGCATCCTAAATAAGTCAAGCAAGCAAATTAATAATAATAAGTTTCAAAATCGTCTGATAAACAAATAAATATAAATAAACTGACTGAACATGCTGCATACCTTTTCTGTGGTTTTTCCACAACCAGTTTTTGAGTTTTTTAGAGTTGAATTCAGGGAAGACGATGATTACGTTACCAATGACTCATAGCATTTGTTGCTTAGTTTCATTTGGACGTGGTCGTCATCTTTCCTGATTTTGAGTATAACTGAGTGACGTGTGACGTAAATATCAGAACTGACAAACGTCTAAATACCCGTTGGTAAAAAATACCGAAAATATTCGATCATTCTTATACCCATGACTCAAATACCTGAAATGTCCTAAATTTTCACGTTATTTTTTCAACGGGTACATAATAATGAAGAATTTAACACAGCAGTATAAACTAACACACTTTTATTAAGTATACGTGATACATTTATATTGTACATTAAGGATGTGTTGTAACACTGCGCATGGGGCGGCAAGGATAGTGTGATCATGTGTCTTAGTCTTTCCGTTTCAAACCTCACCCCAACAACGTTAAATAAGATCAAAACACTCAACGACCATTAATACTTCATATTATATCAAAAATCTTAAAATATTTATTTTGGGCACATAAATTGTTTTTCAAATGTTAAATATAAAACTCGTATATAGATTTCCATCTAGTTGTTACAATAATTAAAAACTTCGAAATGTGAATGTGTACAATAACGAATATTGGAAGACTACTGGATTAACGTTAACGTCTAGTTTCTAAAACCCTGCATAATAAATGCATAGTTATCACAATAAAAAAAAACCTCTTTTCATGAGCATTATTTTTTAATAAATTGTCTCAATTTTTTTTATGTTTTCAGCACTTAAAATTTTCCAGGTATGTATGCATAAAAACGTTTTCTTTCGAAAACTGGAAAGTATGGTAAATTTATCTTTTTTGCCGCCAACAAGTTTATTTTAGAACGGCTTAGTAAACTATCAATATATTTGGTGTAAAATTAATATTCAAAATTATTATACTATGAGGATATAAACACATAGTTCTCCAGGGATACATCTTTTTAGTTACACTAACACTCAGCTCGAACATCCGACAACTAATAGCGATATGCCTAGCTGAGCCGCATAATACGTGGACATTACGAGAATCTAAAAAAAACAGCACTTTTTTTCTCATATTGTCACAATCCCAGTCTTACCTGAGTGTTAGCTAGGGGATGACAAAACTTATCTATTGCAATCAGCAAATCTGATATAGCAAATAATATACTGCCAGCACAGCAGCATAAACTACTCCAAGTGTAGGAACTCTAAAAATGGTGTAGGTTATTAGTGTCGCGAATATGCTATTAGATAATATAGTGGCCTTAAAGATGGCAAAAATTGATACGCCTGAGCAGACATTTTCTTTCTAAACAATAATGTCAACAGACTTCACTCATTTATTTCAGAAAATACTACTGAAATTGTTAAACTGACGAACTCTCAGCGGTCATGCTGGTTGTTGAACGGTCGTATTGGTTGAAAACGAGATTTGAGATGGCCGCACATGGGCACGCACTCTATATTATTTAATAGCCATATGGTTCAAATAGGGTCAGTTAACTTACATTTTGGAATCCAACTCTCGCGGTTGCTCTCCAAACCACAACACAGATTAATTCTATATATATAGGAACCGCAATCACTAATATTCCATGTAGACCAGAATAAACGTAGTTCGTTACTAGAAAGAACAATTAAACTATGAGAATTGAAAAAGGACCAGCTTCCAATAGTGTTTACCAGTATCAACCATCCAAAGTGAGGTTTTTTTAATTACTTCATGGCAAAACACATAGTATAGTTAGTAAATTTAATGTTCAATTGAAAACATGGTTACCATACTTTTAAATTTTACTTTAAGATATTAAGCACTTTTATCGGCATAACAGTAAAATGAATACTCGTCATCCCAGGCAACTAGATACGTCACCATACGTTTTTGGGTTATTAAATAAGTATCCAATACATAAACAAATAATAAAATAAATAGAATTCATCTTTGGCCGGCGTAAAGAAGCCCAATTTTCCTTTCTAATGCTATATCCTTAAGTTTTGGTGTTTTTAGGTTTTGCTCAAGAAAAAGTGTTTTTTTTTTCCGTTGCCATGTTCTGATTTAAGAATTAATGTTTCCTTGTAGATATGATACCAATAGTTACTTTAGATTCTAAGTGCAAAAGCGCAAATACGCTTACAGAAAGGCTCTATTACTTGAAATCGGCTATCAATAAAAAAGTCCCTAATGAGATGTTTAAAAAACGTATGCGTCCTGTTGACGTGATATTATGATGTCAAATTCGCGAGATCAATTGGAAGTCACTTCAAACCCAGCACGTAAGAAGCACGTAACACGTGACCAATTTTGACGTGACTTAGAGTACTTAGACTGATAAACGCCTTCTGGTTACCTGAGATTTGACCAACCTATGAAATGATGCAGATATCGCTACAAGTCCATAGTTTCCAGAATATCATTATCAAAAAATTTTAAATACGGTTCGATGACTTGTCATGAAAAGTAACGAATGAGGAATATTAAAAAAGAATTGTGGAAGTTTTTTCGAAAAACTTCAGATGTAACTATTTATAAATCTTTATCTGAAAACCAAAACTAACCAAAATACCCCGGAGATAAAAGTTTTTTGAAAAAAGCAAAGAAAAATATTCCTATAATCTTTGGCGAAAAACAGGTTGCAAGGGATCAGAATAAACAATAATCATTCAAATAAACTTGTGGTATTCAGTTTGTCTTGCTGACGTTTCAGAACGCTGTCTGAAACTGTTCAGTTCATCAAGACAGACTGGATACACAACACGTCAACAGAATCAACAGCCGACGCAGAATAAATAGAAAAGAATCAACAGAAAAGCACAAATCATTCTGATTGGATAGAATCATGCTTTGGGATGTTTTTTTTCAACTACACGGCATAGTTATAGTTGCAGAGGTCACTGTCCATTAGTGGCTAAAAATATATTTATTGCAAAATTTGTTTCCCAGAAAAGATTTTTTATAGTTTCTTATTAGGCACTCCTTGCTCCTCTCAATGATATGATTATTGAAGTACATTTTTTCATTATTGTCGTCACTGTAACTTAAGAATTTAATTTTATTTGAATCTTTGTTAATGTTTTAATCTTTACTCTTACAGAATATCGTCAAATCCAAGTATTATTCAAAATTTTGATCTATCACAGATTGCTTTTGAATATGTGATCACTACCAACTGATCCTAAGTAGAGAATTCCCGTAATAAATTCTAGTTGCTCTAATCAAAATCAAATTATTGACTTTTCATGCCGGGTTGTATATGAGAGAGTACATATTTATTTAACCACGGGACTTTTACGGAATTGTTGTTTCTCACCATATAGTCCGATCGCAAAAGTTCCCACGCCTATAGGCAGTTTCAACGGTTTGTATCCAAAAGCGGCAATATAGTTCAGATGGCCCACGGAGAATGCCAACATACCCAATTCGAAATGGTTCCAAAGCAAAAGAGCGTCGCCCACGCAACAACACAACAAACCTGTTGCGATTCGTCTGGAATGTTTGAATCTACGAGTAGAAAACCACAATCTGTTATTAAAATATGCCATGCAATTGGCTACCGGTTACCCTTCTCCGTTTGCTTCTCCATGTCTGGATACAAAAAGCACCAAACTAATTATGGGCAGACATTTAAGGATAACAGCCAACGCCGATGGCTGATCATATGGAATGAGAACTCCAAAGTAAAGCACAACAGTACCAAAAAACGGCAGTAGATCTCTGAACTAAAACGAATGTAATATTTTCCATTATTAAATAAAAATGAACCAAATCGAACATTTTGATATCATTTCATATAAATCTATCGAGATTGTGATTTTGGTTAATTTGGATTTCATGATAACTTTGTTGAATGCTAACTTTTAATATACTATATAGTAAAATCAATATTAAAACAAAGATTTTTTTTTGTTTTACAAGAAAGTAGCATATAATTGCGTGAGAATGATTTTCACATTACCTCAACGATTTTATAAATTGACAGATGGCGTTAAATCTATATTTCCAGAGATATCCGTAAAGAAGACAACCTAGCTTAAAAATATTTTTGAAGTTAAAATATCATCTACAAGAATACGGATCCTCTATAAAACCGCGGCCTATGACGTATAGTAGCCTAGCAGAGATAGAAAATTAGAAAAACTAACGGTTCTGGGAGAAATAGCAATTAACCCGAATACTTCCAACGAGATTTTACTCCAAGATGTGCACTTTGCAGGTGGTACCTAAATAAATGCCAAAAAGACCCCGATTTTGCCAGGAAAGTTATTTGGACGGATGAGGCAACGATTTCTAGTGAAGGAATATTCACCAGGTATAACTGCTATTACTGGAAACAGCAAAATCCCCATATTATGGTGGAACAAGCGAATCAGGGAAGGTTCACTTTTAAGGTGTGGGTAGGCATCTACAGAGGACAAATTATTGGGCCATATATTTTTGATTGAAAGTTAAATGCCGAAAGATTTTCGTTTATCGACAATTTGCCACTTCAGCAAAATAATGAGGTATACTTTCAACATGACGGTGCACCTCCTCACCGAAAACTGAATGAGAAATAAAAGTCTTACATATTGGCCCCACAGGTCTCCAGAACTGACCCCTTGCGACTTCTTTTGTGGAGGAGAATCAAAGAGCTTGTATTTCGAAATCGCCCAACTACTAGAAGGGAATTGGGAGAGGCACTTCGTACTGCATTCAGGCAGCATCGTGCGGTAGAATTCCTTAATGCAGAAAATAGCTTCAAAAGAAAATGTAGGATATGTTTACAAGAAAACGGCCGTCAATTTGAGCATTTGTTTTAGATTTAAAGAAACTTGGTAGATGTAGATTTTAAGTGTTACATAGTTTAATTAATAAAAATTTTAAATAAAAAAATTGCTTTTAATCATTTTATATCCGTTTATTATTTTAGGGTTGGTAATTATTGTCAACTAGAAGTTAAAGTGCGAGGTTGCTGTCCCCCCTCGTGTCGTAGCCAACTTGATTTTGTATGAAAAAAAACAATAAAATTTTATCCACACATTTAGCGCCTACTATGGTAAATATCAAAAATTGCAAATATCTTTTAAACTATTTAATAAAAATAGGTGTATGACACATCGTTCGACAGGAAATTTTATTAGAAAACTGATTTTTTTGAAAAATTGGAGTATTCCATTTAAAGAAATATAACTTTTTGTGATATCTCGGGAACTAAAGGCTCTAAGACAAAACGGGTAAAAAATCCCGCTTAAAAAAACTTAACAAAAGTTTTTTCCCAAAACTTAATTCTTACAATTAAAAAAGTTATAGAGGGCCTTTAAAATCGCATATTTTCACCCTGTAGCTCAAAAACGCGTTGACATATCGCGATGCGGTTTTCCATTTTTGACTTCTCTGGAAAATCGATCCCGTAATATGCACATTAGTTTTGGGCTAACTATGCCATAGAGGCCCCTCGAATTTGGACCACCCGGTACTTGTTCAAAAACTTCTACGTTCGACCGAAAATCACCTTGTATATTTGATTAATTTGTTGGTGTCAAAACAAATTGTTTAACAGTTCGGTCCTTATGGAATGCGAACTCATTGTCCTTGTACCGCTTTAGAATTTGAACCTATAGCAATGTATAGGTAAAGAGTTTCTTAAGATACTAGATACAACTTGAGTTGTAACCCAAAGTTTTGCCTTCAAATTTTCCTTCCTGTAGCAACAAAACACAAAAAGGAGTTCTTTAAGTAACTAGCAGCAAAATAATGTCGCGTCAAAGTATTGATCTATGTTGGCGACTATTTCATAAAACCATTGTGAAAGACTGACAATAGAAGGCACATTAACAAAATTAAGATGGCAATCAAGGACTCGACTCACCTTGGGCCAATTAACAAGCGACTACAGATTTTAAATGTTCCAGTCAACCCAGTTATCGGACGAGTGGCGACATTTCTATTAGCACGCAAAAAGGCGATCGGTAATGTCTTGACGCGCCGTGTTTGCAAATAGTCACCAATGACATTATAAAAGAAACCTCAGGTCATTCAGAAAACACCTAGAAAGCTGCAAGCAACTTTTATTTTTAGTTATATCAATCAACTAAAAATGAATACACAATTGCTGATGTCATGGGGAAATTGAAAGATATGGATAGAAAATATAACATTTTATTAGAAAAATATAATAAACAACTTCATGTAAATCAAAAGCTTACAAAGGAATTGTGTCAAATAAACAATCAACTTAATAAGATCGAACAAAAGGAGCTGAGTAACAATCTGATAATCCAGGGTATTCTGTATGATAAAAATGAAAAGTTGAAGGAAGTAGAAAAGAGAATTGGGGAGCAACTAAACGTCACAGTATTAAATAACCAGTTCACAGAAGTTCGACTTGGTAAGGACATGGCCAAAGTAAATCCCATTTAAGTCAGTTTCCATAACCAAGAAACAAAAGTCCGTTTAAAAATGAGAAAGGGTATAAATATTTGTGGCTCAATCAAGGCAACATTCTTTTCAGACAAATGGATAATAGTAAAATTTTACTGATTCAGGATTAGGAAGACTTAAAAAACTAAACAAAAATGGATTCAGATTAGAGTATATGAACATTCAAAGTATTAGAAATAAATTAGACGAGGTGCAATGTTATTTAAAGAATAATAGCTGTGACATTTTTTGTTATTAGTTGAAACATGGTTAAACCAAGCAGAAATTGGTCTTTATGAATTCATGTCGAGAAAGTAGAGGAGGTGATGCGGTAATATTTGTAAAAAATGGAATTAAGTTCCGGGAAATTTGTAAATCTGCAACCAATTATATGATCCACTGATTATGTGCTGCAGTAGGTAATAATGAACCAAAATTAAGTGTTGTATATCGTCCACCCTCATATAACAGTACGGAATCTATAGAATATCTAGAAAATAGAATGACGCAATATCCTAAGAATCATATAATTGTCGGTGACTTCAATATTGGATCATGATGGACTAGTGGTAAAAAATTATAAAAGTGCAATAGCGTTAAAAAATTTGATCATTAAGAATAAAATAGATATATCGAACGCTACGCGGGTGACGGCTGATATTCATAGCCTAATAGATCTCGTTGTAGTGGATCAAATATGTCATGTCATGTCATGTCAGATCACTGTAAGCTAATAGTTACTATAACTGAAAATATCAAAATCCATAAGCCCAAACAAAGCAGCGATCCATGAGAAACTTAAATATATATTTAAACAATCCATTAGAGAAGTCAATTTATGGGAATTTCAAGAGTTAATTGAGATATTAATCACTTAAAAAAATCAATCTGAATATTCAATAAGAGTCAGAAGTCGTGAGAATAACACATGGATTACAGTGGAACTTCTAGAATTGATGAAACATCGGGACCGATTATACAAGATAGTGTGTGTGAATATGGGAGATACTGAGATACTGAGTTGTGTCGAGAATTTGAAGCAGTCAAAAAAAAAGTAAGTAATAAAATTAGAATTCTTAAAAATGATCACTTTGTAAAAAAATGGAATGAAACTGGAAATGACCCAAAAAAACAGTGGAGGTTTATTAACAATTTTGTGAAAAACAAAACTGATAAAACTAATATTGGGCAATAAATTGTAAATAATGAAATAGTGAATAGTTCTGATGCTATTGCTAAGGAGTTGAATAATCAATTCTCCAATGTAGGTAAGAATATTGTAGATGAACTGAATTTAGAGATAAGCGCAATCCCGATGAAACACTGTCGTGATATAGGCTTTGATGATATAGATATAGACTTTGGATAGAAAACAATATTTTCAAATAAACAATGTTAAAAGTGAAATACAAGAAATACAATCAAGTGTATGGGGCGTTCCTCAAGATTGTCCTGGGAACATTGTTATTTTCGTTATGTCTTAAATTTGCAGAGTACAAGGCTTGCAGCACAGTATTACACAGATGCAGATGATACAGTGCTAATTTATAGTTCTGATTTAAAAAATATACGCAATGGCTTTTGATCAATAAAACAAAGTAATACAGATGCCAAGATTAAGTGTTAAGAATATAAATATAGAACGTGTTAAACGACGAAATATTTAGACCTACGGGTCGATGATAGTTTAAACTGGATTGAGCATATTAATTTTATATCAAATAAAATTTACCCAATGGTCCGTGCCATATATAAAAGCCGAAATTATCTGAGTTACGGTGGTAAAATGAATATTTACAATTCTCAGTTACACACAAACTCTACAAAATGAAATCTATCTTAAAAATTTTATTTAATTATGATCAGAAAATTTGTATAGAGAATTGGACATTTATAAAATTGACAAAATGCTTAAACTAGAGCAATGTAAATTTATGTATAAGGTGATAAATAAAATACAAAAGTTTAATATAAAGATTGTATTTAATAAAGTGGTTCACATGCATAACACCAGATCTCATAACGATATTTACAATTATAATATCAGAACTAATAAAGGACTTTCCAATCCAGTATTCCAAGCAGCATGTACTTATAATAAGCTTCCAGAAAATTTAAGAAATATAAATAAATATATTAAATTTGTAAAACGGTTAAAAATTCACTTGATTGTAAATTATATATAGGCATTCAAAAATTTTTTTCTATTTATTCTTTTTATAAATTTATGGTTTGCATTCTTGGGACCAGTGCTTTACGCACTGTTTAAAGAATGCTCAATTATTTTTTTCTAGTTAGTAAATTAAATGAAATGTGATTTTTCAAAAAAAAATTATTACGAAACAAAAATTCAAACATGACGGATTAAACGGAAGATATTTCCTCGAACATAATAAGTATTATTCATTTTAATCAGTCCGGTATTAAATTTGCCAAAATTACACTTAGAACATGCGAAATTTTGAGCAACCCAAATAATGTGATTTGGAATACTTACTCCTAGTCGAGATAAAAATAGCTCGTTTTGTTGTCTTTTATCACCGCGAGTTTATGCAAGTTGATTTACAGTCGATGGGAAGTTAGATATTTACCGAAAACAAGATCATTAATATTTTAATTCTATATATTTATCATTTTTGTATTATACTTTGCGTTGCCTGCCTTTGGCGATTATTGCCACATTGTATTTTTATCCAAAGATAGTTCCAGGGACCGATTTTTGAAGGTATTGAGATATTTGAATTCGCAGAAAAAAAAATTTTCCAAGGACTTCACAAATGTCATGTACTATGTACTGCATTATGCACGGGCATTTATTTAAACTTTGCTGTACACAAATACGAAAATTAAGCGCATTTTCAAGAAATACACAGTGGATAATTAACTACCCTGCTTAATATTCAAAACCTAATTTTTCCTATAATAATCACCGATACATGTCCCTTGCCTACATTGTAATCCTTTAAAATAACTTAGAAATATGTTTTTTTTTACTAATATTAAATCATACCTGATAAAATATCTAACAAGTCAAATTCTCGACTGAAACGAAAGAAGTGGCTCTTGCTTGATAAAAATCCATTAAACAAAATAAATAAGAACTAAAAGTTCAGATTTTCACGAAATTATATATTTTGACACGACAATTGTTTCGACAACACCGTGTCTTTATCACATTTGATGAACTTTTAGTTCTTATTTATTATTATTTATTTTTACATCGATTAGTTAGTTCATTAGTTCAGCGAAGTTTCAGTTTAATATTTTTTGAGTTAGAATATTCTTAAGCTTGGGGCTGGTAAATTGACCGTGGTCAATTGACTTCTTAATTGACTGGTCAAATTCTTGCAATTGTAGAGTGTTATCAATCTGTATTTAACAATAATATGTATTTTATAATAAATTATTATGCGTTTGTGATTTCAAATTTACCTTTTTTACTCACTAAGCACACTACAGTGTGGTTTTATTATGTTACTAGCCACACGATAACTCCGTAAAACAAATTGAATAAATGTCAAATTTGAAAATGTTATATAAATAATAATAAATAAATAAAATTTTGACAAATAAAACAAATGAATTCCGGTTTTGCGAGAAGTGAAATCAGCTTTCCTATTTTAAATGACACGCCCTGTTTACCTTTCAAGTTCTGTATTCGGCAGGTAAATTCAATCAAAAAAAGATAAAGAACATTTCTTTATCTTTTTTCGATTGGCCCAATAACGTCATTTTTCCCAGTCAATTTAAATAAGAAAAAAATATATTTTAACCAAAAAATTGACGTTGACATTTTAATAAAAACCGTTAGATAAAATTAAAAAAAAAACTTGCGCTTTTACCCGAAGTACCCTCAAAATTGAATTCTGTAGTAGTTTTCCGCAAAAACTTTCAACGGAAACCCCCAAATAGACCCATTTGTATTATTCGGTTGTCAATATTTTTTATTATAAAACTAGCCCTTGTCTTACAAAATCCACAAGGAGGACCATTTTTTCTTTAAATCGAAATAAAAGTAAGCTATTTTATTTTAGTCTGACAATGATTATCTTTATAATTTTATAAGTTAAATTGCATTAAAATATGCGGGAAATTAAATAATACCCTTTTTGTATCTACTTTTTCCTGACTTCCCTTTATTGTTTCTCTTTCTTTTCCTTGTTTTTTGCAATATACCCCATCATTTCCACCCTGTGCAGTAAATAGGGTAAAATCCACTGTCACATAAAGAGAATTCGACACTTAAACGTACAATCAATTTTTATTAAAACAAAGAAAAATAGTATTTCAAGTTAGTACCCACAAATACTCCCCCCACCCCCCCCCCCCCCGAAAATATAGAGAATACACTTCAAATTTTTTTGTTATTTAATTTTAATTTAATTTTTTGTACGTAAAGTTAATTCCATTTACTAAATACATGCGGTTTATGTCAAAAACAATAATAAGCGGATCTACATTGTGTACGTAATATGCTATTATTTCACAAGGTCGCAGCCAATCTTTGCGGAAATTGTTTTGGCATGGATTGATCTTTCAAAAACACATAATTTCAATCTGGCAATTTTTAGCCATTTTTTTTAAAGTCATTAAATCTTAGAAACCAATAATTTTAAATCGTTAGCAGAAAAAAATTAGCACTACAAAATTCAGAGAAAAGCTAAAAATTATACTTATGCACTTTTCTGGATATATGTTTAAACCATTTTTTTGAACTATTCAAATGAAAATATTTTGCCATATTTAACAAATATAGCGTTATATTTTTTGTGTAAGAACAATATGTTTATATTAGAACAAATTGGTCAACTCAAATCAAACTGCGCCGTCTTGTTGAAAGCACACATTGCGTATTCTATCAAGAGGTAAATTTTCGACAAAAGGCATAAAATTTTCTTGAATCAATCCCAGATACCTTTGAGAGAGAGCTCTCGAAAAAAAATCGATCCAATAAAACCAGTATTGGAAAGTTTCCTCTCTCAATTAAATATAAATTGTTCCTAGAACTTGAATTATTTGTCATAAATAATAAAAGATTGATAAAGCGACATTTATCTGAAAAAAGAGTTGAACCTTTCAATGTCCTAGATTAAAAAGTTCATTCTCGGACGAAATTCACCTTTAAACAGATGTTAGTGAATTGTTTTCAATATTATCAAGTTCATGATAATTTTCATTTTTCAAATGACTCTCCACACAAAAACTCCAGCAACTGCTCCGTATAAATAAATACATTCGACTTAGCTACGATTTTTTTTTTGGGCTTCGCCGTAAATCAGCAACATGTCAGTTTGATGTTCTCTTGGAAAATTGGAAAAACATAAAAACACAGAATAATACAAACGGGACCTTTAAGGGGGTTTCCACTGAAAGTTTTTGCGGAAAAGTCATATAGCTATAGATATTTTCGTAGAGAAGAGCTTCTACACCCTTCGCCCACTAACCTGCACTTTCTTTCTAAACAGCGATTTCCACACCTTGACGATCCGTCAGCGACCATGTTGACTGTTGAACGGCGCATAGTTTAAAACGAAATATTTAATCTTGCCCATGCACTTGTTGAATCGAACTTCTCATTTTTTTATAGTTATCTCTAATAGCCAAATCGGAAAAATAATACGAAGTTGAATTCTCAGTGTACTTTCGGTAAAAGCGAAAGTATGCTTTTTTTCACTTTTATCGCATGTTTTTTATGAAAACTATTGTATCTGTCAATTTTTTAGATAAAATAAGTTTTTTCTTACTTACATTGACTGATAAAAAGTGACATATTGAAATTTTTGGATTCTAATATCTTCAAAACTATTAGAGCTCTCGAAAAAAGTTAAAGAACATTTCATGCTTGGATTTATCACTAGAATACAAAAACTGCAAAAAGGACAGTATACTTCATTTAAAAAAAGAAAACTGATCTCACTTTCGATAAAACCCGAAGTGCTATTGAATTGTTCAATATGTCAAAATTATTATTATTGGTATAACAGTTGTAAATTTCAAACTTTTTCTTTTTTTTTTCGAGTTATCGCTTGGTAATTTCATTGTCGCCCGGTATAGATAGATATATTCTTAAATTGACTTAACATGTACTTATATGTTTGAAATATTCGTTTTCAAAAATTTTCCATTTCAGATCGCTCACTCTTTTTTTATACAAAACCATATGCAACCTCCTTTTCAAACATTCTACAAATTTAATAGACATTTATTACAACCCGAACTAAGAAACTACATTGCAGTACCGTGCTTAAGGCAAAGTTTTTCATTTTCTTATTTTTTATTATTTATTAAATATATTTGTATTTTAGAATTACACGACGGCGTGCAACTTTCTTTGCTGTTTTGTGCTTCGTGTAGAATTCTGTGAAAATAAAAAAAAAGATTTATCATTAGGTCGTAACCTAAAAGCATCAAATATTTCTTATTCGTTGTTCTCTTCGTTTACCGCGATGAAATGAACCCAACCATTTTATTCGACAAACCTTGATTTAAATTGCAAGGCAAGCTGCATATTTATCAACAACAAACAAAATTATCAAATGAGTGCAAGCAGTGTTTATAGTAAAACGCATTCATTTAAATATATTAAACATGAATATTAAAGTTAAAACTCATTTTCCATGTTTATGGCATCGAAAAGTTTACAAAAAAAAAGCCACTCACCACAGTGATAGCCGAACTCATATTTCGTTAGAGTAAATGAACTTGCTGACAAGGTTAAGGACGATAGACTGGAGAGTCATGAAATCGGGCGTTTTTTTTCGCCAAAAAACGCAATTTTTCGCAAGGCCCAACCGACGCGAAAAAAATATACCCACTGCTCGCGATCTGGATCTCTCTCTTATCGTCGTTTTGTTTACAAACAACACTTTTGCCATTGGAGTGGGTAGGTGCATGTTAAGTTCAAATTTATAGATCGTGCGGCGCAGTGTGGATGTGCGTGCGCACTATCTCACGAGGCACTAGTTCGGGAAAATTGAGGAAAATCAGTCGCGTTTTATTTTTAGAGCGGAAAAAAGCAACTCTCGCGACCCGTAACCAACCTTTCTTATATTATTCATTTTATATTATTATTATAAATTATTATAAAAAATTATTATTCATAGAAAGGAAGTAGTTTTTCGCAGCCTTTCGACATCTTTCTTTAGCACCTTTCATAAATTACTTATTATGTAAGATGGGCATTATTAACTTTTTAAGTTAATCCCACCTAGGTAAAAAGTAGATCTAAATGTTTTGTTTCTAAAAATAATATTGTTCTGAATTTGTTGTTAATGTTTTTTTTTTATTTTGACGATTGTGAGTAATTTAAAATTAAAGGCCAGATATTTTTTTAATATTTTTATAAGTGAAAAAAATTGTCATAAAATAAAAAATAGTACTATTTGGAGTTCAACTGGCTTCTGGTCTTCTATGTCCGCACTCCCAAATATGCTTAGTCATTTACGTTTTTTTAGATCTAATAATAATAAATAATAATTAATAATAATAAATGTCAATATAATATAAAATAATTTAAATGAGTTATGTCAAACTCAGTGATTCGTCTCAAAAATCACAAGATTGAGTCTATGCTTAAATTAACAAAAACCTGCTCAGTGTTGTCGAGTTTCATTTAAACAGCCACGCATCCATGTCAAAATAAAGTCATCGCAAATTTTTGAATGTTGCTGCACCCTCTGCAAATATAAGGAACTAAAAACATTTGCCAAAGAAGCTGTAAAACATTTCTTTTTTCTTTATCACTGTGAGATCCCGAATATACGAACAAAAAAATAGACGCAAATTGCTAAATTTGACCTAAAGACGAAAATCAGACTGCCTGAAAATCTATTACGGTCTCAATTCACTGTCAAGGAACAAAAGATAAATGATAGTTTTAGATGTAGAATCCAAATAACTTGGTATTTTGCACCACGCTAATATGTGCTGATGATAAGTTAACTTAGCTTAAACACCAATTTAGCTTTTGTTGTGAAAACTATTTTTTATTACCATGATTTGGGACCATTCGGGAAATTTGGCATACGCGAGATTTGTAAATTCCGCCATATATATTTCTCGCTCATTCTATGACAATTGTGAAAAAAAAAATTTTTTGGCAATAAGAGTGTGCATCAAACTTGATATGTGTACAAGGTATTTGTTTATATTTTGCACCATAGCTACCTTTGATCTTGCATTGTTTTAATTATAACCCCCAGAATATTTTAACTTACTTGAAAATAATTTAAAACTTAAACGTGAATGTTGGAAAAACGGCTAAAGATAATAAAGGCGAACTTTGTATTCTCGAAATCAGGAAGAGAAATTATTTTCAAATAAATTAAAATATACTGGGCGTTATATTTAATATAATACTTTTCTATAATTACAAATAGATGATAGATAAAAAACCATTTTGTATTATATTGGCGCAAAATATAAACAGACACCCATACATACCAAAAAGTCTGTACTAAATCTAGACGCTGCTGGTTATTTTTAGTAACGCTACTATTCATCGTCGTCCTGTGATTTCAATAAACTGTTTCACAAATTAGGCTATTATAGGCCGTATCTATTTAATCAACAATTTACTAAATAAGAAAATGGGTACAACGAGCTTTAAAGTAGGTAAATTAATTTCCTTAATAATTACGCACATCACACGATTTCGACTTGTCACATGTAATTAATATATACCTAATGAAAGCCATGCAGTGGTTGACAGAAAACGGTTTTCGATTTTAGAATACTACCAAAATTATACAGTGTGTCGTATTTAAAATGAAGACACTCCTATATTTGGGCTATCTAAATAAATACAGATTTTAAGTTTTGCACAGTCATACGGGTTGATGGTTCACTTTTTTTAAGATACTCAACTGAAATTTAAATTTTAAACTCGGCCTACTGCGAATCCACAAACAGGGTCAATGTTCGATATTTTACTTCGCGTTAGAGAAGAAAATATTAGTCGAAAAAGTTGTTTCGAATATTATTCAAAATTATTAATAGTTCATTTTTTTATTGGATAAATTACTGTGCCATGGATAGAAAAATCTCAGAATATAGTCACTTTAATAATATTCGAATACATTTTTCAATTCTTCCGGAGACTCATCTAAGTTCTTTCGTCAATTTCTTGATAGGTTTGTTTTATTCTAGCACCAAGTGCATCTTGGTTTCTGGGTCTTGTTTTATAAGCTATATTTTTTATCACTCCTCAAAAATAAAAATCCAGTGGTGTAATATCAGGGAAAACAACGCGACCTCGAATTGAACGTGAATATTTTCTTTTTTAGGAAAACAAGATCATTCCCTAAATAGTGCCTTGAGGTCTACGTTGTTTTTTTCTATATTTCCGATATTTAAAGGTAAGAATCACTCAAATTGTCCCAAAGAGAAGCTGTTCAAAGATATGGAATACCCAGGAGAACTCTTAGAAACCATCTAAATAAATTAACTGCCGATCAAGAAAAACAATTTTCTGAAAGAATAATTCGTCTCTGTGAAATCGGAATGCCGCTAACACCCATTTTATGCTTCCAAAGGAGTCGCTGGTAAGCATTGCCTCTATGGGGCTTTGAAACGTAATCCTAATTTGTCTAAGCGCAAGGCGCAACAAATGAATCCAACCCGAGCCCAAAAATTAAATAAATTTATAGTTGGTGAGCACTTTAATGAAATGAATTTGCACCAAAATCCACAGAACGTTTTCAATATGGACGAAAAGGGATGCCGAATAACTATTCATCATCAACAACTTGTTATTCGGCAAAAAGGTGCCGTGTTCACTTAGTTGCCCCTGAGCACGCAGAAAATGTGGCCATTGGTGGGTGCTGTAATTCCTTGGGAAATAGTATTCCACCTATGTTCATATTTAAGGGAAATGGATTAAAGCCTGAATAGGAAGAAAACCTACCACCAGATGCCCCAGTTAAAATGGCCGAAAAGGGTAGCATGACCAATGATCTTTTAATTGAATTTCTAAGGTACCTATATCGTTACAAAGATCCAGACACTATTTTGCTAGTTTTTGATGGAGCTGCTAGTCACCTGGACATTTCCATAACCGAGGTTGCAGACTGGTTGAATATAAGTCTGCCACCTAACACCACGCATATAGATAAAGCGGTTTATAGATGAACATTACGGGGACCAAGAAGTTCTCAGGTTTTGGGAGGCAAAACCAGATCGTCGTATGAACAAATCTCGTTTTGCCAAAATTCTATCTAAAGTTTGGCCCAGATGCATGACCCCAGAGAACATTTTAAGCGATTTTCAAGCGCCAGGCTTGTATCCACTTGATCCTACTATATTTCCTGAATCAACTTTTGTCCCATCACTAACAACTGAACGTCTTTACGCAGAGGATATGATGGAAAAAACGTTAATGCTAATAATGTTAACAACTATACTGAGTCCAATAATTGTAACAATAATATTATTGATATTAATATGCAATCCAGCGATAATCTAGACGACTCTGAAGATGACATTCCACTTAGGATGTTAAAAAATTTCCAAGGAAAAGCCTCTAATAATAAACGATGAAAGATATAAAACACCTGTCGAGACTGATAATACGATCTCGGATAAGGCGCAGCCACAAGAAGAAAGTAAAGATCCTAATAAGCCTTTTAAAGAACTTCTTCCTACACCGGAAAATCCCTGAATTACAAGGTACAGCTGGTAACCAAAGCCCTGTTTTTTTTCAAGTTCTAAATCCAGACCTACAACATCCAAAAAAAATGAAAAATTCGGAATCATCATCGAGGGTTTCGTTAAGAAAGCGCACGGAAAATGATGTCCAAGAAAACGAGCCTTGGTATTGCTTTGTGTGTAACAAATCAGAACAATTAGATATGCGAAACTGTGTGTCTTGTGGCACTTGGTGCCACGAAGTATGTAATGGCTTCACAAAAGACGACAAGGACGACTATATCTGTATACCTTGTTTAATTTGCGTTATTGATATAAAAATGCTTTTATCTTGTTGGTTTATTTAGTTCTAAAAAATATGTTTTATGCAAAATTGGCATTTTAGGATTTATAGCTGTTTATACAAAAAATATCTAAAGGTACATTACCCATTTTAGCCTTGTTTTAGGTGGGCCTTTATAGCCGACCCCAATTTTTTTGTGAGCTTTATTAAACGATGTTCGAATAAGAAAGCCGAATGACAGTTTTTAAAATGTGTTAAATGTTTTACATGCCTTTAAGACTGAACGTGTATCTGTAGTTTCATTTATGAGAGTCTGAATTTCTCTGTGTTTGCCAAATACAGCAATTTCTTATTAACTGGGCCTTATTTGCGGCAGATACCTTATAGTAATATCCGGATTATTTTCCGAATTCGTTCGAGACCGACTTCGTAATAATAACTTATTTAAAACTAGAATAATTGTATTTGTGAAATAACACCAAGTTTTAATGAACAGTTGGGTAAATAATGCTGTATTTATTTGGTGATTAAATACACGTCATTCCCAAAAAAGGAAACCGTTCCGTCAAGTTTGACGTTAAAAAGCATTGTCACAGGAAATATTTTTAAAAACATTAAAAGCATTCGATGCTTTAATGCAACCCTGTCACCACTATTCCTATTTACAAGGGGATTTTGAAAATGTGAATCCGAGAATACTCAATCGCTCAGCACAGAAGGGTAAAATTTATATGATATCCCACAATACCACAATAAATCAAATCAAAATATTTTCAGCTTACAAAAACATCGACAGACATTCAGACGAAAGAGTTTTGGAGCCGGTTTTCAACAGACTAACTTCCGCACAACCTAACATTCCTGTCGCTAAAGTTGATGTCACCAGACGTCCTCAAGGATATGGCAAGTGGGCCTTGCCCAAACTGGTATGGAAAACTTTTAGCAAATCAAGTTGAAGAACCAATTAGTTGAAGACAATTATAAAAATTTGAATTGCGGCACGTTGTACGCGAAATCGGTGAAATCCTATTAGCTTTGCAAGTTAAATTTAAAAATCATTAAGTATGAAGCATAGGTATGCTTTTCAAATAAACTTCCACAGGTTGCGCAATTTCTAAATCTACTGAATCAGGTTTTGACTCACGGCAAAATTAATCAGAAACATTAAAATGCATAAACATTAATACTTAAAAAGACAACATGAAAAAAATTAATCTAACCAATATTTAGGAGAGCAATAATTTAGCTGACAGAAGTCAGCTAAATTATTAAAAATATAAAATAATATTGGCTATAGCAAGTGTATATAACATCACATAGTAAAGTATATGGCACAGAAAAAACATTAAATCACAATACACAGGGCCCCGCAACAAGTCATGATCGATACTTTCTTCCAAAATATCATTTTCTCGTTTAAAACATGGTGGCAATTTGTTACAAAATTTAATATAAGGTGAGTTTTGTATCGGTTTTTTTTACTCGATATATATATATATATATATATATATATATATATATATATATATATATATATATATATATATATATATATATATATATATATATATATATATATATATATATATATATATATATATATATATATATATATATATATATATATATATATATATATATATATATATATATATATATATATATATATATATATATATATATATATATATGTATATATATATATATATATATATATATATATATATATATATATATATATATATATATATATATATATATATATATATATATATATATATATATAATTTTCATTAAAACATTATAAATCCTTACATTTACCTTTAATTTATACATTTAATTGGTGGATGCGCAGGGTTTGTTCGTATTAACCTAATGATGGTGACAGCAAAAAAATGGCTTCCATTTTATTTATTTTTTCATCAAAACAGGCGCTGTGTGAAGAGCAAAATCCAATGTGATTATGAAGCAAATATTGCAAACAAACACGCTATACGAATCTTGAACTATTTAGATACTAACTCTTTCTGCGTAAGCTTTTTCAGGCCAGGTCAAAAATCAACACCCCGAAAACAAATAGTGAAAGTCGGAGCCAACAGTCTAAGAAATTTACGTATTAAACATTTTTTTCTAGCTCTTTTCTGAGAATGGATAGTGATAACATATACTTTTAAAGAAAAACTCCCATTTTTAAAGTAAACTATACCATCGTTGTTTGGGCCGTAATTTTTATAAAAACCACAATGGTATTTCTCTGCCGTGACAATGTTATTCAGGCTATCGACGTAACACCAATAACGTCACGCTCGGTTTGAATGGAATGGAAAATTCACATTCATCGTCAAACACCGAAACTTGTATAATTTGCCTACGTATTTTGTAATATAATTGATTCTCATTTGAATAATTGTACTCATATGTTTTTAAAACAACGTCACTACTTTAATTCGTCTTTATAGGGTGTTTTTTGCAAAATCCGTGTAACCTAGAACGTGGTCCATTAGTGTTTTCGGAATCTAGTGGTTCATGGCAGAACTTAATGAAGCTAAGGTTTTAAAGTGGTACTTTGCGTACACCTAATCAGTCCATAGTTTCCTATTTTAACGTGCAGAACAAAAAAAAATGATATTGCCGTCGAAAAATATAGATAAAACGCACAAAAAGAATCTTTAAACGGGGTATTTATATAAAATATACCAAAAACAAACGACAGAGGAAGTTTAACAGGAAAACAGGAGAAATTTTATAATTAAACTCGTTTTACGAAAATATAAAACGCACTTATACCAACAATAAATACGCAACAATGTCAAGGAGTTCAAACAACAATAACATCTCGTGTTAAGTTAATTGATAAGGAAACGTAACGTGGAATAACATTGCAAATAGTAAAAATGAAATTCGCACATAAATATTTTGATTACGCTCCACTTGATTACAAATTCTTTGAACAATTTATTACGTTGATGATTAAATTGTTATTCGGTCCACTTATTCCTCTTTTCCTATTCTTTTTAATATAAAAATGAAATTATAAACTTGGTTTTTTAGTTAGCGGCCACTTAAACTTTAATAAATAAATAATTTTGAATTGTTCTCACACACAAACCCCCCTTTTTTTACTTTTTGATTAATTTTCCTTATTTCGTATCTAATTCTAAATTTTAAACCATCTAAGGTTTGTGGTTTTTTCCTTATACATTTTTAATTTTAAATATCCCTAGAAGAAAAAATCCAGTGAAGTAGTAACATTTGGAGATCTTGCAGGCCCTATTGATCATCTTCTACCAATCCATACAGTATTTAAATATTCACGCATTTGTTGATAAAAATGGGGCGAAGAACCAGCCGGTTGAAATCAACTTTGTTTCTCTGGCATATGGCGCTGATTTCAATTTGGGAAAGAAACCTGGAAAGTAGCAATTAAGTCATTTTGAGGGGAATTGTAAAATAGCGAGCTTCAGTAAGATTTTGATAGAAAAAATAAGGTCCAATAATTTTGTTATACAAAATCTCTGTCCAAATAATTATCTTTTTATCGGGGATTATTTGTAATCCAATACCTACAATTTAAAAATGGATTTAAGATGCACATTTGCATCAGTTTCACAAACATTTTAGGGTTCTCTTTGTTCGGCTCCTGTTGTAATGTAATCTTGTAAGGGTAATATTCGTTTGCTAACATCAGCTACATCAGAAGACGCACGATGGAAATTATCTCCAACTTCTAATAAAATTTTAATGTTGTATTCTCATTAGTTTTTGGACGACCTGGCCGGTCTTTGTAGATATTTTGCGTTAAGCATATTACAAACTTCTCGACTTCTTGTTTTATTTACATATCCAATAAAATTTAAAATTCCAATTATCGTTTTGACGCCGTATTTAAATATTTAACCACTTAGTGATATTAAGGAGAATTTATTCTGTTATTAGCTTTTTTATAATGTCCTCCTTTTTGCTTAAACACTTGTTTTCCAACTGGACAATACGGTATGTTTTAGAAAAGAGAACTTCACGACAAAAATCCACAAATTGTCGTTGCTGCCATAACTAGCATATGCGATTTGGTTCACGATCCCGAGAGAGCTTATGAAGCTATCAAAATAAAGGTAATCGACAGGTTAGTAAATTCAATGTAGATGAAGTATCCTATAATATTTCTGGTGGTAATAATAACTCCTTTGGTGCGTTATTTATAATTTGTATTCAGAAGAAATGCATACTCAATATTTAAATTATTTTAGAAAATCACTGTTAATGTATTAACGGAACAAAAAAAAAAGGTATTTAATATTGTGGCATAAACATACTTATACGGTTACTGTATCATTTAAACCCCTAAATAATGTATAAAAGATATGTACTTTGCAACTTCCAGAAAAAAGTTAAAAAAGGGCTCAACAAAAAGAACAAAATCAAGGTATAGACAGAATTGAATCAAATCGGAAAGAATGCAAATCTTCTTATTCTATTAATTAAAAAAAAAGTACCATAAATTTCATTTCAATATTTGCCCGGTTATACGATGTTAGCCCCATCAATGGAACTTGGAGAAGAGGTATCATCAATTTGGATGGAAAGCTTCAGTTAGTTCATGCAATAGCAAGGTATCAATCCAAAATATCAAATTTATAATTACATCAGCAATAAAAAGTAACCGGCATACAGCAATGAAAAAGTGTGCAATAATTTCCTCGCACTTCCTTGATGTAATTTATTAATGCCTCTTGAACAACAACAAAAAAATACGTATATCTATCAGACGTTCAATTAATTTAGAAACTGAAGTCCTGATAATGAAATGACGTTCGTCTGTAGGAGGAATGATAATTATCAAGAATTTTTTTAACTCGTTCGAAAATTGGAATTTATATACTGTTGATAAAAAAGACTGGAAAAAGGATCGATAGTGCATATATGTAATACATTGTTCACAATTATTTAGAAAACATAACAAATCTGTTTAAATGTATTCCTATACAATATAAGGTTATTTTAACCAAATTTTATAAAATGGATGGACGTGTTTTTTTACCAGGCTTATCTTAAATAGAAGCCAATAAATTTTAAGTACTTTAAAATCTTTTAATACCGGTTATCAGTATTAGATAATTGATCATTTAGCGTACCCAATACAAGTCTATATTCATTGATTTTTTGATAAAAAAAAATAAAAAAGGCTAACATTATTTTGATCTTGATTTTTAAAACCTTTCTACCATAGAGTATATAGTATATAGATGTGAGGTGTCGACATAATTTATTTTATTATTATTAAACTCTGGGTAACCACAACCAGTAAAGCTTTAGCTTTAATGTTTCTTTGATTCCGCCACTTTCCTTTCACAGATAGAACAAAAACCATTAAATAAAAAAAGATTTGAACGCGAGGTACTCACAAGATGGTTATTATGGAGCCCGGGAGTCATTACATAAAGTTGAAAATAATTTCCAGCAATTTTTGTGATCTGATTTAAATTAATTTTTCAAATTTCCAAGACCATCCATTTTACTAATTCCGTACTTAGTTATCCATGCTGTATCAATTTTATATTTTTATTTATTTTATTTGGTTGGAAAATGAAAAATGTAGTCGAAACAGCGTTTAGTCTTAAATAAAAGGAGTCAAAAAACATTTAATATTCAACCAATAAAAGCCAACCCTTAATAGATTCAAGGCGATTAAGAATGGCGTCAGATTTTATAAAATTCGCTTAAATACTAGATAAATTGTTCAATCAGATGTATTGACAGCGTGTTTCACATATAAAATCTTTAAAAATAATGTTGCGCTTTAACAATTAAATGCCAAACCAAAGCTTCCCAGGAAATTGATTATTAAAAAATCTTTTGCTTTTGTTACCATCAAGATACACATGTTGCTTTGAAAATTGACAAATATTCTAAAGAATGGTGTAACAATAAAGCGACTATGAGAGAAAACTGATTACTAATGTAATGGTATGTAATGAGAAGTCCTTAATAGTTATGCCTTAGCGGTAGATGAAGACAGTAGTGAAGGAGAACAATTTTGTGTAAAAAAAACTGGGTCGCAATTTATCATTTTTTTCATATTATTAAAATCATTTAAGTTTCTAATATCATTTTCTAATATCATCCCTTATGAATTTTTTTCTTTGTATGAGAAAATAAAAATGTTTAAAATGCACTATTATCGAAAATATTCTTTTTGGGTTTTCAGATTAGTGGATTTAATAAGACACGAAGATGGTGCGATTAGAGAAAGAGCGACAAATACACTCACAGGCCTGGCAGGTTTAGCCGCCGGCCGAGAAGCTATTGTGGGTAACAAGTTGTTACTTGCAAATTTGGCGGACATTGTAGATGACGAAAACTTGGGTGTACGGATTCATGTTGCTGCTTGTTTAGAAATGGTGGCCAGGTTTTGGATGAGTAAGAAGACTTCACTGTTATCTTTTGTTGACGATAGTGTGCCATCATATAGCTATTAGATAATATCGTAGCACCGCAGACAGCATTGATTTTTTCCTACAGAAAGTAATGATTTTCCGCTCACGCCATTTGCTTCATTTTCTTTCTAAAAATTAAATTAAATTAAAATTAAAATTTTTATTGCCGCATTTAGCATTTACAATATAGTTTAATCTAAGAAAAATAAGAAAAATAGTACCCACACATGTCAACCGAGTCATAATACTTAATCCAAACAACACTTACAATTGCTAAACTACAAAGTTTACAAGGTGGCCGGTTAATTAAAAACAGTCTTCTTCACTTTACAATTAAAACTACTGAGAGGGTCAGAAAATAAATCAATACACTCGTTAACTGAGAGTAAAATATTTGTCAGCTTGCACATTCGATTCATAAGCGAGTTAACGCCATAGTTGGTCTTATGAACATCGATGTTAAAAAGAGTCTTATTTCTTGCATTAATAGGAGATGCCAGAAGATCTGGTGCATGCATCAAATTAAAAATAAAATATATGCGCCTACTCTCCAAAAATGTCAGATTCAAAAGCTTCATAACTCCTCGTAGTTTATTTCCTCCAACGGCATTCCCAATTTAAAATCTATCCATCTAAGGAACTTACGCTGAACACGTTCTATTTTTTTCTTGTGAATTGCATAGTATGATTTCCAGACACAGCTAGCATACTCTAAAATTGAATGCACAAGGGCACAGTACAGCTCCCTATACGTAAAGATGTTCTCAAAACCCTTGAAAGTCCGAAAAACAAACCCAAGCAATCGAATAGTTCTGTTAGTCATAAAATCAATGTGATATGTAAATGTGAGCTCCGAATCGAGCCAAACTCCAAGATCTTTAACTAGGTTCTGTCTCTCTAGCGATTCAGAGATCAAATGATAGATGAAAATTACTGGATTTTTGGATCTGCTAAAGCTTATAATTTTGCACTTGTTTAAATTAAGAGTAAAATTGTTCTGTCTGCACCACAAAGAAAACTTATCAAGATCCTCCTGTAATCGATGACAGTCAAGAACCCAGTCAAGCGATTTCCACACTCTTAATTCGTTTTCCCAGAATATTTAACGAGACCTAGGAATATTTTGATAAAATACTGTCGTAAACTTATTGATCGTCTGTCAGTGGTCATGTTGAATGATGAATGCGGCAAGGTCATTGGTTGGCATCATTGGCGCATGCTCATGTTGGATCGACCTTCTCAATTTTTTTTCATAGTTGCTTCAAAAGGGGATACCTGTATTATCGCCATAGGCAGGATCTCTACATCTCTAGTAACTATATGTGTGCCACTATAGGTTTAATTCGCCATGTGGTTCTTAAATAGAACGCTCACATGTTTTTTGATTATCAAATTTAGTTTTCAAAATAGATCCAAAATTCGAATTTTAATGCAAATAAAAGAAAGTATGAATGACTTTTCGTTGTTTGCGAGTGTCGCCCAATTCCACAGAAATTATAACGATTCTTCATTTTTTCATTTATGCGGAACATGCGGATTGATCTGATGGAAAATTGTTCGACCGGTAAAGTTTAACTCTCTAATTTGTGCAAAATCATTCAGCAAACGCATTAAAATATTTTTCAAATTTTTATCATTCACGGACAATGTTTTCTTTTGCATTCTGCTGGCTTATTATTGATTGAATTCATCTGAGCCGGGCGCTCAGCTTGTTGTGCCATTCGTAGGTAAGAAGCTTTTAGCCTTCAGCCTTCCAACACCCATTTCCAGACTGTTGATACTATTTCCTGAGTGGTTCATAGTCGACAAGTACATGCAGAGGAGTTTCATCCGGTGTTCATCTTGTGTGATGCCAATGTTCCTAAGATGCTTTCTTGTTGACCAGTGTCCAGTTATCAGCCCAATAGTCAGCCTCAGCTGATTCCTGTTGAGCCCGACAAGGCTGCAAACAAGAGTCCTGGACGGTCCATTAAAGAGCGCTTTAGTGTGTCTCATACCTTCATCTTCAAGCCACATATCGAGAAATCTATTGCCAGATATCTGGTCAAAGAGACTTTTAATGAAGCTGTCGGGTACTGGGGTAGGACAGATAGGTAGTCTACTTGTGTGACAATGTTTTCTTTTGTATTCTGATGGCTTCCTGCGAAACTAAATGACAAAACATTTAAAATTCAATTTTAAACCATCCTGTAGTGATGTATAGTTTGCCTCATTCTACATGGAAAAATCATCCAACTGAATGTAAAAATTTCAATTTTGCGCCCTAACCATAGTAAATTTTGAACGAGCTATTAAATTTTGTTGGTGACATCTGTTGTTTTATGAATAAGTAGAATATCCGCATCAACATTCTATCGATATAATCCGCAAAAGTGTTGACCCTTAAACAACATGTACGTTTTCTTTTTGGGAATAGCTGCAGATGTATTGGTCGATGCGGGTTTTATCCAAATCCTTTTGGGAACTATTGTTAATGAAAGGCCAGAAGTCGTCGATAAACAATTGGATACACTCGAGTCTCTTATTTACGGCAAAGGGAAAGAGATTGTCATACAAGAAGGCGGATTCCAAACCTTGGTTAGTGATGACATACTACTAATCAAGACTGAAACTATGTGTCTAATGGTATCTAGATTAAATTTTTGGAACACGAAGAAAACAGTATAGCAGCCAAGACGTGTAAATTAATTGCGCTTATGTGTTATACCGAAGAAGGTAGAAAACTATCCAAAGAGCTCGACTTACTGCCGATTTTAAACAGGCTCTTGCACTATACGGTAAATGCATCATGATTACGCCAAAAAAGTTATACGAATCATTCGTGCTTGCAGGAGAGTGAAGTTCACACTGCCGCAGCTGAAGCTATAATGGTTTGTACCATAACGAGCGAGGAAAAAATAAGAGCCAGCACGATAAAATCTATGATGAAACGGTTGGTACAGTTGTCGAGAACCAAATTGAATGCCACCACTCAAGTGTTTGCAATTAAGGTAGTACTGACGAACCATTTTTTTCGACAGCAGTTAATCGCATAGATTTTCAGGCTCTGACTAGTATTTGTGAACATCCCGAAATGAGGAGAGAAATTAACGAAAAATATAAGGCACAAATTGAAGATATTCAACTTGGTGATTTTCCGAATGCCGATAAGTTCAAAGAAGATCTTATAAAAATTGTAGATTGGGTGCCTTACGAATAAAACCCCAATAAAACAATTCCAATTTTTCTTGTGCCACGTTTTGAAATTTTAATTGTGTTAGATAAACATATACCTATTCTAGTAAGTAAACAAAAAAAACGCAAAAAATTGCAATGTTTTATTTTCTCTGTCATACGGGGCTGTCACTTTTAAAGTTATCGTCAAGAAAATATTCCAAACAGTAAGAAATACAGCACCGTTTAAGTTGGAACCAAAATAGATAACTAACTAAACTTCTTATTCTACTTTTATGTCTGTACAAATCTATAAAAAAATATATTTTTAGTATAGCACTTTTGAAATACCGGTTAATATATTGTGTTATAAGTATCGCCAACTTTGAATATAAAATATGAGAAAATATTTTAATATTTAAAATCTGACAATGCAGTAGGAAATCTCAAAACCCACTTTTTTATTTTATCGAAATTATATGTAGCGTTCATGTTTACACTACCTCAGAGTTAGTCAGAATCGAAATCCCAAAGTCGATGGAGTAGATTTTAAACCAAACACCACAGATGTTTGCAAAATCAAAATAAAAATTATATACGAAGTTAGCGTCAAAATTTCCCGGCCTGATATAGATGCACTTCCAGTATCACGATAAAATTTTGACTTCTTTTAAATATGCTGCGAAAAAAAAATTAAGTCTTGCGTCAAATACTTTTTTATTGACAGCATTTTAAACAAGGCGTGTCCGGAAAAATGTCGCAAAAAACGCAAATTGAGCATAGAGCAGTCATAAAGTTTTTAACAAAAGAAGGGTTAGCACCTAACATTATTAAAGAAAGGCTGGATGATGTGTACGGCCAAAGTTCTCCTTCGTATTCTGTAATGGAAGAATGGGCAAAACGTTTTCGAATAGGCCAGGAGTCCCTTGAAGATGATTCAAGAACTGGTCGACCAGTGGAGGTCATAACGGAAGATATTGTTGCGATTGTGGAAGAAGTGGTATTGAGTGATCGACGTTTAAAGGTCAAGGAAAACTCAGAAATTACTAAGCTTTCTGATACACGTGTTCGTCGAATCCTGCATGATCATTTCGGCTATTCAAAAACAACGCCGTGTCGAGTGTGCGCGGTTTTTTTTGGAACTCTGTGGGTTGGAACCGAAGCCTGTGATAGAAACTATTGTGAGATGAAACTATGGTTCTCCATTATGACCCTCTATCGAAAAAAGAATCAATCGAGTGGCGTCGTAAGGGTGAAGCACCTCCAAGAAAATTCAGAGTCTGCCAGTCAACAAAAAAGGTGATGGCCGCGATCTTATGGGATTGTGAAGGAATTCTTTTGATAGATTTTAAAGAAACTAATACCACTGTCAATGGTAAATATTACGCAACATTATTACATGAATTGCGAGACTGCATACGTGTAAAACGTCGAGGAAAACTGACCAGAGGCGTGCGTCTTTTGCACGATAATGCACCTATCCATACTGCTGGTGTTGCACAAGCTGCCGTTTTAGAGTGTGGGTTCCAACAGATAGATCATCGTCATCATCATATTTCAAAAAGGACTTACGGTTTAACGACCGAGTTTAAAGGGATTGAGTTACTAATAAAGAGATGTAATAAGTGTATTGAAGGTAAGGGGGATTATATTGAAAAATAATAAAAAATTGTTACTCTACTTTGTTTCTTTTATATTCAGACCGGGAAATTTTAGAGCTGCCCTCGTAGGCGTTGGTCTTTACAATACCTTAGAATTGACATTGTCCACGGAAAAGAGTAAATTTACTTTAGTTTAGATTTTTAATTTTATTACTATATTTTTTTAAAGTTTTTTAAATCTCGTGCAAATGCAACTTTCCTCTGGTTTAAACACTACACATTAAATAAATAAAATCGACATGCTTATAAAAAAAAACCTTTGACGTAAAAATATGAATGTACTTAAAAAAACATCTGCGGATATGACCGACCTGCGTCTATATTACGTCAAATTTGCCCCATTTCTACAAGATGCTAATATTTCGCTATCATCGATGTTTATATAATAAAAAGGAATTGTTGTTTAAACAACGATAGCATTTCCTCTAAATATCAAGCTTTTTATTTTGAACCTGCTATCAGTGACGTAAATATAAGGAAAAAAAGTTAGAATTGACTGTTTAATAACTTTTACAAATAACACTTTGAAGGGGTCAATTGATAACAGTGATTTCACATTAGGCGTTTAAGTATAGGATCTTGGAAAAGAACTGTCGAAAAAATAAGGTCACACCGTTTGAATTGCATAATCTTCTTAGTACGTTGTTCTTTGTTGAAATGAAGTTCAAAATTGAGTTATAAGCTCACCAGGTTTTCTAAGACAAAAATTGGAAAACCTCAAAGAAAAATATTTGCTGAAATACCCGGTTAAATTCTACAAATACGCACAGGTCGCCAAAGAGCTTAATTTGTTTTCTTATTTCGCGTTTTTGTATTTTTCGTTATAATACTGTCCAGAACTTCCACAGTCCGACTTTATCTTTATTTTGCTTGATTTTGCCGCTAAAGGATCTTTTCCGCATTACTTACCTGCGTAACGAATGTTCTTTAGGTGTTGAGCTTTTCTAAATACGTAACCTTCAGCGATAACGAACCACACCACCAAATTCAACCAATCACATCCCGCGCCCCCACCTTGTTTTCTATCTTCGTTACGCACATTCGCAATTGCCGATTCTCAGCGACGACAAACGAAACAAACTATATTACATGCGACGTTGCCGGCTTACCATTAATTATATATTTCACTGAAACAAGTCGCTGTTTTAACTTCTGCGATTTATACATACATTCTCTATAACAAAAAAAAAAAACAAAAATACCTAAACAAGTCCAATAGAGACGTTCGCAAAGACAGCCAATTATTTATCCAATCTGTTCTTAACCACCGGATCTACTTGCTCACCTGTGAATAGTGTAAAAAGTCGAAATAATTTTTCACAATACTTCCAATTACCAAGCCCGCTATGTTTCGCAAAGATTGTTTTAGAAAAATGCAGGTTATTCCGCTACCATGGGGAAAACTTATTGGAAACGAACGGCATCGCCGCCTGACACAAGACTCAAAAAAGCGCGACCCATCCTGGTTTTGTTTATTCAGTTTAGAAAGTGACAGAGAAGTGCGAGGAAGTTGGATAGTAGCTTTGCAGCGCGTAAATCGTAATCAACACGATATCGTAACTAATTGTGTTTATCGCGAAATAAAATGAATTTGTCATTTGCTGGATGTGGATTTTTGGGTATTTACCACGTTGGTGTAGCGTGTTGTTTCCGCAAATATGCTCCACAGTTGTTACTAAACAAAATATCGGGGGCCTCTGCTGGAGCTATTGCGGCTTGCTCTTTAATATTGGATTTGCCATTAGGTCAGTATACTCTGTTTTTTTTACGAATATTCCACTTTACATATGTAAGTACGTAGATGCTTTGATGCTTCACAACTTCTGATAATAGGTACTTTGTGAGAACGCAATTTGCGCATTGACTAAAACCAAATCTTGTTTATGGTGTTATGGAACTAACTATTTGCTTTCCCGCTGTTATTGCTTAATGATTTATCATCAAATTCGCAATAATGAATATAGTACAGTATAGTATAGTACATTAATATAGTACATAATATAATGTAAGTCATGTATATGTGACTAGAAAATAAATCATTAATAGCAAAGCATTAATAGTTCCCTAATGTCGAGGTCATCCATGCCAATTAAAAATTACTGTGAAACGGTGGAATTCATTTTGACGAGGATGTTAATATTATATTAGCTGGCAATAATTAATCTCATGCAGGTTCTGTTGCAGCCATAGAAGAGTTTGAAAAACAATAGGTACCTATTTTTCGCAATATTTAACTTCCTGACATCAATCAGAGATATACTTAACTCGTTACTAGATAAAATGCATTATTTTTTAAAACATGTATTTGAAATCAGGATAAAGAGTGCAATGCATTAGTATATTCAACAAATTATTATCTACTATTCTGTAGTTGCGCCAAGATAAGTAAATAAAACGTTTAGAATTTCGATGAATAGGTATGGATTATTCAATTTCCCAATAGATAGATAGGTCTTAAAATTAACATTTATTTTTTAGGATTGAATGTCTAATTAAATTATAATTATAAATTAAATATGCCGATCTTATCATTTGTTTGTATTAAATTGTGAGGTAGTATAGGTATATACAACAAATACTTGTCGTTTCAGCAATTGTAGCACGCGAATTAACACATTTGCATAAAAAAGGAATATATCATAGTTGTTTCTATCGATATGGAGTTCTTGTACACAGGCGATGGTATCCTAAATAAATACGATGTTAATTGACCTCGTAATAAGTTTATTTCGATCGCTTTTGTTTGAACTGTCATTATCTTGTTACATTATTAAATTGAATTTGTTTGCAGTTCACAGGGTTCCTTATGTTTTAAGCTAATTCTTTTCTTATCGAACTAGTAGATGACAAATAGACGATTTTGTTGGGATCGAAACTATGAGAATATTATAATTAAAGTTACATTCCAAATGTTTCCCAACATTTGCTGAGATCGTTTGGACAGTTTAATTTTTTAATTTAGAGAAATTTCAACAAAAAATCGTATTCTGAGTTATTTATTAACTCAAAAATTTAGTTTTTGGTTAGTTGGAGGTACTTTTTGCTAAAAAAAGCTGATTTTAGCTGAATGACATCAATCAAGGAAGGGGTTCAACCGACAAAGTGTGATTTCTGGTTGTTATCTGCAGTTGGGTACCACTAAATATTTCCTTACAAACTACTTAAAAATACAATTATGTTACAATTTTACTTTGTTCTTAACAAAATTTAATTACAACTTCAAAATTGACACTGCCGTTTCTACGAGAATTTTTGATTTATAAAAATACAACATCCAGTAACATAAATAAATAAATTGCTTGAAAATCTTCTAAGAACGCCGCCGTCGTGATTTATTATAATAATAATAGCTCTTTATTTCCAACAGGCCACAGCCCAATTAAAGGAAATTGATAATGATATGTAAATAATGCAAATACAACGTTTGAATATATTTATTTTTAAAATGATTTTAAAATAAGTGCAGGGTAACTGATGTCTCCTTTTGGGTACTTTTGCTCTATTATTTGACCATTAAAGTTGGAAAATCAAAAAAATAACAAAAAAAAACAAAATATTACATTCGATTTTAAGTGAAGACCATTTGGCAAAATTGGCGCATTTTTGTAGTTTTTTAAATATAATTGAGAAGAAGCCTCCTTTTGTATTCAATTTTGCTGGTTTAATTATTGTTAATCGTTGCCTTTTATTTCGCTTTTTATCTAATTATGCATTTAATTTTAGAATATTGTCATTTTTTGCTTGAAAAAAAGTGTATATAATTGTAATGTTATTGAAAAATGTGATACTCAGTACCTAATACTGATTTTTTTATCTTGAAAACCCGAATGGGATATATAAATATAAGTAACAAAATGCAATTAGAATTTTGTGCAAATCAGTGTTTTATAGGTGGCAGTCCATTTAAAATCCCAGTGTTGCCATTGATATCCGACAAGACTGAAGTTTGGTTTGTTTATTCTCCTGAACTTGTAATACACTGAATTTCAATCAATGTATATACCGAATGACAGTGACAGGGACGTGAAAAGAAATCCGCGGATATGTTATATGAACGATACATCAAATGCGAGCACAACTATTTTTATTATTATGCAATGAAACACCGTAAGAGTAAATGTTTCAAAATCAAAGCATCCACGTTACTGTATGTAAACATTTACAGAGTGAATCAAAATCCTGTATGTTCAGAACAAAAAAAAAATTTCAAATTTTGGACGAATACAGTTCAATTATTAAATTAATTATAACCCAATTAAATAATAATAATAAATATTATTATTTTCCCAAAAATATATTCTTAAAATCTTTGTAGTATTTTAAGGCTAAAAACATTTGTTTTAAAGGTGAAACAACGAGCGATGTGCTTAGGGTTGCGACCGAAGCCCGCAAAGGGTCACTAGGCCCATTTAATCCTTCCTTTAACATCAATAAACTTCTGCTGGAAGGTTTGGAAAAATTCTTGCCCGAAGATGCCCATATTCGAGTAAGCGGCAAATTGCACATATCCCTCACTAGGGTATGCGACGGTAAGTGCTATAAGGGATGTACTAAATATTGATATCTACGTTAACATTTTATTTAAGGCAAAAATGTGATGGTATCCCAGTTCAACTCCAGGGAAGAACTCATCCAGGCTTTGTTAGCGTCCGCTTTCATTCCGATATTTTCTGGAATCTTTCCGCCTAAATTTAGAGGCGTTCGTTACATGGACGGTGGCTATAGCGACAATTTACCGACATTAGACGAAAACACCATAACTATCAGTCCGTTTTGCGGGGAGAGTGACATATGTCCCAGGGATGACAGTTCACAACTTTTCCACGTAAGCGTTCATTAAGTCTGCTTCAGAAATATTAATTTATTTTTTTCGTTGCAATAAACCCCTACAAAATATATTGGCTACATTTATACGTGTCTGGCTCTTGAAATTTCTTTATTAAACCTACTTAAATCGTTTTAAAAAATAGTATTTTTCTTATTGGCAACCTGTAGGCTTAACAACAAATTGTCAATATGGGTATACTTAATTAGGTAATATAAGAAATATGTTGATGCCAACTGGAACTGAAAAAACTTTTGTCTCTTTTTAAAAAATCGATTGGCCCAACGTGGGTGTTTATGGTCCACCCTTGGGTTTCATGGCTAGGGGAGTCATTTAAATTTTATAGAGCACTGAAAGGAAAATTTATAAAACCTACTTTACCAAAAATTATATAACCAATAAAAATAAAATAAAACCAGAACGTAAGATTTTTTAATTTTCGGTGTTTTAGATCAACATAGCAAACACAAGCATAGAAATATCGAAACACAATATCTACCGAATGGTGAGGATTCTTTTCCCGCCGAAGCCTGAAGTTCTAGCGAACATGTGCAAGCAAGGCTTCGACGACGCGTTAAGGTTTCTACATAGAAACAATCTCATCAATTGTACAAAATGCCTGGCGGTCCAATCCACTTTTGTCGTGTCGGAAACTTTGGAAGATAATTTAGTGTACGACCCTCAGTGTAAAGATTGCAAAGTTCATAGGCAGGTAAGAAAACATCTTATTCTCAAAATTACCGAGACTTAAAAATTGCGCTCGAAGCGTTTCGGCGTGTTACAAACAAACATCTTTGTCGAAAGTTCAAAAATGCGCAAGATGTCTGACCCGCCAACTTGTATTTGATTGCAAGAATTTTTGTTGTTATCTGCGGCCTACAACGAGACATATTTTGAAATAGCGCTGACTCAATGCCTTTGTCTTTAATTCTCTTTCCATTGTTTTGATAAATGTTTTAAATAAGCCGGGATCTAATCAGCAGGCCAGGTTTCAAAGTCTACTTTATTTTTTACGTTTGAACTTTGTTTATTTGTCGCTGTCGATTGAGGTATTTGTCAAAAATATATCGGGCTGATTTTTTATATACAGTGAAAATTGGTTCGCTATATCCGAGGTTTACTATAAGCAATAAATGAACTTTTGTACACACCTGATGTTTACCCTGAATGGAGGTTATTGCATAATATATAACATTATGTGCGTTGGTTTTGCAAAAAAAATGCCACGATAAACTAGCATTTTTCTATTACGTAATATTGGAAAAGTGAAAATTAAATATTCTGTACAAAACAAGTAACAAGTGAACAAAAAAAAATGTATCCAGCTACTCTTGGATAAACAAGTCAGATATATTGGTTTGTAAGAGTCTGTTAGAAAAGTTAATATTACTTATATAGATTTCAAGGTTACAAAAAGAATTCCACACTTTTTCAGGAACGTCGCGTGACTCCCAAAAACATGCGAATCCCTATAATTTTTTCAGTCATGTCTTTTACTGAAAAATCATTGATCATGGCCACTTCCTCAATAGCCTCCTCGTTCAGCTCATATTCACTCAATTCTGCATTTGTTTCTGAAAAAAAAAAACGTAAACCAGTCATTTCATCTGTTGACGCTAACTGGATAATTTCGTCTTCTACCAAAGATTGAGTTGGAATAACTGGATTATCTATTCAAACGCAACTTTCGAAGTCGAAATGTTCAATGCTATTCCTGATCTCTGCTACAAGGGCTTTCTGGCTGTCGAATTTCGTCGGTATTTTTGGGGCTCTCCCGATTGTTTTTTAGCCATTCCGTTAGAGGCAATTCATCATCATCATCATAACAGTTTGCAATAGTGTTTTTGCTAACTTCCTGCCAAGCACAGTGAATAAAATTTACAGCATCCAATAAGTCCACAGAAATCTCTTGTCCATCATCAATTGCTTCTATCAGCAAAATCTTCCTATAGTGACACTTCAGGGAATGGATTATACCTTAATCCATGGGCTGCAGTTTTGAATTGGTATTGGGTGGCATAAAAACCAGTTTGATTTGGTTGCACGGAACATTGGGATGTGCTGGACAATTGTATACTTGAAGAAACATCTTTCTATTCTTCAATTCTGTATCCCATTGGAGCATCCGCGCTTTGTTGTTTGACCTGCACTTGACTGGTAGGGTCGTGTGTTTAAAACACCTTGGGTTTACTGATTTGCCGATAACCAACAGCTTTCTCTTTTCTGTCTCAGACATGTTTGCAGTACCCAGAACGGTTATTCGAACCTTGGACAATTTTCCGCCTGCACACATTTCTCCTTTGAATTTCAATGTCTTATCAGGGGTTAGTTTGTAGGAAAGGCCGGTCTCATCGGCGTTAAAAATATTGTCACTGTCATAATTTTCGCAAAGATCAGGCCAAACCGTTGTCAGCCAATTATTAACAACATTCATATCAACTTGATGCCGACTCACCAACAATTTTTCTTCCAGAGATACAATTTCTCTTCTTACAACGTGCAATCCAACTTCTGGAACACACAAAATCTCTTGCTTCTATTCTACTTCCCATTTCACTCGCTTTTTATTGAGGAACTTGACCATTGACCATTTGACCATGGGAACATTTTATTTTCTTTTTTGGGTAGACCACTATAAAAGCCCCTTCATGAGCTGATTTTCTGAGCCTTTTATAACTTGACCATGGGACCAGAGAATCCTATCTTTTTTTTCCTGGTGATGGAGACAGTGGCTTTAACGAAATTCATTTCACGACAAATATCACTTTCATACCACTTTTAATTTTTTTTATAACATCGTGTTTTTCTTTCAAAGTTAATGCTTTTCGTTTTTGCTTCTCCATTTGAACGTCTATCATCAATATTCTTCACGAAATCTAAACCACAACTGAGATCAAAACAATAAAAAAAAACAAATTTGCTATGTATTTTTTAAAAAAAATCAACTGTATATGTTAGTAAAAGGCCCCACACGCTGTAATATCAACTAACCAAATATAACTAAAAATTATCTTTTTTTTTTCTCAACCTAATAATGAAAACTCTTTTTTCAAAACCTGGAAAAGATAGATCCAACAATATTGAATTTTGGTTATTCGAATCAGTAGTATTCATTCATTCACTAAAAGTGTCATTTGAAATTCCAAACGTGCGTTTAGTATCAGGTAATGAATATTTCTAAAATCACCTATTATGGCAAAATTATTAATAAATTTTTCTCTTTGTTAACTTTCCATAATGTTTATTAAACCATTCAACGTGAATCCCCTTGTATATTTGATAAAGCGTTTGCAGGTTTCGTAGGCGAAAGTTACTTTTAAATTTTTTGATTTTTTGGAGTGAAAAAGTCGGCAAAAGTTCCTTTGATGTGATGCTGTTTTGCAAACAAGCAAACAAAAAACTTCCACTAAATTCGCCGATTCACTATCAGTATTATTATATCTACAACTGTTTATCAGTTTGGTACTGTATTTTGTGCTTAGTGATAGAGGGAGATAAGACCACCAACCTTGTATATTGAATTTAGATATATCTGGTGTATATTAAAAAAATTATAATTGTCTTGCGAAACTTGCACCTGCACAGATTTACTTTCTACTATGATCTTTGGAACAAAATCAAAGTGAAACATTAACATTGCGTTACATTTCCCAAAATAAAATTTTATGGTCTCGAGGCTTCCTCCCTTGGTCCTAGAAACACTTATTCTAAAAACGTTTATTTCCCTCTTCAATCTTGAGTTCTTATTTTGTAGGAAGCTCTAGTTTCAAACGTACCTGACACTGTTCTCAATGTATTCCAAGAAGTTATCGAATCTGCAAATAAAGGACTGCTAAACTGGACTTTCAAGCATCGGGGAATGAAGTTATTATCGGTCCTAAGTCTTCCGTACACTTTGCCTGCCGATATGATGTACGCCACATTCACAAAGTAAGTTAGGAAAAATTTTAATTTTTTTTTGTTGCTGCTAACACGAAAACATTTTCCGCCGTTGACAGATTTTTAGTTGTTGCTTTTAGGTTTTTGAGTTTGCGCAACCCCACTCCGAAGATTGAACGTAGAATAGTGATTCGTAAAATTACCGAATTCCAACTTTTTAATCTAGTGGGAGAACATTTTGAAATCTTTTCTTCCCAGTATATTCCTTGCCAGGCACTTATTTTACCCCATACTAGGCACGCGCTTTGTAGGGACAGATCATTACGGATGCATGAGAGGTGAATAATATTTCTTAAAGTTCTGAAAGTTGCGTTTGTTTGTTGGTGGCTTATATGAATTCATTTTTACTAAATTCTTTTTTGGAGTGGGGTGTGCTTGAACAGATAATTGGATTATGCGTAATAAATTATCATCAAAAATTCGTCCTCACAAATTTCTACCGCTATATAACTACTTTATTTTGCTCTTGGAATTTATTTAGCACACTTGTGTGCGGTGTTTATCTTATTTACTTTTTACATTTTTGCAGGTAAAAATATCAAGAAAACTGTTAAATTAATTAATTAAATTAAACCAAGTATAATATGTGTAATAGTTGTAGGGTTTGTTCTAAATCCCCAGATCGCCTGTAGAATTAAACAAATAAAATCCGATTGCGATATTTTTTCAAAAAATAAGCGTAATAATTTTTTTTCTACTTAAAAATTTCCGAAATATTTAATATAGTAAATAAAATTTAGGGTAAAAGAATTCGGAACTCATTTTTCAGTATATTCCAAATTAGCGAAGCAGAAATATTTTTCTGCTTTGAATTTAAGCACATAAGGTTTAAGACATAATTTATTGGCAATAATAAAAATTGGTATTTTTAAATTGTAGTAACCACACTCTAATCGAGGCAAATCTTAAAATTATTGCCCAATTATTTATATGAAATAAGTTATAAGTAATAATTTGAACGCGAAAGAGCAGAAGCGCCAATAAAAAAGTCGCTTGGGATTCAACTCTCTGGATAAAGCGTATGTATTAATTTGGTAAATAGTTTCCTCCCCAGCTTATGTTTGCTTCGTTATCGTTGATATTTAAACAAAATGAAAATTAAGTTTGATAACATTCGATCAATTTCCCATTTAAGGTTAATGGCAACAGCGCCGCATATAGGGAACACTCTTTGGGATATGAGCAAGATCGCCTTGGATCAAATGTCTCACATTTTGCATAGAGTAAATAGAAAGAGACAACAAATGAGCGCGAAGATCACTTGTCAGCTTGCTATAACGGAATATGGAGGAAGTAAGTTGTCCTTAAAAAATTCTTTCCCGCCATGTGAAAAGTTATGACTGTTTGCAGATGCCTTGGACACTAATTTATACGGAAATATGACTGAGAATAAAATGAATTTGAACTTTACTGTGAACTTGGATAATTGGTAAGAGCTAGTTTTAGACAGTAATATACTTGCGAATGCCTTTATGAATTGGATAATGGCCGAAGTCGCTTGATTGATTCATAAAACGATGCCAACAGGCAGATAGATAAATTCACAGAGTTTGTTAAGGTCACTGGTTTAACTAATTAATTTGAAATTTTTTTAGCGATTTACCTCTCGAGCAAAGTCCGGGTCGCAAGTTCAAGACCAAACAAATTTTGCAACGTAGACCCAGTTTTTCTGTCAAAAAAACGGATACTATGGACGACGACACATTCGACCACATTCTGAACGTTACGTCTCAACATGAAGCAATCATGGCTTACTATTATTTAGACGAAAATAATAAGGTATCTGCTCTAGATTTTAAGCACTATGAGAATTGCCAATTAAACTTTAAACATTTAGGTTAAAGTCACAGAAATATTTGACGTAACTGACAGTGATTCGCCAGTAATACAGACTCCCCATGAGAGAGATTTGAATAAACACTTAGAGTTTGACGATAATTGGATGAGTTCAACAAATTTGGAACTGCTTCCACAGGAAGACGGTACGTGTTCACCATGCAGATTTATAACCTATAAGTCAAAGCTGTTTTTCTAATAATGGCAATAGTTCAAGTTTATTCAATATTATATTGAAAATTTCAAAGGAATTGCAAGAGCATTGTGATGTTTTATTTTTTCCAGAAGTATCTGAGTATTCAGTAGATGATATCCTAGATAAAGAGAATATATTTTCGGATCCAGAAAGTGAATGGAATGATACTTTTAAAGTGGAAGAAGGGGACGATGACAGCACCTATTATAGCGGAAACGACACTAGACCCGAATCCGACCAATCAAGTCGAAACAACAAAACCAATCTGAAAAATGCGATTTCTCCGTTGACTTACGAAGAAATTGAATTCTAGGTTAGTTCATCAAATTAAAACACGATTAGATTTATTTTTTTAAACGATTTATTTATATTAGCTTCTAATTTAGGTGTATTAAAATCTAGAAACTGATATTAAATTGGTTATAAATTCCGCTACATCTGCAACTTTTTAAAGTTTCCTATTGTTTCTTTATGTGTAGCTCTCTACAACATTACCTCTTCTGAACCAATTTAATATCATCAACAGTAAGTTGTTATTAAATGCAAATTTATTTATTTAAATGGTATACTGTGAATATTGTGATATGCCCCCTAAAAGGGCCTAATTTTAAGAAAGCTTCATTTTTAACTTTGAGTTTAGGTAGTTGCATATAAGAAAAAGTTCAATAACATATTATTTACAACATTATTATTGGCTGTTTTCAGATAGAAAAAAAAAAGGTTTTGGATTGTACTCCCTTTTTAAAATTCTAATTTGTATTTTTGCTTCTATATTGTTAGTTTTCCAATTACTTCATTAATCATATTATTAACATAAAGGATATCAAAGCAATAATGAAGCATGGAATAGCATGGCCATATTTTCCTTTTATAAAATAAAGCCCAGAGTGGAATAACATTCAAATCATTCATCGTTCTATGGTTCTAAGCACTAGAAGCTGCCAATGTCATCCTTCCTAGCTTAGAATAAGAGCTAAGGTTACAGGCTCAATTAGTTTGGAATAAATGTGATATCACGTTTTTGAGGCTGTTATTTGTTACTATCAAAATAAATTATTAATGATTAAATATCAGTGATGTAAGATATAATAAATGTATGTTTAAGTATTAAGTTAGTGTTCCATTTGGAACAAGAGAAAATTTAATGTTTTGTTTTTGAAAAATACTTGGTTAATTAATAAAAAAAACTATTACCTTCTTTGCATTTTAATTATTTTTAATACCTGTCTATTGATGCTGTCAAAATGCAAATGTAACTGGTATAATACACTCCTGACAAAACTCAATATACATTAGTATTTGAGATCGTTAATATTTTTGAGTTTTTAAACAGCCTGGAATAAAGTAATGTCTATTTAAAATCAACAAGTAAATGTTACCTACCATACATTTAGGTTTTGTGAAATTTGTCAGGTTTATTTAAGGCAACTAAAACCACTGGCACTTCGCCTAAATTGGGAATCTGAATCTGAACCACTACTGCCTAATAGCTGTGTTTGCCATGAACTATTATAAAGTAGGGGTAGAAATGTTGACTTGCAATCTTTATTAATGAACAAAGAGGATATACTATACCTTGTTTTGCCCTCGGTAGTCATTGGTGAATATAAAAATGACATCTAAAGATTTGTAACAGAAATTCATCTTTAACGCTAATTTCAGTGCATTAAAGACAAAAAAACAGCATCCAAAAAGCTAAACCATGGCTTTATGGAACTTTCTACAATTGCCTGTGTAACAGTGACGTTGGCTCGTTTGGTTTCCTAATTAATTACCCTTCCCCAGATTACTTGATTACGCTCCTTGACCCAAAGGTTAACTTTTGGGGATTGCTTGGCTTAAATGGTTTTATCTTGCGTCCAATTAGTACATGCCAGCAATGGGCGAAAGGCTCCTGCTAATTTGCCTTATGCATATGTGATACGTTGAGGAAAACTCAAATTATTCTTTGGTCCAACCTTTACAATATTTGAGCTTTGGTTTTATGGTCACTGCGATAACTTTGTTTTTATGAAAACGTATTTGAAGTCGAGTTTATTATGACTTCGGTATTATTATCACTTCCCGACTTGTATAATTCCTACAAAAATTGGGTTAGTAAAAATCCCCAGAATGCCTCAGAGTATGAAACCGCCTCGAAATGGTTATCTTATTTTATTGCAGGTACTTCAATTCACAATTTTCAACCATAAATTCTATCACTGTTACTGAAATTTTAGGTCGTATTAATAACTCGCATGTTATGTCGGAACTGGTGTATTGTGTATCTAATTTGTTGGTGCTTTTTAATGATCAGATCATACGTGAATGTCACCAGCATACAAAATCTTCCAGTTCACAGAAATTGAAAGTGTGGCTTACAATTATTGAATATTCCGAAGTGTTTTGTGAACTTTCTGCCCAAAAATTATGGGGTAATAGGGGCCGGTGGCTTATTATTACTGCCATCCAGATTTTTAAGTAAGTTTACTATTTATCTACTTCGGTTGCATTTGTTGTAAAAAGTAGTATTCCTTTTGTTTTAGATGCATAGCAAGACTACAGTTAATTTACAAACATAAAGAAACAATTATTGTAACTCCATCCATTACACCCCTGGAAAGAGACAATATTTCTCAAAATAATACAAAAAGTTTGTTAGATTTGGAACAAAATGGTTTAAATTCAGCTTCATTTACACTAAAAAGGTCTGGCAGAGTTGTACGAAAAGTAGAATCATCCCCTCCTTTACCACTGAGAAATTGGAAACCTTTAGAGCCACCCCTATTAATGTCAAATACAGAAAATGATCAAACTGTGGAAAAAGCATTAACTGGCAAACAATTACTTGCAGAGACCTTATATGTAATAAAACCTATAGCTCATTTGTGCTCAGTGGGTTGCTTTGGAGCCAATACATGGAAACCATGGATTCTTTCAATTGCGATGGATTTAACAAGGTAATTTAGATAATGTTGTATGGTAAAGAATTAATATGGATTGTAATCAACACCCTACATTTTAGTTTGCAGTTATATAAATCCATTCAGAAAAAATCGCTGGATGCCTTGACCAGGAAGCAGAGGCTACAATTGTCTAGGAGGATGGTAGTTTTAGTTTTGTATTTAATTCGCTCTCCTGTTTATGAAAAATATACTGGAAACAAACTACATGCACTCTTATTATCATTGAGCAAAAATTTGCCATTGGCAAGGATAATATGTCAACCACTTTCTCAGTATTTGCCATTTTGGCAGAGTAACTACTTCTACATGTGGTCAACATAGAAAAAAATGTATTTTGTGTATAACAATTTATAAAAGAGTGGTGGTTCAGACAAAGATAGGTCAGTGATGTTTTCAGGATTTTCAAAAAGTTCTTTTGGAGAGTATGGCAATGGGATTTTTGGGTTCGACTTTATATTTTGTTGTAATAAAGAGTTTTATTTTTTGTTTTTTTCTTTGGAAATCCTTCCCTGAAAATGTGCATCTCTAAAATTTATCATAGGCAATTCATAAAATTAGTGATAAAATCTAAATAATAGATTCACATTCTTAAGTAAAATGATTTCAACTTAATGTGTAATAATTTGGTATTAGGGACTATCAATCACTATTGAAGCACTTAAATGGGCCAGAGCATTTAAATATCAAGGAATAAGTCTTCTTGTTGGCCCATATGGAAAAAGTGTTAAAATATTTGAGTTGGGTCTAATATTGGTAAAAATTTTTTTTTAATGCAATAAAATTATTTTTGTTAATGGTATTTTATTTATAGATTACGTTTTAACAATAACTAGTAAACTTAAAAACTATAAACTTTAGTGATTCAATTAGTTCGCAGTTGGTAGTCCCCATTCTGTGTAATGTATCTGACCCATGGTAGTGCCTGATACCCACTTTTTTCAATAATTTTCAAATACCTAACTTGAATGCCTGATGTTGTGAAATAGGGAATTTCAAATTTCACTTGAATTGGAGGTCTTCCTTCAGAATCTTCACATTCAACACTGGGTAAACCAAAGTGGGCTCTCATTAAATATTCTTTTCCTACAACACGATCAATCAGATTAAATTTGCAGTCAGGGTAAAATTTTTTAAGATAAATAATACCTCCAGGAAATGATTTAATAGTCCAAATGATGGCATTCTGTTCAGGAGCATATTTCACACTACCAATAGAAGTTTTAAATTTTGGAGAATCTGCATCGTGTGGCACTGGAATGATTATTTCAACATTATTTGCAGTTGATCGTCTTTTAAACTGGGATTTTGCCTTAATCATATACTCCACTCGACTGTGAGCGTGCTTCTCAATAACAGATTCAATCCATATTAGAGGTTTCACATGGGTATTTAACCGATAAGACATCAATTCAAATTCTCCATCAGGCGGAATAAATGATATTGTCCTATCAATTTCAAATCTTGATAACCGCACACACTGATGGAACTTAACGTCCTCAAGTTCAACAGATTTTGATTTACCTCTACCAGTACTCTCAAATAAAACCTTATCATTTAATCCTAACCTCAACTCTGGCATACCTGATAAATATACCCTCATCTTTATTGCTCCAACTATTTCACTTCTTAATACATTGCCATTTGCATTTGCTAATAAATTCACAGATTCTATAACATCCAAGAAAACCTCATTTTTCCTATATTTAATGCCTTCTGATCTCCAAGACACAGCATTAGTAACAGCAACTGGTATGCGAACTTGAATTTCCAATTTGTGACCTTCTTGTGTAATATATTCCTGAAGAATTTTGCTGTCAGTTGTTTGAGGATATCCAAAATCAATGAGTTCGTCCAATAACTCATAAATCACTACAAAATTATCTCTTATACTTTCTTCTTCGAGTTCCTTAAAGTACTCAGTCATAACTTGAACAACCTTGTGCAAAAATACGAACACCAACATAATGTTTGCATTTTTCTTTGAAGTGCTTACAATGTATAGATTATTAGTTTTTATATAAGCAAATGTGCATTCCACTGTTTGCAAAATGGGTGTCAGCAATCCTTCTTCTTCTTTTTCCATTAATAGAGGCATAAATTTCTCTATTACATTTAAATCTATGTCACCCCGATAGTTTCTGGAAATCAGAACTTTACCTTTTATATCCAAAATATAGATCGCGGATGAGGACATGTTCATACAAATTCGACAGGCTTGCTATATTAACCTTTGAGTAAAAATTTAAGTACAAACTGTTTGCAGCCTATTTTTTAATGGGATATACCGCGGCAAAACATTAAATTTAGATTGAAAAATTAACATCAACCTCAAAACTCAATAACCAACAATCGGCCACGTAAATGCGTTCACATATTAGGCAAAGAATAAAGAATACAAAGCATAGAGAAAAGATTTGTATGTCTGCTGCAATGACCAAAACTAACCAATTTCATGGCATTAACAATAACTCATCTTCTTTTGGTTTTGCAAAAAACTTTTCTTTAATTATTAAGCCACCACATCGTTATCTAATTTTCATAATCTTTAAAAATATTTGACTGCCCATCGATGGCACTTTTTGTCAATTTCGATTTTGTGAGGCATTTTATTTAGACTGTGAAGAAGTGTTTAATACGGTTTGTACCAACATGTTTCTACCTGATCGGTGTTTTTGAGGGTAAATCGATTGTTATGTAACAACTTTTTTAAATCGTTTTAATTGCTTTGAACTGCCTAAAGTGTCGCTTTGAACTTTGGGCTTCCTAAACACAAGTCGCGAGTCATGTCGGACGTTTCCGGCACACAACTCTCTTGTTTACAGAGCTGTAAAACTCTTTCAGCCCGAGTCCCTGAAGCCAGGATTAAAACACCTTACTTCTGCTTTTCTCCCTAATGATTTACATATTAAAGATATTACGCGTTCCATCAGAAACTACACTTCATCACAACCTTCCAATGAGACTGAAAGCAATAATCCCACGCTTGCCGCTGTTGTCCTTCCTTATATTCAAAATATCACTGACGACATATAAAAAGTGTAAAAGATTTACCACTTGTCCAAAAATCGGTCAAAATATTCGATCCGTCAAAGACAAAATTGAGATGTCAGGAGTTTACATCATTCCATGCATATGCGGCTAAGAATACATTGAAGAGACCGGACGAAAAATATCAACTAGGCTCAAAGAACATGAAACAGCCTTAAGACTATGACAAACTCATCAGCAGTTGCCGAACACAAGAACGAAACCTGACATAAAATTTCTTCTTACTTATTACTAAAGTGACCAAGCCCCTAGGTGGCGTGCTTCAATTTTAAATCTCGTTGAGAAATAATCTAATATTCCAGATAGCTGAAATAGAGACCGTTGTAAAGAGGGAATAAAGTCCATTCTTTTAAACTAAATGATTTTTGCTTTATCGGTTAAGGGAAAGTGCGAGATGGGGTGGCCCTGAGCAGATTTATTTAGATTGCTTGTGTTTGCGAAAAAATAAATGTAGCGCTATTATTGCAACAAAAGATATACAAATAAGGGTCTAACACGGTAGTGGTAACCACACTTCGATATCTCATTCCTAGCCTATAATATCAGTAAAAGAAATAAAAACAAAACAATGTCACTATCTTTGGGATTATTTTCCGGATACCTACCATTGTTAAATACTAACCAAATCAATCAGGTCTAATTTTTAGATATGTGTTCCTTTTTGCAGCCAGAGATCTTTTTTTTTTCAAACATTATTACACGCGTTCGGTATTCTACATATCTACCCGTAAAACCTAGTATCCGAATGTTTAGAAAAAATATAGCACATATCGGAAAAAACATAGTTTCTATTTATCACAGACAGCAGTTAAAATAGCATCCAAAAGCTCTTCGAATTCATTCGTCAGGTAACTTTTGTAAGTTCTATTTGGTAGTTCTTCAAAAACAAATTTTAAAACTTCTGCGCTTGTAGGAAATTTTGTCTCGCTGATTGACCTGCTTTCGTGGCATGAAAGTTGTGAACGGGCCTGTAACAAAGATGAAGTATTTACTAGTATTCAGTACCTACTTCATATCTTCCGCAATAAAAAATAATTATCAAAACGACTACCTATAATTTAAGAACGAATTAAATCTATTAAAATTTGCCGCCAAAATTAAAAAGCTTGCTTAGTTGTTTTTTTTTATCAAAACAAACAAACGATATTATTTGCTTTTTTGTAATTTTATAATTAATGGAACCAACTGGACTGTGCAACGATTTCAGCTCGACGTCGTCCAATATACTGTCCAGTTCTATTCCGTCTTCGAACGTTGAAAGACACCATGTAGGAGTCCCTGGATGATGTTGGGATGAAAACAAAATTGGCGAGTCGAGGTACTGATAACCATCTACTGCATCTGGCGAAATCTAAAAACCACAAGTAAATAAAATGTCAGATATTGAAACTTGTTTTATTGTGCGAAATTGCCTTGTATTTGTTCAAAAGCTGACGGAGATCATTCAATAGTGTTAACACTTTGTTGACTACAGCTTCCGAACAGCATTTGCTGTTGAGTATGTTGAATAGAACTGCAAAGCAACCCGTACAGTTTGCCTCGTCTAATGCCGTTAAAAGTCTTCTGCTCACCTCGGCTTGGTCGATGGTTATTATTTTTCTTTTCTCTTTCGAAAAAATGGCCGATGGAAATTCTCCATGCTCCAAACCTGTAAATATTTCTTGGCAATAAAAGAAATGGACGTATGGTTAAAAAAAAACTGAAACAGCCAATTGCTAATTAGCAAATGTCAGTATCAGGTATTAGTGTCAAATTGGTTGTTTAAACTAGCACATGAAATAGATGCCCTAAACTACGGATTTCTACATTTATTTGATATGTTTATAAAAATGATTTGGGAAATTATTGTTCCTGCAAAGAAATGTTTGGATACAAATAGAATCGCTATAGGCGAGGTGGTTCAAGATGTTAATTGTATAGTCCAGCACACGATAAATGGTCATGAATTGTCTGGCCTATCATAAACGGAAGGCCCTTTTCCCTCAATAAATCAATAAAAAGCCCATTTTACTGTTACAGTACAGGGTGTTATTTTTATTTTAATAGTGTCTATACCTTCGAAATTTGAAAATCATTTCCACTTTGCCATTATAGTGGTGTTGCAGTCATTATTTGTTATCTATAGACCGAAAAGCAACTGCCATTTCATTATGTGCTGTTAAGAGAACGTTTTACAAGTATATGATGTAACATATACATATGACTTATATGTTTATCTTTATTATCGGACAATTTCACTACGTAATTAATTAAAAAAAACTGTTTGAAAAGACATTAATCATTGTTTGCTATAATATTCCGCTAATAATCATCACAGGACTTTAGCTAAAAAAGTAGCAACAACCGAGAACAAAAAAGAGGTATTGCAAAAGTTCCTCACTCAGCACAACCTTTGTTTCAACGATACTAGTTGACTTCGTAGACGAGGTTAGATTAAGTAATTAAAACTGAGTTTGAATTTATTGTTTGTAAAATTACAATTCTGCACTACGTAATACAACCGAATATGTTCATATATTTTGTGTTTCAATTTCCGTTTTGATTTATTGACCCAAAAATGACAGTAGCAAATAAAAACGTTAATAGCATTATTACAGACATAAATGCGTTGATTTTCATCACACATCCAAACAAAAAGTTCTCAATTATGGACCAGTAAAATTCAACGAAAATTATCATGGAAATTAACTTAAAAGTAAGAATCAAACGTTAACAAATATATTTTAAATTTCTTCACGTCAGAACTGACTTTTTATACACAGTGACCCACCGGGATCTTGGTCGATCTATTATAAAAAAACTGTAAGTAGCAAAAATTTGAAAATTTGGAATTAATTTAATATTGCGGTTGCAATCTGGCCAAAATAATTTCAAAATGGTGGCACATCCGGAGATACCAGAAGTGGGTGTCAATTTTCTTATTTTTATGGGAACGCCCTATGTATTATTATTTTATTGGATTTCCCTGACCTAAATTTTACTATAACTGAGATTTTTAGCATTTTATATCAAAAATGACGTTTGAAGTTCAAAAAATTGACTTATCAAGTATAGTATAGTAATTTCGACTTTGGAAACTGGAAATTAAAAATTAGGACTTGTATTAGGTTGCATATTCGGAGTATACATTGTTTTTCAGATATAGCCCTTTAATTAGATAGATATAGATAGGCATGCGCGGAACATCATTCCTACCTCTATATACAGCCGCCATCTGAGGAGCATTAGATAATATTTTACTGCGGTAAAATATTATAATATTTACCGTAGTAAAATATTATCTAATACCTATATAAAATAGAAATATGAAACAAAGTTTCTCACTTAATAAATATTTTTAGCTAAAACTATACCAAAACCATTACATATTATATATATTAGTATATAGTTATTTCATATAGTATTATATCATAAATATAATATAGTATATCATATACTATTATATCATAAATTATCTCTTTTTCGCCAATTGTATTATATCAATATTACCCATTTAACCTTTCTTTACTGCGCCATGGTGCGTATGCATCATCGAATCAGGCAGTTGCCCGCAGATTATTATTTCATTATTTTTGCAAATATTAAAAAGAAATACCTCTTTTTTTTTTAAGAACTAATTTGTTCTATTCTATAACTATTCGGGAAAGCAAATATATTATTAAAAACTGACAGTTGTTTACCTTGATTTGTGAGCTGTTTATCGAGTACTTTTCCCCAAAAGTTGACCATGTGAATTTTGGTTTCAGAGTCTGTATCACGGAATCCAGCACAAACCATATTTTCATATATCTTCCAGATATCCGGATCCGGGTTCTCGCATCCCCCGTATATTATCGTAATAAGTTGGAGAGCTTCTATTCGAATTTCAGGATTACTTTCTTCTACCATAATTATCGGCAACATCGTATCCTTAAAAAAGTCATTATAATATACAGCGACGGCGTAAAATTACTCACATGTTCAAAAAATTTAAAGCATATACATTTTTTCAAATTTCTAGTATCGTCCTTTTCCGTAACACGTCGTTCCCGTCACTGCGACACCCTCCATAAATGTAAAATTCACTAACTATTTTTTGCGTCAACCGGTATAATTGAAACTATTTGAACTTATTTTAACAGACCGATTTTGATTCGATTTCCGCATTGCTTTGTGTGAGGAGATTTTTGATTTAATCGTATTGAATTCATAGATTAAAATAAGATTGTAATAATTATAAAATGAAAACAACAAAAAAAGACACAAACACGGAACGAGGGCTGATTATATGTACACATTGAGGTTGGTCAAAGACAATAAAAAGTATCTAACCACTTGACAGTGACTTGATATTATGCAAATAATTCGTAAACCAACAACATTTTCTATAATTTAAAATGTAATTAAGGTAAAAGGCATATTTACAATAAGATCTGTAATCCTAAAGTATTCTGCAGCATTCGGCACCTGGAGCAGATTCTGAATACATCTTGTCGCTTCCTCTCTCACGGTGAGTACTGGATCCTCCGACGCAATTTTGACTATCAAATCAACCAAAGGCTTGTGTCTCAAAATCTCTTCTAAAGCAGGAAAGTCTTAAAATTTAATAGAATTATATGAATATCATGTGCACTGACCGAACAAAGATAGAGCAGCTAAATTTCATCAAACATTATTACAAAATAATAGATAAGTAGATGGTGAGATTTAGCACAATGCTACTCTATCTAGTCATATGTTAGACGAAACCATCAAGCAAAACATGTAAAAGCAAAATACAGTTAAGTGAGAACAAAATATGACTGACTATTTAAACAGGTCATAATCATGCAACAAAAAATTAAACTATTTGCACTGTAGCTATAATCTGGTACGTATTTATGAATAACCGTTTTTATTGAAGATAGCTTTACAGCATTATAAGTAAATCAACACTGAAATAGTATATTATGCACAAAAGTGCGGCAAACGGCATTTGACTCACCAGTTTATTTGACACGAGCGGAGCGCAGCGGAGCGATTGTTCAAAAAAACAAGTGACTTAAAAAGTTTACCGAACGTGTTGCATACTATACTTTTTCTACGACCGTTAGTTTTTGGATACATTTTCGCAAAGCAACACGAATACATTCACTGTCAGAATTGACAAACGTCAAAATTCAAAGCGTGAGAAATATCTTCGAAAACATCCGATTGCTCCCAAATCCGTGCGGTAAAATCCCGGAAACGAAACTGACGTGGTAAAGTGGCGCTTCCTGCCTTCTAGATCAGTGGGTAATTAGGTATTTTATAGATATTTGACTCATGAGTTTATTTGACACGAGCGGAGCGAGTGTTTAATAAACGAGTGGGTTAAAAAGTTTACCGAACGTGTTGCATACTATACTATACGCAATTTTGACAAAATCGGCAAAACATCGGGAACAATCAACTGACGTAATCAAAAATTGCGGAAACGATCTTTCAATTTAGCAACACTAATTTATTACCTGCGATAGCTTTCCGAGATATGGCATTGAGGACCGCTAATACCGCCCGCCTGATTTCAAGGTCGTTATCGAGACATTTAAATTGCAAGAAAGATTGAATATCAACATTATACAGATCCGTAGCTGTATCCCTCAAAAGGATCATGTTGGGCTCCATTTTTTTAGAAATCGCCATTGCAAGTACATTCAGACCCCATTTGGTTATCTGTGATGAAAATGACCCAAATAATAATTGTCGTTATATAGGAAAGTTTTGTTTTACCTTTGGAGATATCCAATTATCATTTGTAAGAATACGCAATGTCAACGCAACAATGTTAATGATAGGTAAGCACTCTTTCCAAGACAGTTCGAAACTTCTCAGCATTTCAAAAATCCCTTGAAAGAGTGTCGACAAGAAATATCGCTCGGCGACACTGGTATGATGTAGATTTATTTCTTTTTGCTTAAAGTAATTGACATAATCGTCCAAAGCATAAATTAATACGTGCAGCACTTGAATGGCATCTTCTTGGGTATACATAGCTATTGATTTAATAACGATTTCGATAGCAAGAGCTTCATACGTAGCAAACACGGGCATTTTCTTGTACAGTTTTCTTAATGGAGGACCTGAAATATAAACAAAACATCTACTAAAATAAATTGCGTATTTACATCTAATATTTCAGCAAATTGGAAAACTAACGCAAATTGCTTTTTCTGCCCTCCTGTTTTTCATTTTAGCTATGCGTAGGTCAAGTGGTAAAATAAGTATATAAAATGATTGAAACAAATTCACATGAATATTTACTAAAGTGCGTAAAAATAATCCAATAACAGTTTTGGTAAAAGAATTGGAATCAGCTTACAATGTTTTGTTTAAATCTTTGATTTCGCTGTATAGGGCTTACCTAGTAGCGAGAATTTGACGCTAGAAGGCCCATAGATCTTTAGATAATAACTCATTCTCACGATATCGGTCTCTGTCATGTGATTAAGTTCTTGTTGATTCATAAATTTAATCGCTGTAGTTGCTATCGGCATTAGTTGCAATCGAACCAACTCCCGATCTGGCATGAACGGTTGGCCCTTCATGAAGTGTGTTGGCAATTTTTCCGAAATTTTTTTCCAGTACAGTGTTGCGTAGTACGCGAACTCTAGAAGTTCCGGGATATTTTCTAAAAAATTGTTACTTACGTACATATGTATCTAAAATTTTGGAACTTTTATTATAAGGTCTCAAAAAATAAATGTAACCTCATTACCGTCACTTCATTTTAAAATATTGTTTATTTTAAATATAAATTAACTTGCAAAAATTATGCGTTTAGGTGTACAACCTAGTACATCCCTGTTAAACTAAACAAGCTAAATATAGGTTACAATTTTATTTTATTTTTATTACATTATGTGCAGCCAAATGTGGTTCAAGATGAAGACAATTTTCATCAGTGAAATTTAGAGGTTGTAGAGAAATAAATGAATTCTTTAGGGTATTTTTTCATCTTCTATCTGAATTTCAGAGATTGAACACATTTTCCTGGACACCCTGCATGTACAAGTTTTTTTTTTACGTACAATCCCAAAAATATCAACATTTATTTATCAATTTTTAATTTTAATGAATTGCATTTCTGAACTTGGCATACCTGAACCGGAAATTTGGTAACAAAATCGTATAGAGGGTATCAAAAGTGTCTTAGCCTAAATGACTACAATCAAAAAGAGTGCTACATGTGCTACAAATAATAAGTCGAAATGTGTTGAGGGTATTTTATTTTTAAAAGTTTAGTCTTCATTTCTCACGGAAAGAGAACAGTAATATTGAGTTGTTGTTTTTTCAAATATCAATTGTAGAAAAATAGTTGTGCTTCGTTCGCGGGAAGACTTTACTACTGCTTGAGGCGGAGTACTAAGTAAAGAAAAACAATTTATCTCTCGATATCAAGCAAACTAGAAACACTGTTTTTAATTCTTTACTTGTTGGAGGATTTAATGCTAGTGCTGTAGCAAATAAATTGTGTAAAAGAATAGAATCGAATCCCACTAAATCAAGAAGGAAATGAAAGATGTGTGTTCCAGCAAACATTTTAACCAAGGCAACATGGGCTTGTGGTACCTTAACTACGAAGTCTAAAGCTATGGAATTACTAGCATGAAAAGAGAAAGAGAAAAGAGGAAAGACATTATGGAGCCATAGTGGTTGCAAAGATGGTGGTACGAAGATCAACATGCATAAGAAAATATTGTTCTGAGAATCATATGCCCTGATGAAACATGGTTTGCGGCTCATGGCACTTTTCCGAAAAGTAGCTTCGCTTATTGTAGGGAAAATGCTTTGTGGTTTAATTATCAAAAAATATTAGACACATGCGTCAACTAGCACGCAGATACAATGGCAGAACTTTTTGAAGAAGGGTTCAAGAATTGTCTTATACCTAACATTCTTCTATATAGAGTTCCAGGGTCAAATAATACAAAATTGCAAAAATTAGATGGCTACAAATTATTTGAAAGAGTTTTAAAAAAGTGAGTTTTTGGGAACTTTTAACAGCAATGAGTTAAAAAAACTATATGTTTGTGACTCGTTAGCAGAGAAAAAACCGCAGCAGGAGGAATCCCGAAGTTTTGTAAAAAGTATTACAGTAGAATGTGGAAGTTTCTTTGACAAATCAAGAAATGTGTTAATGAAAATGAAATGAAAATAATAACACGACAGATCGTCGACTACAGATAAAAACCAATTACCGGTGAAATAACTTGCAAGACAGATAAACAAAACAAATAACCACAGAAAGACTAGCATCTAACCAGCTATTGATCTCGATTTTCGACGAACGGTGCCTTCGTAGGCCTGCTAAAGATACCGGTTAATACTGATTATTAATGATTTCACTTCGGAGTTACTTGCACGTCAGAAAATTTAGTAAAGCTAAAATGCCTCTTGTGTACTAAACGCCCTTTGTGCTACGATTTTCTAACAATTGGCACAATTTAAACAAATAGGTTTTGAAAGATGAGGAACAAAATAATTTACAGCCAAATGAGATTTCTACTCAACAGTTTTCACGATGTATGCAAAATTTAAAACATTTGGCAGGTTTACAGAGAATTCGAACGCTATACCCATTGGAATGATTATGTTTGTAAAGACGTTTTAGGCAAAAAAATAGACTTAAGTATATTGAAGTTCCCAATTACAATTACAAATTACAAAGGCTTATATAGTGCAATAGGTGCCGGGGTTCTATTTAGCGTTCTTGTTACCCGAGTTAAAATGGTTTATGTTTATTTTAGATACATGTAGTATATTTTTATTTTTGACTGAAAGACTGTACAAAATTAATCCCAATGGTGCTTTTAGTTTTGTTTGCGCAATGATTTATGATGTATCATGAAATGTTAATACTTGTGCAGTTGTTTAAGATTGTAAAAAGTAATTTTTCGTCATTGGATATTTTATTTTGACGTTCATTTTTTTCAATTATGGTTATTTTTCAAAAGTGGTTATTCGATAGTCATTTTGTCGTGGAACGCATTATACTGACGTTCGCGATTAATGTTTTTTCTGTGAAATTATTGTTTCGTGTTTAAAATTACTTATTCTGTCATGTAATGTAGTTATCCTATCGGGCAAAATTACCACTAGTCGTTGCATGTTTTTTTTTGCGTTTATTTGCATTTTCATCTTTTCTATCGTTATGAAAAATGCCACCCAATCCCACACGACGTTTCAAAACTCATGCGTAAAACTTCCTTCCTTCCGCCTTAAAATAGGTAGATATGGCCTACAAATATGGGAAACAAATGAAGTTTTTATTTGTTACCTTAAAAACGAATATTAAGGAAGCAACAAAAACAAACTTTCTGCAGGTTTGTTAGGAACTTTTTTTCTCCTACAGTTTTTTCATAAACTTTAAAGTGTTTCCAATAAAAAAAATAGATATAAAGTATTGCATGTTGAAAATAAAATTAATAAGTTAGTTTGGAACTAATTCAAAACATTTTATTTTGAACAATGTAATTGTTTAACTAAAACACAAGTAAGTGTTGAAAGAATGTTTATATAACAAACTTCCATTTAATTAAAACAAGGAATCATCCCCTTAAGTTTTTCGCATTTGTTTTGATATATTCGTACCATTTTGTTGATCTGTAGCTGTATAAAAAGCTTTAAAAAATTAGAAGCAAAAGTAATATTTTTAATCTAATTGGAGATAATATATGAACAAATTTAAAAGCTAAGTAAACATCAAAAATGAGATTATTTATGAAAGACCTTACCCGACCACATATATCGTTCCACAATTTTAAAAATGCCGCTTAGACTTAACGGATCTTCTGAAATTGCTTTGATTCCTTCGAACGCCTTTGTCATTTTAAATAGGCAGAGCATAACAATCATGCGATTTAGCTGAAGAAAAAATGGTGGTTCCTTTAGCTTCAAAATATTTTCACAGGCTGCTATTACTTGAAGATCTAAGAAAATCCCAAGCACGTCTTCAATGAAGTTTTCAAACAACCTCTCTGTGATTGCGACAACGAAGTTGATATTCGATAAATACTTGTCATGTTTTTCCATAGAAGTGATGTCGTTGACATCAAAAACTGAATCCAAAATAGCTTTTAAATTTTTTTTGCAGATCTTGTCGTCAAATTTAGCTGCTGTTTCCAACAAGCTTGTAACAGTTTGGCAACTAAAATGGCAAATCAACGGAAAAAGTAGGCGACAATAGCAAACAGACTTACAGTTTGTCATTAAAATTCTCATTTTTCTCGTCTACCATATCTAAAACGTGCACCCAATAGGACTGAGTCACCGACCATTTCAATACGACAGCATCTTCAGATATAGCTCCAATTAGATCCAGATAGGCATGTTTTACCGATAACTCGTTAGATGCCGACCTCGCTGTTTCTAGAATACGAATTAATACCCTTCTTTTTCGTAAAAACGACTTGTGATTCCTTGCTACAAAGGCAGCCAGTTTCGTTACAAACACCACCAGCTCTGTTTTAAGAATTTTGTATTCAATTTTCCATATATCAACCATTTCACTTAACCATTCTGCGTAGAAGCTAAAGTTGTGTTCAATTTCGTACTCTAAAATAGTAATATTTTATAGTTGTCACCGATCGGAAATTGCAAAATTATATACGGGATGTCCCAGGGCAGCGAGGCACGGTGTTACGGAAACGGACAGTTCAAAAAATCGGAAAAGAGAAACTGTTGGAAATTATGTTCGAGTTTCTAAGTGAGCCACCAGAGGGCGTAATTGTTATCTTCAGTTTAGAATGTTTTTAACATTTCTCAGGGATCATGGTTTAAGGACTATTTTAAAGCTGAGACCAAATCAAGTGATTTTTGTGTGATGTTTGCTCTATCTCTACAACGAAAGTGCTAAGGGGTGTTCGATATTTTTTTTAAATAAATAATCCAGTAAAAAACGCATCTCAATATATTTGTCGTAAAAATGGAAAATAGGAAAGGTCTCCCAGAAGTAAAGGACGGAAAATAAAGTACAGAACGGAACAAAGTACAATTGAGTTATTATCACATAATCAAGGCATCTTTATAAGCGAGTAATATTTCAGCAATATTTAAATTATATCCCGAAACCAAAGCAATTCTTAAATTAAATAACAAGAATTGAAACAAAAAATCATTAACATATATGCACCCAGAAACCATTAATAAAGACTTTACTTAAAAAAAGAAAAAAAAAGATTAAATAGATAATATGTAAAAAGAAAACGCAAAAAACTTCGAAGAACCGTTTTTGAAGCTGCGGTAGCAACACAATAGAAAAAAGATCTAAAGACGGTAATTTTTCAATCATGTCCTCTAGGACATAAAGCGAAAATGTGTAAAAAACTAAACCCTATATTACAGAAACATCATAAATGTTTTTTTTGCTTTGAATTGTAAATTTGAGCACATGTGGTAAAATATTAATAAAAGAACTTAACTCTCAATAAAGTTGAATTTTGGGAAAAATTTTCACTTAATGGGTTACTATTACGTCAAAGTCGGGGTGACTTTACCAAATAAAACGCTAATTTATTATTTAGAATGCCCAGATGATATTTAAAAGAAAAATAAAATCTTATTCATTATCTTTATTACTCTCTTGACAATATTTACCAAGGGCACCAATTAAAAATTACACTCGATCACTAATCAATTGCGACACACCAATTTGTGGACTAACTAAAATGTAGAAAAGCATTTAAAAAATAAATTAAACATGTTTTGACAGAAATAATTCATTTCTAAATATCAAAAGTGCCATGAAAACAAATTTTAGTTTTATGTGATTTTATTTGATTGCCTACCGTTTTATTTAAATTAAGTTTATTAGTGTATAGTGCATTAACAGTTTGGGTTAAACTAAGAACAATACTGACTATTTCCATACACACTTTACTACTTAAATATTCAATAACAAATTTGGTTAGTCCTCCACAAATTGCGAGTTTTGATTAGTCGACTAAACCTAAAAATAAAATAGTTTTTTCATTAATAATTAATGAATTAAATAAATTAAATATCAAATTAGTGTTTTATTTAGTAAATTCGGGATAATTGGTCTTAACAAAAGGACAACAAATTGGAAAATGTTACACAGAATGCAACTTGAATTTGTCTCACCCTTAAAACAGTACTTTCTTTAACTTTAAACATTAGAAGTGTTTCTGGTGGCCTTCCAAAAACTTGAACATAATTTAGTATATAGTATTTTCTCTTATGCGATTTATTTTTATTTAATTTTTTCAAATTTTTAGCACCACCACTTACTGGGACACTTTGTATAATAATCCAATTTTGGTATGAAGAACACGAACACATTCTTACCACGATTAGTTAAGAGAGCGAAAAATTTCTCTAGAGTATCACATTTCCCAGACACATTAAAATCTGGATCCAAAAATATTTGGAACACCTCTAATATTTTGTTTCCGATAAGGTTTGGATCCATTGCCGTTACCTAAAAGTTATTTTTTGAACTAAAATTGATTTATTAAATTTTTAAAGCAACAAGTCTGTCAAATTTTCTGACTGGCTGTGAAAGTTGACCACGCTGTTTCGCACCCTCTCTAATCTCCGCGCACGCGCAAAGTCATTCTAGCTGTAATAAATTGAATTTTTCATAATCTAAGATTTTTATTGAATATAGGATTATTTACGCTATAAGACACGGAATATTGTGGAGAAAATACCTTTTAGAAAAGTCCTATTATGCGTACTTTTTAAAATTACCTCTATTATATACACGTTGTTTCAAAAGTGTTATCTACAGAAAAGTATTACCATAGACCATATTATATATCTGAGTCATAAAAGGCTTTCCACCTTGTATAGGGTGACGATGTATTCTAATCTACATTAACCGGCCATAACTTGATTAAGTGGTGGGTCCTATTTTTAAATTTACCATTGAACGTACTTTTTAATTCGCGTAATCTGCGAAAAACCGAAGAACTAGGTAGGCAATTGAAAAAAACAATCTCTCGCAATTTAAAAAATATGAAATTCCATTTAAATTAATCAAGGTAAAGCCATTTAAAGTTTGGTCATCCAAATAGGGTCTATTGTAAGTTTCTGTTACATAATTTAAATACTTCTTTTGTATTTGAGAAATTAAAATTAGACTAGGTTTTGATAAAGCTCACCAACCAAATCCTCACATTATTTAAAAGACCTTAAGATATATTATTGAAACACACATTTATTTTGATCGTAGAATGTAAAAATGCTATAAAAAGGGTCTATTTAAAAAAATACAACATTGTTACTTTTAACACTTTTAAGAAAACCCGAATAATATGAAAGTAATTTTAAAAATAACAGAAATCACAAATCTCAGAAGTAAAACTTTAAGAACCTGTAAGTGCCTAATTTCATGCTATCTATGATACAATAATTCAATGTAAATTGAAGCATTCGATAAATAATTTAAATAACTTTCAATTGCACATAAACACACACCGCATTTTTACTGATTCTTTGATTGGTCTCATACAAAATGCTTAAAATAAAATCAAACTTTTCACAAAATAATGTGAAAAATCGATAATGGAGAAATGACTTCGCATTAAGTCGTTCGTTTCTTATTTTTATTGACTTCTCGTTACAAATTGATAACTGTATCAAATTGCTTACCTGCGGCTAATTGCAACATTTTTGTAAGTGATTGTTTTATTTCATATAAATATACTTACCTCGACATCACCAATCTTAGTAAAGAGTAGAATTGTGTTTCACGTTGAATATGGACTGAAACTGGCAACAGATTTCATAGGTATTCCAGATGTCTTATTCCAATATTATCTCATTAGATATAGATAAAGGTGATAACTTATCTTTTTTTAAACAGATGAGTTAAATGCGGATATTTACTCGGTCGATTTTGACATCACATGAAAACAAACTTGGATTCGGTGAATTTATTAATTAAATGCAAAAAAGATATACACCAATGACTTAAAATGTACAAAATTGGACATATAATATAAGCAGGTATTTTTTGAAATTGAATGTAAGCATTACTATTCCTATTCCTCACTTAACAATAAACCCCTTTGACCCTATTTTTTTAAAGAGTATGGATGTGTGAAGTAAAATTAATACATTATCATTTATTAACCTAAAAAAAAATAATTGCTTGTTGTAACGAGTTTACTATTACCAAATAATTAATAAAAATACAATTTTGATATTTACTCAATATAATATTATGAGACTTACAAAATTATAATAATTTTAAATGATAAATGTAATACGGTGTCTTTTTGAAGCAATGCTTTTGGCCAATTTATTATTAAGTAGTTTTTTTGTTTATTTTATATCAACCTAAACAGATCATTAAGGTTGAGCAATTTTTATTAAGTGTACTTTCTCTACAAACTTAAAATTTTAAAAAAAATTCTTAATCTTATATTACAGGTAGCTGAAATCGACACCGTTATAAGGAAGGAATGAATTGCATTCTTTTTTGTTAAATGATTTTTGCTCTATCGCTTAAGGGAAAGTGGAGTTCGAACAATTTCAGAAATTTGAATAACTTTAGATAACTTCTCAAATTTATTTGCTCAAAAAAATTAAATGCAACGCCATCACTTTTATCGCAACCAAAATATATCCAAATAAGGGTCTAACACGCCTTTCGATATCTCCTTCCAAACCTATAATATCAGTTAAATAAATAAAAACCAAACAATGTCTCCATCTTTTGGAATATTTTCGGGATACCTAGCAGTTTTGAATATTAACTAAAACATTCAAATCTAATCTAAGATATGTATTTCTAACTGCAGCTACAAACCTTAATTTTATTACAAGCGTTCAGTATCCTTCATTTCTACCTCCGAATGTTTAGAAAAAATAAGGCACTTATAGGAAAAAACATAGTTTCTATTTATCACAGACATCACTTAAAATAGCATTCAACAACTCTTCGAATTAATTCGCCAGATAACTTTTGTAAGTTCGATTTGGTATTTCTCCAAAAACAAATTTTAAAACTTCTGCGCGTGTAGGAAATTTTGTCTCGCTGATTGACCTGCTTTCCTGACATGAAAGTTGTGAACGGGCCTGTAACAAAGATGAAGTATTTATTAGTATCAAGGACCTTCGTCATATCTTACGCACTAAAAAGTATTTATCAAAACGAATTAAATCAATAGACGACTATTAAAATTTGGCGCCAAAATTAAAAATCTTGTTTATTTGTTTTTTTTATCAAACCAAACAAATGATATTATTTGTTCGTTTGTAATTTTATAATTAATGGAACTAACTGCACTGTGCAACGATTTCAGCTATTCCGTCTTCGAACGTTGAAAGTCACCATGTAGCAGTCCGCGGATGATCTAAAAACAACGAATAAATAAAATGTCAGATATTGCCAATTGTTTTATTGCGCGAAATTACCTTGTATTTGTTCAAAATCTGACGGAGATCACCCAATAGTGTTAACACTTTGTGGACTACAGCTTCCGAACAGCATTTGCTATTGAGTATATTGAGTAAAACTGCAAAGCAACCCGTACAGTTTGCTTCGTCTAATGCCGTTGAAAGTCGTCTGCTCACCTCAGCTTGGCCGATGGTTATTATTTTTCTTTTCTCCATGCGCCAAACCTGTAAATATTTTTTGGCAATAAAAGGAATGGACGTATGGCTAAAAAAAGACTTGCTGAAGCGTCCAATTGATAACTAGCAAATGTCAGGTATCAATTAGTGTCAAATTGCTTTAAACAATCACATGAAAAGGATACCCTAAAATACGGATTTCTATATTTTTATCATATATTTATAAGAATGATTTGGGAAGTTATTGTTTCTGCAAAGAAATTTTGGGATACACACGATCGAATCGCTATGGGCGAAGTGGTCCAAGATGTTAATTGTATAGTCCAGCACATGATAAATGGTCATCAGTTGCCTGGCCTATCATAAATGGAAGGCCCTTTAGCCTCAATAAACCAATAAAAAGCCAATTTTACACGCGTTACCGTACGGCGTGTTATCTTTATTTTAATAGTGTCTACACGTTCCAAATTTGAAAATCATTCGCGCTTTGCCATTACAGTGGTGTTACAGTTATTATTTGTTAGACCGAAAAGCAAACGTCATTTGAATATGTGCTGCAAGAGAATCCTTTTACGAGTATTTCAAGGTAACATTTATTTAGGACTTTATTATCGGGCAATTGCAATACATATTTAATTTTTTAAATACTGTTTGAAAAGACATCAGTCATCGTCATCGCTAATAATTTATATTTTTTAATGCAAAAGTTATCTGCATCACAACACTTTAGCTAAAAGAGTAGCAACAATCAAGAGCAAAAAAGAGGTATCGCAAAAAGTCCTTACTCAGCATGACCTTCATTTCAACGATACTATTTGAAGTTTAAAGAACCAAATTTTATGATAAAACTTACTTCGTAGACTAGAAAAAATCTGGTAATGTAACCATTAGATTAAGTAATTAAAAGGTGTGAATTAATACCAGAGAGCAATTGCAGGGAATGTGGTAATATCGTATGCACAGATTCAAACTATTCTAAGTACTAATTCTGTTTAATATGAATTATATAAGTACAATTCTACAGCCAGTAATATAACCGAATGTATTCATATATTTTCCTTAATACTATCCGGGACCGGTTTGATTTGTTGGTCCAAAAATGACAATAGCAGAAAAAAAGGTTAATAGCATTATTACAGTTATGACCGTGTATTTGTATTTATAAATGATTAATGATTTGAAAATGACCGTTGACCGATCGTCAATAAGTTTTAATGGGGCATTTGTACGGTAGTCATTTCTCAAAATATGTCCAAATCTCATTAAATCTTCTGGCAAAAATAAGTTGAGTGTGTGGATATCGGAATTTAGAAAGAAAATGACGCAAAGTGCAGGTTAATAAATATTTTTTAGCTAAAACTATACGAAAATTATTAAATATGTAGTATAGTATATAGTTACTATAGTTACAATTGTTTTATATGAGTATTGATGAATATTACCTATTTACCCGTTTCTTTACCGCTCTATGGTGCGTATGCATCATCGAATCATGCAGTCGTTATTTTTTTTACGGCAACTGACAACAAACACAGGAAGTTGTCAGTTGTCAGCAATAATGCAGAGCACTCTCTGCACTGATCGCCATCCTTCGGACGACCGTGAAGAATGAGGCGCTTAAATAATTAAAAGAACATCCGCGAAAACAAAAACCATCGCCTTATGAAGAAGTTAAGTCAGTTAAGAAGATTATAAAAAATCTCAAAAACTTTGGATTCGATCAAAGCGGACTCAAAAAAAATGGAAAACAGTGTAAAATAAAAATGATATAAAACGACGATTATATGCACAACTGACAATATCTGTGACAATGTTCTGTCTGAACATTCGAATCAGATAGGATTATAAAAATAAGTGGTTTCCATTTGCAAGAAAATGTTTTGCGCCAGTTTTTAATTTCATGTTAATTTTTATTTTTTTCAACAAACTGTATATTAATAATCAAAATTACTAACCAAATTATATATTGTTTGGTTTGCAAACGTTATTTTTGACAAAACATTTCAGAAATGGTGAAATTTAGGTATAGGATATTAAAAAGCAATAATAATATATGGTGCTCCATTTAATATGCCGCCATCTTGAAAATATTTTCGCCGGATTCCCCAGGAACATTAGTTTAATTCCAAAATTTTAAATGTTTGCTAGTTGAGGTGTTCCAATAATAGATTATTATTTTATTATGTCTGCATATATTAAAAGGAAATACCTCATGGATATGTTGCTATATGAATAACTAGATGTCGATGTCGACCGTTTTTTAAGAACTAATTTATTCTATTCTATAACTATTCGGGGAAGCAAACATATTTTTAAAAAGTGTCAGTTACTTACCTTGATTTTTGAGATTATCGATTACTTTTCCCCAAAAGTTGACCATGTGAATCTTGGTTTCAGAGTCTGTGTCGCGGAATTCAACACAAACCATATTTTCATATATCTTCCAGACATCTGGATCCGCGTTCTCGCATCGCCCGTATATTCTCGTAATAAGTTGGAGAGCTTCTATTCGAAGTTCAGGACTACTTTCTTCTGCCATAATTATCGTCAACAACAACTATTTGTCTTGTCTTAACAGACGGATTTTGATTCCCGCGTTGCTTTGTGCGATAAGATTTTAAAGAGTATCTTGCGGTTTTATTCATAGTCTATTGGCCATTTTTGATTTCATCAATTTGAATTCTTAGATTAAAACAAGATTGAAATTATTATACAGTAAAAACAAAAAGAAATACTGGACCGACACAAAGACGACCTGAGAACTGATCAACTGATCATATGTACACATTGAGGTTGGTCAAAGACAATAAAAAGTATCAAACCACTTGACTAACTTATACTTATACTTATACTTACTTTGAAAGCATCAATCTTCTTAAAATGTTGATTTCTGTACCGCGTCGAATAGGCAAAATAATTTATAGATAATCCAGAGTCTTTTGGAAATATTATTTCGTTAGAGATGATAACTTATCTTTTCTAAACAGATTACTCAAATACGGATATTTAGTCATAACTAATTGTTTCGTTTCTCTCAATCAGAAAGAGCCCCCCCTTTCTATTTGAATTGTTAATTGTTGATAGGCTACCCTGCCAACTGACGCCATTTTTCTAAACTCTATGAGTGTCCCAAGGTTCATTCAAACAAAACTAATTGCTCAATGTTACGACTCGGTTATCTACCACTAAGAAACTAAAGAAAAATACAATTTTTATATTTATTTAAGATAATTATTACCAGACTTTAGAAACTACAATATAAATGATGTAAATAATTATTTTAGTCCATTTAATGAACATAATCATTATGTTGTGAGCCATTTTTATTTTACAAACTTAAAATTAAAAAAAAAAAATGTTGGATCTTAAATTGAATTGAAATAATAGCGAATTTATTTGAGAAACTTGTTAATACAATGTTTATTTAAACGCGAGTCAACCTGCCGGAAAGTAGTTTTCCAATATTTAAAAGAAATGTTTTTTGAAGAAAATTGAATAGGTAAAAGTCGCTTACGGTACGAACAAACTTAATATTAATTACGAACACGAATTTCGCATCGGATTTGTCGACATGTGCGAAGCATTTACAGGATGTCTCACAGTTTATAGAACAATTATCGTTTTGGGAAAACGGGACTTGTAATTTTCTGAAAATTTGGTCACATCGACACCAAATATTTTCAGTGTCTTAGGGTTTTTACACCAATTGGTTTTCGGAATAAAAGCAACTTTCTAGCAAATTGGAAAACTTAAGTCAGTTTAGTAATTACGTACCATGTGTTCAATTTATCTTGATAATATTTTAATTGGCTGTAACTTTTTTGTTTTTCAAGGCAAACAAAACGAAAAACAAAATATAGGGTTAGTTTTTTTCCAAGTGAAGTTTGAAACAAAACATTATCAATTTTCTGACATATAAGCCTACATAATATTGTTTTAAATGGAACACCTTGTATATTATATATGTGTTTAATAGAATATCTTATTCCGATTACAATGATGTAACAGACTTTATATTTTAGTCCACTAGTTTTTGAGAAATTGGCAAAAATGGGAAATTTTTATATAATTTCAAAGAGTGTCGTGACTGACTGCAACAACAATAATTATTTACAAATTAAAGTAGAACAAAAACACTAACAATGACAAGATACACTAAAGTAACTCTAACTATTCTAAATATTGTATGTGACCAACATTTTCCAGAACACATTTCTCATACACTCATTGTATGATGTCTTGAATTTAGTAACGTTTCCGGATTGTCTCTTAACTGATTGATTATTACAAGGAGTTCTGTGCACGTGATTTTTTATGTTTCCCAAAAAAAACCATTAAAGTTAAGTCGGGGCTCTTGGCAATCCATAGTTTTGGTTAGTTGCCGTTCTCTATCCGACCCCTGAGATATTCCATGTTATGAAAATTTTTAACTGGCATAACATTATGAGAAGAGGCAATCGTCTTGCTGCCCTATAATCAGCGCTGATATTTTTGATTTCGATTTAAGTTTTAATCTATAAATATCGGACTCAAAATTTGCCCATCTATGACACCATACCAAACATTACTTGATTGGTACCCCAGGATTTTTATTTATATTTAATATCGCGTATTTTGTCTATTACAACCCTTTCTTGTAGTGAACGAACTTTCATCAGTCCATGAAATGTTTTTCAAAAAATTATTATTCTCATTGTCTGTTTAAAAAATTCAAAGAAAACTGACAAATGACATTCTTTTGCACTTAGTTTTGGGGTTTTAGCGAAAGTTAAATTTATATTCTTTCAAAATTGAGTGGAATCTGGTAATATGTTTGCCTTATTTTCTTCATTTAAAACATTATGATTCCGGCATACGACTTTAGCATTTAATACGTTACCGTTTTCTGCAATTTTTCTTGCACTTTTATTATTCGGAAAGTGTACTTGAAGCATGCTAACTTTCATGGATGTTAAATTCACGAAAAACCATTTTAACATTAATGACCTGGACAATAATTCAACCATCAACTTTACTAATATGTTAAACATAAACATATTTTTATTTGTCAGTCAGAGCACTCTTTGAAATTTTGTAAAAATCTCCTATTTTTGCCGATTGGTCAAAAACGAGTGGAATAAAATATAAAGTATGTTACATCATTGTAATCGGAATAAAATATTCTATTAAACACATATATAATAAACAGGGTGTCCTATTTTTAAAAAAAATATGATGTGGCCTATATGTCAAATAACTGATAATGGTTTGTTTTATATGGCACTTCGAAAAAAACTTGGCTATTAACCCTACGTTTTGTTTTTTGTTTACTTTCATATCTATTTTTTTTTTCTTGATTATGAACTCAAGTCTGCTTTTGAGACGGTCACCCAAGCACTTTCGTAATTTTAGTTAAAATCGGACAAACACAAATACTCCCGGTGGGAATCGAATCCACAACCTCCGGCAAATTCGAGTTGGCAGGTCAACGCCCATATCTCTAAAAACAAAAAAGTTACAGCTAATTAAAATGTTTTCAAGATAAATTGAACGCACGGTAAAACGGTTTTTCAAAAACTAGTAAGAGCAGGTACTCAAACTCAAACACAAACGTATACGTGCATAGAAACGAACAATTTATGTACCCAGGTTCTGGTTTAGATGATTTATATAAAAAGAAGACAAAAATTGTATAACATCGACATGACTACAATATCAATAGTCCATCTCATTTTCTTCCACATGGCTTTTCCCTTCGTGAACGTCAAATTTGTCGACGACAATCTCATTCGAATCCGAAAAAAATTTTTTATAGGTGGCTTCTAGAAACTGCCGAACTGATGGCACGTCTTCTGACTTAATTTCAATACTGCATGCGTTATTCTGCAATTGGAGAAAACAAAATAATGCAACTAAAAGTTGCGGACTAATTAAATTCTCCAAGTTCAGAAATTAAGGCCGACCAAGGGATCGCACAGAATGAGAATTAATACTAACCTGTTTATTTGCACAATTTTCTTCTTTTATGTAGCTCACTCTGTTGAGTTTATTTGATTTTCCGGTTAAGACTTCGTTGATAATCGGCATTAAATTTGAATACCTGAGACTTGTTTCAGCAGTCTCCGGAGTAATCTAGAAACAGTGTCAACGTGTGATGTTATGCTATATTTTATCTGAGCGTTGGAAAACTTTTCATCCAACCTTATATTTTCTCAGCAATCCCGAGTATTTTCTGAGCACCTCTATTGCGCAGTTCCTAGCTGCTTTCGGAGCATATTCGTTCTCCATAACCCGTAGGAAAATAGCCAGACATCCGGTGAAATACAGTTCGCTTAAGCCCTTCAGCAAACGATTCCTTACTTCGACTTCAGTCAATAAAACGATACGCCTATTTTCTTTGGAGAAAATTTTAGCAGGAAATCTCCCGTCTATCATACCTACAATACGGAGAAATATTAATATTAAAGTAAAAATTATGGGAAATTATTTATTAGTGTTTTATACAGGGTGTGCCATAACTTGAAAGCCTTAGAACAATAGGTAATATTATAAATCAAAATAAAGCTAAAGGCCGTAAAACTCCTCGCATAGGCATATAGGGCCAGAGCCCCGCTTGGGGATCGCCCCGTGTGTGAGGCGGGGAGCTCTCGAAGCCTGGGCGAGAGACCGGGCCGCGGGGGGCTGGAGAGTTGCTCCGGGAATGAGGCAGGCGAGGCTTATGATGGATGGGCCCGCCCTTCCTCGCACCAGGGAGCTGCTTAGACTGACCAGGAGGGATTGTAGAGCACTAACAGGGGCCTACACAGGACATTGCAGGCTTAGGAGGCATCTCTGCTTGCTAGGCATTGGAGACGACCCGGAGTGTAGGTGGTGCATGGAAGGGGAGGAGACCCCGTATCATCTGCTCACCGAGTGCCCTGCCTTGACATGGGCAAGATTGGGAGTCTTCGGAACGGCCCTGATCGATCCGGACTCAGTGCACGGTATTGGGCTAAAGGAGTTGCTGACCTTCTACAGGAGGGGCGGCATTCTGGACGCCCTCTAGAGCGGCCTGGGGGCACAACGGGCCCATCTGGTGGCCTAAGTGCTTGGACGCCCGCGAGGGCGCCCCCCCTTTAATACCAATACCCAATACCAATACCAAGGCCGTAAAACTGACTCAATTCATGTTGATATCTCATTGCATTTTATAGGGTGTACTGACATTCTCTATTGTTGTTTATCTCATCATTAATATGTTTATCCGTAATAAAATAATTGAAATTATTCGAAATTTCAGATTAAACAAATCTGTGGTATCAGTATATGATTAATCCCCTATGATGATAATGCAGACACATAGCCAATATCAAAAATGTTGAGGTCCCTTTTCCAATTCTTGAATTCTTAAATTCCAATGTCGCTTTCGACCAATAAGACCTCTCAATTCAAATCTCGTCCTCGAATAATTGCGGAATTCAACAATGAAGATAACCACTGACAGTTTGTAAAGTCGACAGTTTTTATTTTAGATGTGGCAATTCCATAAAATTTTTATGAAGAAAACGAGTTAAGTGTGTGGAAATCACTGCTAAGAAAGAAAATGAACAAAGGGCAGGTTAGTGCGAGGCATTTAGAGGCATGCGCGGAAGAATACATTGCCTTAAGTACGAAAAAGTCATAGCCGCCTTATATCTTATAGCTAAATTCATTTAGGATCTTTATGATAAATTTGATTATTTACATAAACTGCAATGAATTGTTAGTATTCTGTGACGCATTGTCTTTGACTCCCTGGATACTTTTGCTTTCTTCAAATGGTATTAAGATTGGTAGGAAGCTGAAATTTTGGGATTTTGTTCACAGGAAATACATGGGCTAAACCATACACTGATAATTTTAAAACTTTCTGAAGCTACGTTTTGAGTAAAACATTAAAAAAAAATCCTCGAAAACTGCTAAAAATGGGAATCCAACATCTTATAAAATGCAATAATGCCAACAATGAATGTTTTCGAAAAAGTGGCATGGCTGAAGATATTTCAGATTAATCACTGTTTATGTAAATAATCAAATCAAATGATATGCCTCGTTTTCCATAAATATCTAACCTAGATTGTTACAGATATTCCATTGCATATGCGGATTGTATTCTACGCACTTTTCTGGAAAAGCCTTACCCTACCCCCTTAACTCAGAACATACGAACGGTAGGAAAAAGTTGCATAGTTTCATCTAGATTTTTTAATTTTTAATTTTCTAAGTACACAGGTGGTGGGTTATTTTGGAAACTTTTAATTTCCGAAAAAGGAACCTTATAAAAAGCCACCTTTATTCTAATTGTCGAAGCGGACAAAGTTGTAAAAATAGAGGGTTCCATTAAAAAAAATTGACTGCTGCATTAATTTACTTCTTGCAGATCCACTCAGTATATGACAATAGGCCCTCTTCCATTAGGAATCCATTCAAAATTAAAATTAACGCTCCCTTATAAGAAGAAATGTTAATTATTAAATTAAAGATTTGCCGAAAACGCTTAGGCCAAGGTATAGGTCAAATATATCTAGAATTTCTTTGTGTTCTATGGTTTCTATTCTTAAAGAAACCTGGTATTTACCCCAGATGAACGGGACACCCTGTATATAAAAATTAAAAATCTAGATGAAACTCTCGTTTAACTTTTTTTCGGCCGTCCATAGTTTCTGAGTTATAGGGGGTCGGGAACCTTATTGCAGATACTCTGCACCTGGGTATATGGGTTTAATGACTACAGGAATGCAAAACAAAATTACGATGTTGTGTTGAAGCTAATTTCAATTAATTTAATTCATTTTTAAAGATATTTTTTAGGGACGCCCTTACGAGCGATTATTTTTCATCGCAATAATTAGAAAATTAACATTAAAATCGAATTAGAGACGTTCTTCCGTACGAAAGTTATTTGAGAATATGCAGTGAAAAATGAGAAGGCTTCCTCTTGAAAATGAACGCGAATACCGAAATATTATTTTCTTGTATGTTGTTCCAATTCATTTCATTTTATTTTTGATATAGACATACTCACTCCTATTTTTTCCATTGCGTTTGCGATTATGACTAAGGCTCTGTTTTAAGCTGCAAATCCGCAAAATCTACTTTATCGAGTCGATTGGCTATAGTTCAGAAAATCGACTAGTGAATGACATGTTTGGACGGGTGAAATGCAAGGTTGACGAATTTGGAAGAAAAGTAGAATTGGCCAAATGAAATAATCTTTTGAGGACGTGCTTTGAAAAAGTCAGAAACTATTTTATTTTCAGAAATTCCTACCATTGTCCATTAAATTTTTTCGTACAACCCTCCTCCAGAATATTACGGCTATCTCTTTAATTCCCGGATCAATTTCGTTTAATGCAGCGTACGCCATAGTCGAATACGTTTTGTACACGTCCGTTTGTGGAATATCATGCGTCTCATACAGTTTTGTTACTAGATGAGCGGCTTCTTTTTTTGTTTCCGCATCAAACTCGGATGCGATGATGTTTAGCATTTTGTCCTTCAAGCAAAACGGGTTCATTGTAATAACATACGAGCGATCAAGATCGACATATCAACTCACCAGGACACCGCGTTCTACCAAATTTTGCCCGAGCTCCTCCATCAGAATCATTTCTCGAAGACACTTAACCGAAGTTATTCGGATGTGAAGGTCTGTGTCGTCAACTGAAGCAAATATCAAACTCGCCAAACCAGAGTCCGTCAAGATAGATTTGAAGAATGGATAGTCTAAAAACATAGTCTGTGGCGAACCTATAATAATTGTGCGATTGAGAAAAAACTTACTCGTATTTGCGTTGGACGAGATCGTTAATAGCACTTCCATGGCAGCACTTCGAATTTCTTTGTTACTGTTGGAACATTTAGAATAAATTACAGGTCCGATTTCTTTTAGGCACGAATTGGTCGTGATATCCATGAGCAGCGTCATATTGGGCGACATGCTTTTGGAAATCGCCACATTGAGCAGTGTAAGACCTTTGACGGTTATCTGAAATTTTTGGTGATTTACTTGAAAAGACACTTGCAGTTAACAGAACTCACCTGAGGACACCAGAAATGATGTCGTAAGAACACTATGGCCAACGTGGACACAAATATGGTTCCCACGCTATCCCGCCACGACAACTCAAAAGTTTTCGTATATACCAAAATGGTTTCCAAAAGTTTTTCTACGAATATTTGTTCAGCGTACGCTATATCGATGATCGGCATTTTGTTGTCAACGTAAATTAAATAGTATTTAAGGCATTTAACCAGTCCTTGGTAGACCATGCCCACCATTTCCTTGTTTTCCAGTGAACATACAGATGTAGCTTCAAGCATACACTCGAGCGAGAGCGTCTCGAGTTCAAATAATGGAACTTCTAGCATCCGATCTTTGAATTTAAATCCTGAAAGACCAGTTATCCAAATACATGTCGACATCGGAAGCAATAATAGAAGTAATAGCAGTGCTGAGGGGCTTCTCAATTTAGAAATTGTAAGTTGCGCACACAAAATTGTTTCCCAAATATCCGAAAAAAAAAACAAATTTGGAAAAATCGTTTAAAACTATGGATTAAATTATTTTAATGTTAGTTACTTTACAAGTAAAATAGTACGAAAAAACTAAATTTAATAATTAAATATTTCTACCATTTCCGAGATCTCTTAGTTAACATTTAACGCGGTTGGACAATTTAATCTTGTAATGGTGCGACTTTCCGCCACAGAAAAAGAAAATTTAAATAGTTGCTATACACTCTACCCAAAAAATTCCAGATATACCTACCAACGTGAGCCATGGGTTCGCTAAATTCCCTAAGAATTTTACCAAAGAAGTCAAATGTTATCACTTCATCGTAAGTCTTAGAATTCCCGTACTTAAAACTTATTAACTTGAAGTCGGCTGTTAATATAGGAGCCATTTGAAGAATCAGCAGCTGATTCTCGATTTCTATCGATCTTTCTTTCACATAATATTTCGGCATCCTTGCCTTTACAAATTTGCAGTATTTTTGAGTATATAGACATATCTTGATCGTTGTTCGCAAATGCTCTAAAAGTTAACATTTATATTCATAGCGGAAGAACGCTCATTGATTCAGTAATTTGAAAATTTGGTTGTTGACACACTCTGCAATCATTTTGAAAAAAAAAGTTGGCTATGAAGATAATATCTTTAGCTCAGCTTGATTTAGTTGATTATACATAACTCGTGTATGAAACGACACATTGTGATTTCTCAAATAATTTTAAGGTAGAAAATTACTATAAACAGTTTATCAAAGTTTTTGTATTTGTGACACTATTTTTTTATGGCCTCTTAAACCACTCGATTACAGCATTTACCATAAAGTTCTTGATAATTGACTCTGTTTACCGGGTGACACAAGAAAGTGGGAACACTCTATAGCTTTTAAACGGCTAGAGATAGCGATTTGAAGTTTGGAAGGGTCAAATTTTTTGACTATATTTAGTCACTTCCGGTTTGAGCGGAAACGACAGTAACTTTTGGATTTTAAATGGCACAACCTATATTTTTTCCGCAGTTTTGGGTTCAGAAGGTTCATTCTACGTAGGATAGCATAACTTTTCTCTTTTTTTGGTTTTCTTTTAATTTTTATTTAATTTTTGAAAATTGTGTCTAGGAGGCTGTGACCAAAATAAATACTATTTACAGGGTCACCTGATCATGGGAAAAATTGTAAATGAAACTTTTCTTTATTTGTATAATGGCAAATAGCATTTAACCTAATGAACTATTAATTTTTTAGGACAACCTAGTTTTTTCAAATAGCACCCTAAGTAATTTTTTGCAACATTTTGACACCAAAATTTTCAAAATCCGTTAAAAAAATTAGCTCACAGGAAGGAAAAAACCAGATAAGTTAATATATTTTGATAAAAACAAAATATTACTTAGGTGACTTTGCTTCTATTCATCATCAAGTCGGCGTGATTGAAAATTGGATTATCATGGAAAACAAAAATCAATTTACAAATGGAGGAAAAGTTTATGTGTTTCTGATATACGGGGAATACAGAAAAAACTCTCGACAGGCCCATGCATTATCTGCAGCCTTTAGAAAGCTGAAATTGAAAATGAGAAATCCACAAAATAATCGACATGATAATTTTATTATAAGGGAAGAAAAGTTAAAGAGTTAAAAAGTTATAGAGTGTTCCCACTTTCTTGTGTCACCCAGTATATTGCACAGTTTGTTGTTCGATGGTGGTTGTGAAAAAAAGTATTACATTCATAGAATTTTTGAAAAAGTCAAAAATATTAAAAAAATTTATTATAGAATTGAAAATGTGTTATTTCATTTACAATTTTGGGACAGCATGCGTTTTTTTATTTATTTTTTGTTGCGTTTTGCGTCAAAGATAGTTAAAACAACTAAAACTGGCGAAAGCTTACTGAAATCAACTGACCAACAAACTACAAAATAACCCATACTAACTAAAAGTAAGGAAACTAACCATGTCTGTTGTAGGTTTTTTTTTGTAGTTTTATTTTTTCACATTGTAGAACTGTTAGATAAATATTATACAAACCCATTTCGGTTTCTGATTGAATCACCTTACAAATTCCACTCAGTGCTGCGGTATCATGGTTGACGATCTTAACGCCATTAAAGAAGTTCATGGTTTCATATAACGCCAGGATAATGATAATTTTGTTTACTTCCAAAGAGAAATCTTCGTCGTTCGAAATTGCCGTTAGCGTTTTACAGTAATCCGATACTTTTAATATTTGAAAAACATTTAGAACGCCGCCATTGAGCCTTTTCAACATATATTCGAGGATTTCAACGATGCAAATTATAGTCGGCCGTAGGCTGTCGTATAACATTTTATTCAATGTATTAGGCATTAATCGGTTCGGTAAATAGCGAACGACATCAGTGAGAGGATCTGTTATCTGTTTAATAATTTTTACTCCCAAATTGGCATCTAGTTCGGTTGTTCTCTCTACCAATCTGCAGATAGCGTTGTACCTAAAACCAGAGATTCGTGTTTAAAATTATGAAGAATCAACGATATTATCAGGACTGGGGTCCATACTAATTTTATCAAACGAATGAATTTCCATAATTTACTGATTTTGCAGGATACAGTTTAAAAACTATTCATTTCAGTAAAAATTTTTTTGCAATAACTCTTAAGTAACTTAAAATTTCTTCAATTTGCATTGTTTATACAATTCTTATAGCTATGGGAACATTTTCGTATAGAAGGGTGCATATCCCTAAATTTCATAAACTAAATATTTTATGGGTCATATTTTGGAGAAATACTGTCGAAAAATTCCACCTTCAAACTAAGAAAACTGTCGTATTGACGGATTGTAAGCGGTCAAGTTACTTGTTAAACATTTTTTTCTATTGGCTCCAAAAGTGCCTGTGTAATCAGCGAGATCTGGAATTTTGTTTCGTTACACCACATTCAACCATATTTAATAGCACTTCAAAATTTTTTAGAGTCATTTTTCTAACCTTTCAATGTGACGAGTATAAAACCTAGTCTATTATTCCAACTACGTACCTAGAACTGTGTTTATTCGCTCTTGCAAGAGGGTTTCAACGTTCCCCATTTTTAAAGTCGCGTCTCTATTCTTTCTCTATGAAAAATGATTTTCTGCATCCAGTTTTTTACAATTTTTTCTTACCAATGGGACTTTTAAGTCGGCATATTGTTGAATATTTCTAGTCATATTTTTGCAACTCCGAATGTTGAGTTATTGTTGAGTTGAGTAATTTGTTAAATAAACTATTGTCTGAAAGCTCTGTCAATGCAATAAAAATTAAAACAATACCAAAAAACGTAAAATTAAAAAAATATATATATGATACCGTATAAAATATAATTTGCCAAGAATAAATATATTTGGTTGGTATTTATTATGAAACATCTTCATCGTCATTCACCTACATTAATAACAAATTTTTCCCGGTATTATTTTATTGTATTTTCTGTATGTGTTATACAACTGATCCAATGTTCTTTGATAATTGACTGGAGAGCGGTCTTCAAAACATGTACTACTACAGTATCATCGTGCTTTGCCTCATTTGCAATATTTTTATTAAAAAATATTTTGCACTGAGCCCACACCAATTCTAACCACAATTTTTAACCACTCACATTTCTGGGTAATTAGCAAGCTTACTGCACAGCCAACTGATAATCTCTTCTTTTCTTGTCGATGCATTTGGTACATAATAATTAAAGACGGGCTTTCGAGTTTTGGCAGCAGTTTTTCAAAAATGCCATCCTGTTTTGTGGTGGAAACTTCTGTAATTATCCGGTAATTGGTGTTTTCCCTGTCGAGTGTTTTGCCACTCTTAGTATTTTTAGTAGAAGCCGGCAAAATACTGAGCCACTTTCTTTTTTGGTGTTATGACCGACTATGCCATCGCAAATCGTACCGACTATGTAATTCTAATTTTAAATACAAGTGGGTCTACCTATTCGTCGGCCTGACGCCCTTGAGAATCATCATAGGTATATTCAGCCAACGATAAACCGTCATGACGTGCCTTGTCTATCATAAATGGAAGGCCCTTTGCCCTCAATAAACCAATAAAAAACCGCGTTGACAGTTTCAATCAAGCTCTGAAGAAGCCAACAGAATGACTGGCGAAACATTAGTTAATTCGAGTCAAGAAAAACCAACGCAGGAGGAATCCAGAAGTTTTATAAAAAGTATTAAAGTAGCCTGTGGAAGTTTCTTTGATAAATTAAAAGTGTCATTGTGTGTACTGTTTTACTCTACATAAAGGTAATATTTATATAATACTAATATACTTTTACCTTTAATATATCATTGCACATAATGTTTCTACGTATTTAACTTTGACATTGACTATAATATTCCTGACATAGCAAATGAAAAAATCAGCTATAAATTTATATTTTTTAATGCAACATTTGGCTACAAGTCTACCAAAAACTCTGAGGGCGTCGAAGAGGCCATCGGGAGGACAGTGATAATGATTCACTAGAAAGGAAGGAATGATGTGGCATAATGAAAGTGTTTAGGAATGGTGATGCAGAGTGGATTCGCAGGGAAGTGTATTAGATGTCTGAAAGTAATTAAATTGCATCACTTGAATCATTACAATAGAAATCCAAAATGTAAAAACTGACAAGCGTAGTTGCATTAAATAGAATCAACGATTGGTGGAATGGAAATAACAACATTTAAATCAAATTCATGAAATATATAATATTTAGACGAGATTTGGTTCGACACCAATGACACTATAAAAAAACGATAATGATCTAGAGAAATAAGAATATGAATTTTCTACTTTCATCGAAAAAGATTAAAGACTGCTCATTAGATTACCATCAGGACAAGCGAACTTTTTGAAAATTGGGTAAGAAATTCTCTTCTTCCAAATATTTCACCAGCCAGCGTAATAGTTTATGATAATGCTAGGTCATTAGAGCACTTTACCTTAGACAGCATGACCTTTATTTTGACAATTCCTATTCAGAAAAACAACTACTTGAAGATTTGAAAACTAAATACTATGATAAAACTTATTTCGTAGACGAGGTCATAAAAAAATCTGATAATATACTCCATAGATTACTACTTTTTCATTGCAATTTGAACTCTATAGAAATGACATGGGTCTAATTAAAAAATAAAGTTAGACGCAGAATATAAACCCAAAAGTGTCCGTCCATATATCTGATGTAATTAAAACTCGGTGTGAATTAATTCCAGAGAGCACTTGGGGAGAATCTGTTAATCATGTACTTGCAGTGGAAAATAATTATAAAAAAACTTGTAATAGTATATTATGTAATAAGTGCGGTAAACTTTTTTCTACTCCCGTCTGTAAAATACCTAATTACCCATCGATCTAGTGCGCGGGAAGCGTCACTTTACCGCGTCAGTTTCGTTTCCCACGAATCCGAGCCACTTCCGACATTTCCGGGATTTTACCGCACGGATTTGGGAGCAATTTTGACGTTTGTCAATTCTGACGGTCATGTCAGTGAATGTATTCGTGTTATTTTGCTAAAATGCACCCAAAAACTAACGGTCGTAGAAAAAGTATAGTATGCAACACGTTCGGTAAAATTTTGAACTAACTCGTTTATTAAAAACTCGCTCCGCTGGTGTCAAATAAACTCGTGAGTCAAATGCCGTTTACCGCACTTGTAGCATAATGTACTATTTTCTACTCCCGTCTGTAAAATACCTAATTGCACACCGATCTAACGTGCGGGACCACTTCAGTTTCGTTTCCCAAGGATCTGAACCACTTCGGACATTTCCGGGATTTTACCGCAAGGGTTTGGGAGCAATCGGATGTTTTCGGAGATATTTTCCACACCTTGAATTGTTGACGTATGTCAATTCTGACGGTCATGTCAATGAATGTATTCGTGTTGTTTTACAAAAATGTACCCAAAAACTAGCGGTCGTAGGAAAAGTATAGTATGCAACACGTTCGGTAAACTTTTTAAGTCACTCGTTTAAAAAACACTCGCTCCGCTCGTGTCAAATAAACCCGTGAATCAAATGCCGTTTACCGTACTTGTTGCATAATATACTATAATAGCATTATTACAGTCATGAACCACTCGTGCGCCGCACTATTTAATACGACTAAGTTTTGCAGTGCAATAATAATTGCATTTGCATTAAGAATCACCCGTTGGTACACACTCCTATATAGGAAAATCGGCTTTAGGAATACGACCGGTGATGGTTTAAATAATCCAATAACGCAACAGATTTCTCAATTAGATTCACAATTGACCAAACAATTGCCCTCATTTTAAACAATGAAAAATCATGGGTACCTCTCTGCGTCGTCCGATAAAAACAAGTTTTTGAAAACGCAAATTACTTTGGGCATATTAATGATATATTCAGTAAACCGGTATCGGAGTTTTGTATCGACAATTATTATAACGTCAATAATCCTAATCAAAACGAATTGTTTGTTTGTCTTTGTGGAATTTTTACACATCAGTTATTAAAAGTTTTACTCTATTGGCTTTGGTTGATGGAGTAAAATTATTCCATTTAATCCCTAAAATTCCTGCTCATATTAAACAATTGATTAATGTCCAACCAAATGAAAAAAAACACTTCTCCGCTTTTATGATAAAAATCCACGAGAATGGTGTGCTACTATGTGCCGGCGTAGAAAACGGAAACAAAAATAAAAAAAATCATACATTTTTTTTATTAGCTTTTTATTAGGTTTGGATGTGAGATTACAGGATTGATAAAGAATATTTTTTCTTCTTTATTACAGTATACAAGTGACCTGGTTAGACATTCATTTCCACTGAGAGGTAAGATAGAAGACTTTGTGCAAATCTACTTGAAGTATCAAATATACAAAGTGCCCCAATAGTGTCGACGGTTGATCTTTTACAAAGCCTCGATGATAGAAAAAAAATTAAATTATGTATACAGGAAGTTACCAACGGTTTATATATTTATATTTGTTTATTTATTTATTTTTGAGATATGTTTCGGGCAGTCCTTATTAATAAACCATATATAAAAACGCATGGCAGGTTTTAGAAACGGTTTAATATTTTGGCTTCGAGAGTCTATTATTTTGGCATTAGATAATACAAACTTGCAAATTCATCAAATATATAATTTAAAACAACGAAAAAAAAAACATTTGACACTCGTAATTATGAAAAGGTTTAATTCTAGAGTCCTGGTGGAATTTGCCTGCTATAGAAATTTTATTTCCGTGCTATTATGAAATGATCTATTGTATGTTTTCTTGGTTGATAACTAAGGCACCTTCGATTTTCTTATTCAAATTTAAGTTTATCCACTGATCACCAATTTAGACCCACTTATTACCTCGTTTCAAGTTTTTTTGTTAGGTCTGGTATCTAAATTTTAAAAAGAAGCAGTAGAACTGGTATTATTTCGTTCCAATGTTAAAGTAATTATGTTAATAACAGTTGACCCGAGCAGATCTACCCATACCCAATAATTACTACTTAAACTTAATAAATGCGTTGTAAAAAGAATACTTACATTTCCACGAAAACGAGCTAAAGGTTTTCATGGCGAATTCGAAATTAGTCATAAGAGATGGGGCATTATCAACAAAATCAGTAATTTTTTATTTCCGTAGAATCTAAAAAACTAATGCTATTCGGATGGTAATATGTAAAATATGCAAGATTGCCACTTTTATGTTGAAGCGGCAACACTGAAGGCCCGGATGTACAATTTAGGTATATTTGAAGTGATTTTGATCGAGTTAGGATTTGCTTGCAAAGAAAAATTCCGCCACATATTTAGTCCTACCTAAAACTAAAACTATTCAAAAAGAGTAATATGGGAGGTAAGTACCCAACAGCAGCAGTATGGATTAAATCCACGTAATTTCGGCACAAAGTAGCGTCAAATCAGAAAAAATCTTAGCACATATATTTTATGGTCAGTGCAAGTAATGGCGGAGTTCTATGAAAGGATAAAATGCTAAAACCGAGTAAGATCATCCACACATATTATGCAATTTCATTTACTTAAGATATTATACAGGGCAAATGCGAGAAATTTCTAGGATTCAGACACGACACAAAAAGTAAAATCACAAGTTCCTATATCTTTTCTTCTTTCCTGCCTAACCCACGGAGATATGAATTCTGAAAGGACGCCTCTGGAAATTAGTTTGTCTTTAAGAGTTTTTGAAGTACTTGAAATAATTCAATAAAAATTTAATATCACCAATAGTAGGGAGCCCTTAACCTTGAAACATATTTTGCTTGTTTAGTTTATCAGAGGTGAATTAAGTTATAAAAAAAAATTTGAGCCTTCAATTGGAAAAAATGAACTATTTGTGAGAAAAAAAACGAATTAAAATGTTATTTTTCTAATAAATTATTAACAAAAATATGAGCATTTTTTTTTAAGCAGTACCGGAAAGCAGTTTTGTTTTAATTATGTTAAGTGACTTTTTTTTCAATATAAAAATTTTTTTTGGGGTTCGTATCTACGTAGCAAAGACAGGAAGAAAAAAGTTTCGTTATTTGTCTGGAGACCAGGTATATATACTTACTGCGCTTTTGTCACTCGATCAGGACCATTAATTCGAGTTATTAAATCGGTAACTTTGGAAAACAGATCCGTTTCTATAATCCAATTTATTCCCGCGTCGTGCTCAATTAATGGCGCCATCAGGTTAAAATAACCAAATTTGATCGATACGTCAGCGTTTGATTTGGCATTTCGCCGAATTAAATTCAGCAGTGCTTTTAGCGTGTCCGGAAATTTTAGCCTCTCAAAGTAGAATTCATCCTTTGCCAAGATTGCAGTAATCTTTAATATGAGATTCAAGTCATTTAATGGAGGAATCGAAGTCTGCTGGCTCCAAATTTTAACGATCTGGACGATACAGCCCAAGCATTTCTCTTTATCCAGATTTGGATTATCGTTTTCCAGATCTGGAAAACAATTATTATTATGAGTAAGAAGTAGGATGTGAAGAAAATGAAAGAGATTTTAACTAAATTCTATTATTTTTATTAATTTATTTCGCTGACCATTAAACATCTCCATAGAAATTCAAATTCAAGAGCATCGCCATTCACAACAACATCGTCACACTCACAATACGAACACAAAATTAAAAATTGGACATTTGGACTTTTGCACATACAACACTGATTTAGCCCTCCTCAAACTGGACTACATTTTTCTAATCGTTTTTGAAGTTTTTACCACTTATTTAATTTTTTGATCTGGTTGCCAGAGCACCAAACTAATTCGTTGAGCATGGTATTAAAAAGTGGAACTCTGTTAAATGATATGGTGTGACATAAGAACAAATATATGCGAAAAAAGTGCATCGACAAGTAATAAAGGTCGCTTTCTACAGTATCGTGAAATACTTGAAAAATAATTGCAAATTGCTGTCGATAACCCAAGCAAGATTTCTTGCTCGAGGCTTGAAATGTTAACTTTTTGGGATTGTACGATATCTTGCGGCATGGTTTTTATATTATACAGGGCGTGTTACTTAACTTCTCGAGGAAGAGGGGGAATTCTCACCTAAATTTAGGACAAAAATGTGGGATAAAATTTGTTCGAATGTCCCTTCGTTTTTGAAATAGAGCGTTTCCTTTTTGTTATTAATTAGTGGCAAGTTATATTTGGTAAACATAATAAGGGGTTTTAACACTTTACCTTGCGTTCATTTTAGAGTTATAAATTGGTTCAGTGCCGGAGACCTGTGTAACGAGTATCATAATTGCGCAAAATAATTAATATTTTTATATTATCTAACGTAAACATTAATAAGCAAAATATGTTTTTCTACTCCAGTCTGTAAAATACCTAATTACCCACAGATCTAGCGTGCGAGAAGCGTCATTTTACCATGTCAGTTTCGTTTTCCACGGATCCGATCCACTTCGGACATTTCCGCGATATTATGGCACGGGTTTGCGAGCAATCGCATATTTCACCGCAATACTTGAATTTTGACGTTTGTCAATTGTGACGCTCATGTCAGCGAGTGTATTCGTATTGTTTTGCAAAAATGTACTCAAACTTACCGGTCGTAGAAAAGGTATAACAACACGTTTGGTAAACTTTATACATGAAACACAAATAAATACAAATAAACTCGTGCCTCAAATGCCGTTTACCACACTTGTTAAATATAGTATTCTTACTTTTTTTTTTCAAATTTTTGACAGTTTTACCATAAGGAATCATTTTTATATATAAGGTATATAATTAATAATTAACACTATTTTGATAATTTATTTTGGTACTCTAAGGATCTCCTCCAGTCAATTAATTGAAATTTTTAAAATGGACATGAAGTATAAGTGCTAAAACTCTTTATAATAAGATTTATTTGAAAGTAGCGTCATACTTTAAGCCGGTTAAGCAATGGCCAAAAGCTATCCAGCATGTTTGAGCAAAACATTGAAAAATACCGATAATTACCAGTTTTGAAAAAAGTCAAAGAAGAGAAAAAGTAACCAAAACTAAGACTCATTTAAAACTAATTAATAGTATATTGCTACATATACTTTTACAACAAACTGGGTAAAAACTAACCAGACGTGTTGCACACTATACTTTTTCTGTAACGGTTAGTTTTTGGATACATTTTTGCAAAACAATACGAATACTGACATGACCGTCAGATTTGACAAACGTCAAAATTCAAGCCGTGCGGTAATATCTCCGAAAACACCCGATTGCTCCCAAACTCGTGCGGAAATATCCCGAAAATGTCCGAAGTGGCTCGCAGACTTGGGAAACAAAATTGACGTGATAAATGACACTTTCCGCCCAGATTAGATCGGAGTATAATTAGATATCTTACATGAGAGAGTAGAAAAATATTTTTGTTTTTTTCAAAATCTAATCACTAACCACTCTTCACCGGTTTATCATTAATTATAGTTAACAAAACTGAATAGTAAGCATATTTTAATCATTTTTTCACAGTTTTTGTTTGTGTTTGTTTTAACTAATATTTTAAGCATATGATGATATTTGAATGCAAATTGAAATTTGAGAGTTGATTTGATTTGATTTGATTTTCAATTGACTAATTTATATAGAGAGCACATGAATCTCTACCCGTTGCTCATTATCCCCATCTACTAGTATGTATAAGATTTATAACTAAAAGACAGGTTTTTTCTATTATTTTCTATAAAAAAACTCTGGTAGCTATCAACTCCAGAAATTTTCACATCAATATAAGTTTAGTTACATAGTTACTTTCTTCTGCAAACTTGAGTAAGTACAATTATTTATATTTTAAAGAGTTTCATTAGTGAAAACACTTCCATTTCGTTTCATCAAAACTACTTAAAATATTATTTAGATAACTCAAAAATAAAAACGAAACTTTAATACCCACAAAAACGATAAAAACTATTGGGGGCCCATGATCGTAAACGTTTTCTGTTAAAATTCAGCACGAAATAATTCCTTAAAATCAAGCTACATACTTAGGTAACACCCTGGCATTTATTTATTACGAACCTGTTCTACCTAGGTCTTTAATAAACTTGTCCGCATCACTTTCACTATTAGTGGTCTCAGCTTTGAGCGCCAAAATCATTTCAAAAACTGCGTCCAATTCGGACTTTGGATTTTCGAAATCTTCTTTTAATTCCATTTTATTTAGGCAGAACTTTAACAAACATTTGGGGGAACTATAAGATGACGCGATAATAAAAACGTATAAAATAACAACGAACTCGTCTGATAACCATAAATGTGATAAACTGTTTCTGTCGTAATGAAACAATAATGATTCCGAAGCTTTCTCCCACTATAATTTCGGGACGAACTTGTTTATCGCTAGTGTTCAGTGCAGTGGCGTGCGGTGATATACTTTTTTTTTTGTTAATTACATTAATAAACCTTTTTTTTTTTGAGATAAATGATTTTGAAACTTCAAAGACTAAAGGAAAAGAAACAATAAAATATAGCGAATTGTAAAAAGTTACATGTATAGACATTAACCGATTAACATACAAAACAAAGAAAAATAATTTTCAAAAAATTTTTTAAATAAAATAAAAATGTATTCTCTTGGTTTAGTGGAAAAGTGGTCCAAGTCCATATGGAATAATTCTGTATGTGGTTACTCCGAGTTTTTATAATTATTTTATAATAAATTATTATTACTTTTATTTATTGTGTATTTTTATAATTTGTTTTATTATTAATGATCTAAAAAACAATCTAATTATCATTAGATTGTTTTTTAGTTAGGAATAGGGGTTTGTTTCTGATAAAATGGAACTACACTACTAGAGAGTTCTGTTTGGTTCCCCTCGAGCATTTCCTGGAATTTAGAAATAGTGACACGATAGACACAATCAGACTTCTTTTCGTAGGCGGAAATAAATTTGATGTACAAGGCAGATTTGTGCAGTAGTCTTGCAGAGGTTGATCTACCAACATTTTTATAGATTGTAACAGCAGATAGTTGAGTTTGGGGAAAGGAATTAGGACAGCATAAAGTTTTTGTGGTGCTGAATGTATGTTCTGTACATACTTTTTAGAAAATTTCTGGATTCCTCTTGCGTTGGTCTTTGCTGAGTAGAACTTGCTCACGTTTCGCCAATCATCCTATTGGCTTCTTCACGGATTGACTGAAACCAGCTTGCATCTTACTCTGTACCTTCTTATATATTGTTTGAGGGGGGCGGAGCCAAATGAGGGACATAAACACCGTCTCAGATGACTGATTCCCATATTGATGACAGGTACAGACCTGAGTCGCGGTTAAGATTCTTCGGTTGTTTATAGATTTTTTTAGACTCTCAGATTTTTCGTTGGTAGAACAATTGATTACACCCAAGAATTTTAGTTTAATCGATTAAAATTTGATGTCCGGTTTCGTGATTGTGTTCGGCAACTGCTTACTGCTTAGTTTATTTATCTTAGTCTTAAGGCTCTTTCATGTATTCTTTGCCGCATATGCATGGAATGCTCTAAACTCCTGGCACCTCAAATGGAATTTTGTCTTTGACAGACCGAAGATGTTGAGAGATTTTTGGACAAATGATAAATCTGGTTTTGACGTTATACTTCTTTATAACTTTTGATTTGTGGTCACTGTTTTGCATGTTATTGGAAGGTTGTGGAGAAGTGTATTTTTTTATGGAACGCTTAATATCTTTGATGTGGATATTATTAGAGAGAAGAGCAGAAGTAAGGAGTTTTAATTTTGGGTTCAGTGACTCGGGTTGAGATAGTTTTACGGCTCTGCAAAGAAGAGAGTTCATAACGGATGATTTTTGGGCAGGATGGTGATGTGACCGTGCATTAAGGTAGGTTTTCTATAAACACAATGATCCAATGTTAGGTCTGATTTCCTATTGATAAGAATATCTAAGAATGGAAGGTTATTATTAGTTTCCAACTCAATGGTAAAACGTATGTTAAGGTGTATAGAGTTTAAATGTCTAAGAACATCTACTAGGGTTTCTAGACCTTGAGGTTAAATAACAAAAGTGTCATCGACGTAGCGTTTCCATAATTTTGGTTTTAGATGAAAAGTGTCGAGAGCTTCCTTTTCAAAGGCTTCCATAAATATATTCGCTATAACTGGTGATAGTGGAGAACCCATAGCTGTTCCCAACGTTTGTTCAAAAGTTTGACTGTTATAAGAAAAATAGGTTCCAGACAAGAATTTTTCGATTAAGGTGAGAAGGTGTGGTTCTAGATTCTAGGATTTCAATATATATGAAATGATGTTGAGAGTTTCAGGAATAGAAACCTTGGATAATAGGGATTCTACGACGAAACTAACCAGAATATCTTCTGTAATGCTTTTTGATTATTCAATGAAGTGAAAGAATTAAGTTCCAAAACTATCAGTTTTCGCTGTAAGGGGTTTTAATAAGGCAGCCAGATTCTTTGCTAGAGAACCTATGCTCCTGACAATAGGTCTAAGGGGTAATCCTAGTTTGTGGATCTTTGGGAGTCCGCAGAGACGAAGAATTTTACAGCCTTAATAACAGATTTAAGGTTGCGATCCATAGATGACGTAGGATCTTTTTTAAGTTGACGAGATCCGTCTGTAAGAATATCTTGAATCTTTTCCTGATATTCATTTGTGTTCATGACCACCGTAACATTACGATATCTGGATTGGATTTTAGCGATTTTATGGCAATGCGTTCAGGCTTTGCAATATTAGATTTAGGAGGTTTTGATTTTTTACGGATTTTTGCGGTTTCAAATCGAATTTCATTAGCTGTTTGAAAGGGCAGTTTGTTCAGGATAGACTCGACATTTGAAATGATTTCCTCTTTCGGAATAATACGTGGGGCAAGGAGGAAGTTGGAACCTTTTGAAAGAACTAATTTTTCCGTCTCCGAAAGTTGGTGAGATGATACATTTAGTACAGTGTTTGGTAGTTGAGAAGAGTTTGATGGTTTCCCTAGTGTTGACGTAAGTTTTTCAAATTTCTGAACGTGATTTTGGATAGAAGATAAACGAAGATTTAAAGCTTTGTCATGAATCATGTTAGAAAGAGTATCGAATTCGGATGGGGAAAGGTGGAAGCAATTTCAGGGTGTAGAGACAGAAGAGCCTTATTAATTTGGTCTATTTCCTTACGGGTATGCTGAATTATTTCTCGAAATAAAGCGAAACTAGATTTTCGAAGAATTTTATATTCGGATGAGGGTTTGCTGAACACAATCACGAAACCGGACATAAAATTATATTCGATAAAAATAAAATTCTTGCAAAAATCCGAGGGTCTATTGAAATCTACAAACAACCTAACAATCTTAGCTGCGACTTATGTCTTTAGCTGTCACCACTATGGGAATCAATCATCCGAGACGGTATTTATGCCCCTCATTCAGCTCCGCCTGTCTCAAACAATATATAATCAGGTATAGAGTCAAATGCGAGCCTGTTTCAGTCAAGGTCTGAAGAAGCCAACAGGATGACTGGCAAAACGTCAGCAAGTTCGACTTAGCAAAACCGACGCAGGAGGAATCCAGAAGTTTTGTAAAAAGTATTACAGTAGCCTGTGGAAGTTTCTTTAAAAAATTATGTTCTGTACATTTGGCAGAGTGATAACAAAACTTCCAGGTTTCCACGGTTCGAGGATGCTGGTTACTTATCACTAACTCCTTGATCGATGCGAATCGCAAAATATTTCCTAAATTCTAACCTGTGAAATATCACATCATTGGTATATAGCTGATGAAAGTAAGCTGCCTCTTATAATAAACATTATTCGTCGCTATGTTCCACATGGGAAGAAAAATCCATTGTAATAGCTTCCATAGATAGATTCTGTTTAATTTTTTTCCTGGCATTTCGTTTCCTGGTGCGTTTAGTTTATGTAGTATACTTTGAGCTTCTAATCCATTAATTTATTGCAAAATATCTAACTTTTTTCCTTTTCAGTTATACCGTTCAGCCTTCTTTGCATCGATTTTACTTTGGCCATATGTTCATAGCACGTACTACACGTGTCCGCCCTAGGGTACCCGAAACTAATGTTCGTATTTTGGTAATGACTGGTAAGTTATCGGTTTAGTAGAATACTTTTCTCCGTACATGGAATATATCTTTTTAAGATTCAGAAAGATAAACTCGCAAACTTTTCTTCAAGCTGTAATGGGACTGCTTTGCTTTGAAAGATCTTATGTGATTACGCACACAACTACGTCAAGTTATAACTTATGGGGCCGTTTAGTATGTTTACTTCTCATATCTCTAGTCTTTCAATTCCCTTTAAAGATAGAAGCCGTCGGTTGGTAATTCCGCAATAAAATAAAAGTTTTTTCTATTCCCGTCTGTAAAATACCTAATTACACACCGATCTACCACCACGTCAGTTTCTTTTCCCACGGATCTAAGCCACTTCGAACATTTCCGGGATTTTACTGTACGGATTTGGGAGCAATCGGATGTTTTCGGAGATATTTCCCACGCTTTGACTTTTGACGTATGCCAATTCTAACGGTCAGTGAATGTATTTGTGTTGTTTTGCGAAAATGTACCCAAAAACTAACGGTCGTAGAAAAAGTATAGAAAAGGTATAGTATAGTTCGGTAAACTTTTTAAGTTATTCGTTTATTAAACACTTGCTCCGCTCGTGTCAAATAAACTCGTGAGTCAAATGCCGTTTACTGCACTTGTTGCATAATATACTATTTCTACTCCCGCCTGTCAAATACCTAATTACACACCGATCTAGCGTGCGGGAAATGTCATTTTACCACGTCAGTTTCGTTTCCCACGGATGTTTTTGAAGATATTTCCCACGCCTTGAATTTTGATGATTATCAATTTTGATGGTCATGTCAGTGAATGTATTCGTGTTGTTTTGCGAAAGTGTACCCAAAAACTAACGGTCGTGGAAAAAGTAAAGTATGCAACACGGTAGGTAAACTTTTTAAGTCACTCGTCAGTCAAATGCCGTTTACCGCACTTGTTGCATAATATTGGCACATTTCATACTCCTTCATCTTCTCATTCTAATATTTTATTCTTACTTTAAAAGTGAATTAATGCTGTTTGAGATTTGCAATCGCCTCATATTTCCTTGGGCTCCTTATTTGAATGTCTTTCACTCCAATTAACCAAACAAATAACTATGTTGATCGTTTTTGTCTTTTAACGTGTAAATATATGAAATAAGTTCTTATCTTTTATCAATCAATTGAAAACAACCGAATTTTTTGCAACTACATGGTTCTCCGGTTTCGGACGTATTGTTTCTAACAAACTAAATAAACTAAAATAACATGGTTATCCCAATTTCCATTCTTTTGGATTCCGATCGTTTTTTCCCTGTGTTCTTCAAATTGGTTGGGTGGAGACACAGACTTTTTTATAAAAACTTGCTTCATCATTAGTAAACTTAATGCCGATAACTGTTCATTATGTGGAAACCTTCAAGATCAATTAAATTAGGAGTGTATATGTATGCGTGGAAACTTTTTTGAGTTTTGGGTTGACTTTATTGACAAGTGCATGTTGTAACAATAATATTATAAAACAAGGGTAATAAACGTTTATTAATCACTCGCTCCGCTGCGCTTCGCTCGTGCCAAATAAACTCGTGACTCAAAAAGTTTGCCTAACGTGTTGCATACTATACATTTTCGACGATAGCTAAGTTTGGATACCTGGCCGTCATAATTGACAGACGTCAAAATTCAAGCAGTGCGATAATATCTGCGAAAAAGTAACATAACATAACGGAAACTTCTGTATAATTAGGTATTGTACAGTAGAAAAGTAGAGTAGGAGTAGAAAAATGCCTTTAATGCTTCTTCTGTTTGGAACAATGTATTCCTTTCACCTAAATTTAATCAACAACTATAGCAGCTTTGTTGTTCGAATGAATGAAACTTGATCTAAACTGGAATGGCACCAGCGTGATAGAAAAGTAAGCAAAACTTTACAATAGAGAGGCTAGTTAATAGGGATTCTTATCTCTTGCTCATTGATCTATTTGTTTAATTGTTGTTGTTAATTCAATATTTACTATTTATAATAATACAACTTCTTAAAAATATACACCTAAATTCAAAATATTTAAACTTTTCGAATTAAAAAAATTGTTTCTAAATAGCAGTTTTCAGGAACTTTATATCAAAAAATATCTAATAACATATGCGTAAACTTTATCAATTGTAACCAATACTCGCGCGGCCATCTATCCGCCTGTGGACAAATTAGCCAACACTCCATTGAAGGAGATTCGTATGGCCCCGCCAGAGTGAGCCACTATATAACAAAATAAAGCAACAAGAGGATGTTTGCCCTTGTCGGGAATAAAAAGACGGTTGTTGGCCACTGATTTACGCCCGGCGTTAATTTTGCGTTTATGGATATTTGTACCCCATATATTTAAATTGTTTTTCCATTTCCTTTTGTAAAATACCTTATTATATCTAGCATGCCCGAAGTGTCAATGTATACTCCAGTCATAGAGGTTGAAATTCTTTTTATACAATCGTATGAATATGTTTTATTTATATTATAACTCTATGAGTTAGTATTTATTTATCAAAAAAAAAATGTAAGATTTTCGAAATGTGCAGTAGGTAAATCGCTTTACTTGTTTTGTTACTCCTACGTAGCTATTTAAGTGTACCTTGTAGTTTCTTAAATCAATCGAGTATTTTTAAGATCCCATTAGGCCCACATAATTGCCACACTTGCGGTAATTTCCTGAAGGAGCAAGTATTGAAAATTGAAAGCACAAACTATACAAGTTTAAGAGTGGGAGTCCTATAGAAACCAGTTTTAAATCTTTTAAATTAACTTTTACATAAGGCAACACTTACCCGTATCAAGTCAATTTTTTCAGAAAAATTACGGCAATGTGGCAACTCAGTTAATTGAGGGTGACGCATGCGCAAAAGATCCAGACCTTCTCTACAAAAATATCATAGCCACCTGCGGCGCATCCCTTTGTACTGTGGTAAGGCCACTATATTTTCTTGTGCTATATGGCGCCTACTCATAACGTCGCCAACTTAAAAAAATGTTTCATGCGCTATTTTATTTTATTTGTGAAGTTCAGCCTTTTGGTGCTGTTATTTTGCGAAACAACTATCCAATCTAATCAAAACTAACCAAAAAAACTATCGTCTCTTGATTTGCCTTTCTCTTAAATAAAATTACTTTGGTCCCTTTTTCCAATAACTGACCAAATTCCATTATCTATGGGAAATATTCTCGAACACTATTTCATATTGTTCTTGTGGGGAGTACAGAATTTACCAAACTTTGTTTTTAGTTGTATTGCATTTAAAGGTAGAAATTGTAGAGAATGTAGTATAGCAGCTTGTGGAAAGTACAAAAGTTGTGTTAAATCTTATTTTTGTTTACATTGTGTGTAAATGTTGATACGCGATATTCGAATTCATAGTTTTTATTTGTGGTATACGGACATTGAGTCATACAAATGTATATACGTCGGTTATACAACAAAGGAATTTAATTTGTTATAACAGATTGGAATTTTGTAGATATTGCAACAAGTAATATTAGAAAAGTCCCCATCAAAATTATAAGAATAGGAACAGGAATGAAGAGAATATTTTGTGTTTTCGTTTATTGAAAATAATTTAAACTTGTTTAGGCTAGAAAATAAATAGTAAAAAATTTAGCAATAGAACCAAGTTGCTCTATTTTTTGTACTGTAACTATTTTGCAAAAATTTTTGCGGTCCCCTTTTTTTGGGTTATTTGGTGTAATAATAATTGGCTTTCAGATTGTCTGAATTAATTATGGATCACCCAATTTCTGCTAAAGAGAAACCTTTTTATGATAGTCAAGTAAATGTCAACCTGGAGTTTGTTGAATCCAAGTTAAAGTCATTGTCGAACTATAGAGAGGCACGAGAGATGCTTAAATTATTACAGTTAGAAAGTTGTGAGCAATTACATCCAGAATTTTGCTTCTGTTTATCTGCACTGTCTTGTTATTGTTATATTATGGATATCACAAGTAATAGTAAGAGTCAAGTTGAATCCAGTGAAGAGCATGAAGCAGTTAAGGAGCTTTCATTTTTGGTGGAAGCATATCCCCAAAGATATATAGTTCTGCTCCTACGTGTTCTTTATGCATACAAAAATGAGAGGTAGGTCGTCAGTTTGCTTTTTAGGGAATTATATTTAGATTGAAATTGTTGTTATTCTAGAATTATGTATTTTCCCTTTTTATAATTTTAGGTGGAGTGAAGCATTATACTACTGTGAAAAACTTTTAGAATTTCAGGTTGTATCAGAAGAGGAGATCAAATACAGGTCTTGCGAATATTTTAAAAAGTGCTTTAATTTTGTTCCAGAATTTGATTTCAATTATTGTCATAATTTGCTCACAAGGATACAAAGGGGTGCCACGTCTGGGTAGATATCAACACTCTGTATTATTTCTTAGAAACTGGCAGCAGTAATTTTTTAGTCAAATAGAGAAATTGGCAGAGCTGCATCTTTTTAAAAATTGCAATTATGTTTGGTATGGTTTGGACTGGTCGAAGCTGTGGAACAAGGAATTAAATGATCGTCTGATAAATAGAATACAAAGTTACAAAAAGCCACTGACAGATCTAGAACTGCATAAAATTTTTCACAAAGAGATTTTATCAGTTTTTATCCATCCTGATTCAAATTTGCAATTTTACTATAAACCAGAGTATGTAAAATTATGTGACGATTGCACCAAAGTGTCTCTGCAAGAAAAGGCCTTAAAGGAAGTTTTTACATTTGTAAAAACTCAGCCCATAAATGATTCTGAGGTATAATTAAAATCATTTTTATTGTTATGGTTGAAATGGATAGTAAGGAATGGATACCATTTATTTTTAGATGAAAAGATTCAAAATGTCACTGAAGGGGAAAGGCAAAGGATGTTTTAGTGTACAACATAATGACCACAAACCTATGATAAAAGTAAGAAATGTTTCTTAATTTAACTGTTTTTCTTTTACTTTACTTCTAAGAATGTTTATTGTTTTATTCTATTTATTTTAAAATTTCTTATTGATTTTGTTATTTGTATAATCAGAAAAAAAATTGTCAAAACTTTTTTAATTGAAAACGTTAAACATTTTCTGCTTTTTATTTCTCTTAATTGTTACAAAATAAACAGAGAATGATTGACTTAATTGCTGTCAATAAAAATAATTTAGGTGGGAGTGTTAAGTGGTACTCAGAAAGTGGAACAGAAAAATCGAATGTTTCAAACTGTGATTGAGGCAAAACATATTGGAGAAGGGTTCAATACTCAAGATTGCAAGGAAAAGGTAAGCAGCTACCTATGGTGCACTTTTTAATTAGTACTTCAATTCAATTTTTGATTTAATTTTTCTTAATTAAAATGTTTTCTATACTTTAGGTGCATAAACAAACTCAAACTGAAAAACTGAGGCAGACAAGTAAAATCGTTCAGACTCAAATTGAGACAACACATATTGGAGTGCAATTCGACAGTCCAATATCCATAGAAAGAGTAAGCAATATTTAAGTTCTACGACAAGAAAATACAAATTAGGGTATACTTTGTAACTAGTATTTCTAGTGCTTTATTGATTTTCAGGATGAAAAACTAGATTCAATAAAAATTGAAATTTTGCAAAGCAATAAAAATTTTGGGAGTTCTGTGGTTGATCATCTATATGAAATACATAAAAATATGACTGAAGTCGTGTCTCAGGCAACTACCAACAAACTTGAAAGTAAATCATTGGAGTAAGTCAAATTTTAGTTAAGAACTATGTGACCTTTTTAAATGATTACATTAAATTAACTACTTCACAAAAAAAATTACCGATATTTTCTTTTATCATTCAGTGAAGCATTGCCATTTTTTCTCTCTACTGCTTGGATAACACCCACCAAAGTGAAAAACAGCAAGAAATATCCACAATATCTAGGCCACTCCTAATTGTTGGAAGATTTTTTTTTGAATAGTTTGCTTTCTTGCAAATGTCGTCCTTATTTTACATTATGTTTGACATCCATTTTAAAGGCATATTGTGGGCCAAATGAACGACCAAGCCAATGTTATCAAAGAGCTGCAGACCGAAAACAAATTACTGTTAGAAAAAAATTTCAAATTGCAAAAATTGTTGGTAGATGAAGTGTCAAATAGATATATTGTTTTGAAGGATAATTACGCAGGGTAAGTTGGTTTTGTATAAATAAAAATATTGCAATAAGGAATAACTTGGACAAAATCATCGCGACACATTCATACTTTTGTACATATGAATGTGTCTCAAGTAAGAAACTTCAGAAACTTATTATTTACTTGGGTTCGTCAATACATGAATCCAAAAGTTCTGTACTCTGAAGTTCTTGATACCTAATATAATATCTTTCTATGTTTTTTCCACGAAAAAGGTTGTTTTCTAACTCAGACATAAGGGGGAAACTTTAACAAATCTAGCCATTTTCTTAACAAATATTTGTTTTAAATATTAGGAAATACATGTTGGGGTGTTATTATGGAAAAATATATTGGGGGAAATCCGGAATGTACAAGAATTTACTTTTCTATTCTCAGAAGCCGTTTTTTGACGGTCCTTTCAATGACAATCAGTTTTCATGCTTATTATCTCAAAATCAAATCATTCATTTTGCTTTTTGAATGGAAGGTAACATACTTTTAGTAATATGTTTTTAGACTAAAAAAAACTGCAGAATTTATGATAAGCAATCTGGAAGAACTTCAAACGATGCTTGGTCCATATTCGATTCCAGAACACTCAAACAATGCGAGATACATAGCTTGTTGGCAAAGAACTTTGACAGATATAATAACTAAGAGTACAGCTATAAATGTAATTACATACTTAGTATAGTAGGTTTAATATTTTTTAAAAATTCAATGCACTAGATGTGGTTAAGGTTGTTAATGTTAAACTTTAGGTTATCTACAACAAAGTTAAATCAGATATCATGGATTTGAACGAGTATAAATTAGTTCAATGGCCGCAAGCGACTGAAATTCCACCAGAAGCATATTTATATATCTTTAATTATTTAAAAGAAGGAATTAAATATCAGAATTATATTGGTTCCTTTCCTAGGTAATGTTGGCGTTTTGATGTTGGTTTGATGGCAAATTGTAAATATTCTGTCTTAAATTTTTTTCAGTGTAGTTCCTTTGCCACATTGCCAGCAGGTATTTTTTGATAGACATCAGTCTGCTCCTTTGTTACCTGGTATGTATCTCTTTTTATGTTTACAAAAAACAAATATGACATACATGCAGTTTTGTGGAAAATGAAATTGAATCCCTGGGTTTCAGGTCAAAATCGGCCTTTACCTACACCATTTGTTCCAACACATTCAAGTTTCTCAAATATTACACCTCTTCAGTTTTGGAACCAACCAAGAGTGAATTTGATTGGTCAAAATATAACATGTCAAAGTATAGTCCAGCCCAAGAGGCATGAAGATAAAAAGAGTGGGACTACGGAAACAAATACAAAGAATTTGAAGGCTGCTAATAGCTTGAGTTTTGAGTGGTCCGAAAACATAGACTCTGGTGAATGCGATATTTATGTGAAAGAAATGGTGTGTCGTAATTCTATTGTTATTTAAGTAGTAATGGTTTTCTTGTAGGAAATATTTGAATCTCTGCAAAAACACTTTAAAGATGTGCCCATGAATATACTATTAAATTCAATTGTGAAAGCTTTACGAAAATGTGATGGATCATTCGAGAATATGTCCTTGGTAGAAATTCAGGACAAAGTGTAAGTACTGCAGAAGTTACTGTGATTAAGTACAGTATTGCCTTTTGTGTGAGGCTTTTTAGTAACTGCATACAAATTGTAGGAAAGATGCTTCAAAATAACCATACCAAAGACTTTTGTGATATCTAATTATAAATTCAATAGTAAGCAGTAAGAAGTTTTATATTGCATGATCATAATATTTTACTTTTAGTGTAAGTTTAATGTTTGTTTTTTTTAAGGTATAATAATACATTTTTCTTTATAAGTTATATTTTTGGTTGGAAAACCTGCCCCTCTTTAAATACTATTCTATATACGTAAGGCACCTCAAATTCTCAATATGTGGTAGGAATCGGTTTGAAATTACAAAGTTGTCAATTATGGACATGATGAAAAATATTTATTAGGTGCACTCAACCGGCGCTTGCGCCAGATTTAAAATCTCGTTTTTAAGGAATGATCTTGTGGCATTCAACAACCAACGTGGCCGCTGACATATCGGCAATAAGTTTGCGGCATTTTTATGGCAGTATTTTCTCATTTCTCATATGCCTAGATCAAGTTAAATATTCTGGCAAAAGCGTGCGGGAATCGCCCCTAAGAAAGTATATGGTGCAAAGTGCAGGTTACTAGGTGGAATGTGGAAGCCATGCGTGGAAAATAATTACTTTTTCTACAAAAATATCAATGCCCTCTGCAGCGCATCAATTTTAACCGTAGTGGAGCCACTGTATTATCTAATAGCTATTGTTATAATAAGAAAGGTTTAGTTTTTACATTAGATTCACAGTGTAGTAAAAGTTCTGGAGTTCCTATTAAAAAAAAAAGGATGTTGTAATTGCTTGGGCGGAAACACTGATTTTTGGGTTTATACCACCTTATCGTCTGCGTCTTGGCACTTGCAACGGGCAATTTGAAATTAAGTTTACAACTCTATATCATTGTACAGAATTTTATTGAAACATACAGAAAATAATCAAGAATCGATCTAGGTTTTCAATGTTTTGTCACTAGTTTGTTCAATATTAATTTTTGGAACCGGATCATTTGTTGAATCGGCCATATTGATTTTTTCTGCTATTTCTGCATATTTTTGGTTTCTATAAGCCTTCCTAGCTTCGTCTAATAGAACATTGTGAAGCAAATATCTATTGTTTGCATAATCAGTTATTAATGAGGGATACGGATTTCCCCTTAGTTCCAACACAGCTTTTAAATAGGAATGTTGTTGGTGATAGGGCCTTGGTGCTTTGATAAGTCTGGTGTAGGATATATCGTAGTTTTCGTATCTGGGTACAAGAACTTTAAATAATTTGTGAACTAGCTGTTTTTCTATAAGCCAGTAATCCGCATTTTCCATGGTACTTTTGTGGCAGTCACCATACCTTATAGCATCAGATATAAGCTAGAAAATAATAGTTAATAAGTTACAAAAACTTATCCTTCATTACTTACTCTCTCTGCATACATCCTAGCTTCGTTAGCCCGTGGGTAGTTAAGTTCAATTCTTTCATGTTTAATAAGTGCAGTTACGGTTTTCCTCAGTTTATTAAGCCTCTCTTCTGGACCCTTGGGGTTTCTAAACTTTCTCAATCTGGGATTAACTTTGATTTTTAACTGAGAAACTAACTTTGAGATTTCTGCTTGATTCATATTTTACACGATAGTATTGGTTATTTTAATTATTTATTAAGATATTTTAAAAGTTGTCGGGTTATGTGCAGATTGCTCATCTTTAAAGTTTCCGCTTTTTAAATCACAAAGAATTACCATTCTTGGGCGACTGATCTTAGAAATTTGGCCTACGCTTTTGAAAAGAAGAACAAGATTGGCACGGATTAAAATTTGAATTTCAACTTGGATCAGTACAGTTTTCTGAAATAATGGTTTTAAAATAGTATATTATGCAACAGGTGCGGTAAACGTCAAGTTTACCGAACGTGTTGCATATACTTTTTCTACGACTGTTAGTTTTTGTGTACATTTTCGCAAAACACGAATACATTCCCTGACATGACAGTCAGATTTGACAAACGTCAAAATTCAAAGCGTGGATATCTCCGAAAACATCCGATTGCTTCCAAACCCGTGCGGTTAAATCTAGGAAATGTCCGAAATGGCTCGGATTTGTGGGAACTGAAACTGACGTGGTAAAGTGACGCTTCCCGCACGCTTGATCGTTGGGTAATTAGGTATTTTACAGAGGGGAGTAGAAAAATTTAATTATTTTATGAACAAAGAGCCCAAAAAACATCTTTAGCAAGGAAATATTATTAACAGCAGTCGGGAATAATGATTGGGTAACCTAACATTCGCATTGACACGTTGGTGGACAACTGGTATAGGAAAAATAATATTTTGGCGCTTTTCAATAGACCACCAAGTAAATTTAAGAACGAATAAAATTTGGCAAGAATGTTTTTGTGCTTATTAAAGGAACTGGATTTCTTGGTGCATTTTTATAGTTAATTATTTTTATTATTTACAAGCACGACAATTATTTTGTAAAACTATACGATCAGAGCATTATTGACTTAAGTATTGCACGCCTTTATTAAACTGTAAATTTTAATTTTTTAAAAACTAGATTGTTAAGTCATTTAAATGCAACAAACTAGCAGAAAACATAACAGGTCTCAAAGTTTTTACGTACGATGAAATGAAATTATGTGATTCGACGAAGCTGTCCCATTTTTTAATGGGTCCAACTGTAGGGCGTGTATAAGTTGTGCCAATTGGTCAAACCACACCGAATATATTTTTGTCTGTTTCTGGTTTCGTTTTGGTTAGTCTGAGAATATGTAGTTAGCATTTTTCTTTAGAAACTGCAAACATAAAACTGAATCAACCTGAATGCTATTATTTTGGTATAGCTGAATAACAATAAAGTAGTTACAAGAAACGGAATGAGGGAGAGAGAGAGAGAGAGAGAGAGAGAGAGAGAGAGAGAGAGAGAGAGAGAGAGAGAGAGAGAGAGAAGAGAAAGAGAGAATATTCCAAAACCGACAAATCGTACAACATTCTTCATGCTTTGGTCTGAGTATTGTTGGTGGCCCGCCAAAAGGCGTTTATATTAAAGGAATGCTTCATACTCTCGTTTGTTTCCATCGATTTTCCTGCTACGGACTCTCAGTCCTGCTGATTCCCAGCGTGAGTTCGGTGTGTTTTGTGTATGATTGTGCGAGGACGGTTTGGGTACCAAATTTTCGCAGCATTTATGTGCAAGATCAATCTGTTTTTTAGTTTCGGGCGTGTTTTTGAATAAAATTTCTCAAGTTTAATTTTTTGGTTGTCGGATACGGTTTGGAAAAATGGTAGAATGACGACTACCACGACGGTAAGGAAATCCTACGGGAATCGAAAACTATATGTGTTCCCGGAAGACTATCCCGTAAGACCCCTGAAACAAAGGGGAAGTGCCATAAACAGTAATCTACCTAGAAAAATTGAGGACGTCTCAAAGTTACTTAAGTACATAGACGATAACATAGTTGGGAAAAATAATGCATTTTTGGGACCTTTTGGAAGAAGAAAAGGTAGGCCACTTAATTGAATTGAATTACGCATTCGAAATTCTCGAAAAATATGTCGGCATGAGTATAGCGAGGGGCAAAATATTCTGTAGGTTTGGCTAGTTTTGTTACCAAAAAGTTTAGTTATGTCTCGATGTGTTCCTAATATATGGGGGATATCTAATACTGTGGTTTTCACGGTAGCTTTGCTACAAATTTGCAAAAATTTGTTAATAAAGTTTGAACCTCGATGTGAACTTTCGGCAAAAGTCCATGCGTATAAATAAACTTCGAGTAGGTTTTGATAGTAGATTTAAACTCCTAAAAAGCTTTTAAGGAATTTTGCTTGTGATTTAAGAAAAAAATGAAGAGTGGGATTTTCTGGAAACGAATTTATCCTTTCCTTCTTAAACAATTTTTGAACGCGCCGTTTTGAGCAGAGTTGCCATGTTGTCTAAATCACAAATTATGAAATTCGATTTTTTATAGTATCTAAATATGGCTTCAAACGTTAGGTTCCGTCTTTAAAAATAAATTTTTGATATAAAATGTAACTTGTAACAAAGCCCAAGAACCGATAGGATAGCATAACGTTCAAAACGTTTTTCATAAAAAGTGGCTTTGAAAATATTTTTTTTAAGTTTTGAAAAAAATTTCAAACAAACGAGCTGGTACATTGCACTTTTCAGTATTTTTAAAGTGTTCCGAAAGGAAAAAAGGTAGGAAAAAATCAAAAGAACTCTTTAAAAAATCCAAAAGCATTCCGTAAAACTTATTTATATTTTTTAAATTCCCAAGACGGGAATCATCAAAATATACAATGTGAACAAAAGTCTCGTTCTAGTTTATCCGTTTCGAGTAACTGTAATTTTTCACCTGAGTTGTCGGTAAAAAATATTCCACTTCATGATCCAATAAAAATCGAAAAATAAAGAGCATAAACCAAATAATAGTTCCGGATGACCAATCATTTATTGGTGCCTTTATCTGTACCTCTCGTATATATCGTGCAATTTGTATCTAATATACGATGTGTTTTGTATTGTTTGTATTATCAAGCGTTTTTTTGCCAGAGTATATATTATTCATCAATTACACGTGTGCCTTATGTATGCAAAATTATTCCATTATTGTCGCATTTGATATGGTGACTAATATTCAAAGTAACGATACTATACCAAAAATCGACCAAATTGTTGTTGTTTTTGCCAATTAACACGCCTTATGTAACGTTATTATTTTCATGACGTAAATATTTATGTTTATATAAAATATAACGTTCATATTTCAACTCCTGGAGTATATGTATTGCAAATTCATCGATTTTTACTCTAGTCACAATCCAAGTGAATCCACCGAGCGACGATCTGATTTTATTAAAGACGCGCGTAAATATTTTGATACCGACCAGAAACGTGGTGTAAAGTTAGAATATTTTTTAAAATAGGTACGTGGCTGGTTAGTTCTAAGCAAATAAATTTTTCTGGGTTGTGAAAACACTGTTTACAAAACGGTGTTACCAGGCGGTCTATGCTGTCAGATAAGTAAATTGAGATTACAACATCTCATATGCGGGATCATTCATTATCAAAACACTGTGTCCGCTTTCCAGTTAGAAGCAGACCTCGCGAGATTATCTAAATCACGCTTCGCCATTTCAATTTGCAAATAACGACTCAAATGGATTTGTTTGGCTATAATATTATTTGCTGTTAGTTTGTCCGTTGTTGAATGTTTAGATTATTACGATTTATTTCAATTAACTAGCAAATTTCAAATTGTCAAAACATTGTCGTAAACTTTACTTTAAGTAAGTAAAGTAAGTAAAAAAAATAGTAAACGAAATAATTTTTTTTTTTATTTACATGAAGTCATGCCAAAATGTCAGAATAATATTTTATTACTCTTCTGGTATAGGCTAAGAATTTTTATAAAGAATACGTACATCGCGTGCCAAATAAACCGACTCACTATACGCTCTGCAAACCCATAGGAGGTATGAAAAAAGTTTCGTACAAAAGTTTCTTGGACTCTCCAAAAGCGTCCCACCCGACATTAACTTTGTTATTTTAAATGGAATACTCTATATATTTCAACATTTTTGTAATCCTTGGTTAAAATAAAACTCACTTTCTTAAAAAAATTCCTATTCGAATTTTGCATAGTTTTTTATCATATTTTGATTACCCCATATAAAATTGTGTTATGACGCTACTAATCCAGCTATTGCAACGAAAATTTAACCACAGACTGAGGAGATGATGCACTACTCAATCAGTTTCACAGAGGCGCCTCAGCTTATACAGGGTGTCCCAATTAGGTAGCGCCGTTTTGGCGAATTCAATTAACAAAATCTCAAGATTTTCAAATGGAAGACACCATATTTTTATTCAGATATCAATTCTAGGATAAAAAATCAGGTAAGTTCGTAATTTATATTATATTTACATTTTTTTTACTTTTTGAGATATTCGAGGTTTAAGATAACAATCAAGCTAGATAATTAACTTGTATTTAAATTTTAATTACTTTTTGAGATATTCGAGGTTTAAGATAACAACCGTATAAATTCTTAAGTCATTGTGACAATATTAGGCATTTTTTTAAATAGCAAAGACATTATCCTACTTTTTTAAAAAATATAATACATATATAGGAATAAAACCTATTGCTAACAATATATTAATATCTGCTGATTTTGAGAAAAATCGACTCTATACTACACATTTTAACAGGTTTAATAAAACTTCAGAATTCATATTTAAAGAAACATTTATTAGTTAATTATCTAGCTTGATTGTTATCTTAAACCTCGAATATCTCAAAAAGTAAAAAAAATGTAAATATAATATAAATTACAAATTTACCTGATTTTTTATCCTAGAATTGATATCTGAATAAAAATATGGTGTGTTCCATTTGAAAATCTTGAGATTTTGTTAATTGAATTCGCCAAAACGGCGCTACCTAATTGGGACACCCTGTATAAGCTGAGGCGCCTCTGTGAAACTGATTGAGTACTGCATCATCTCCATAGACTGTGATTAAATTTTCGTTGCAATACTTAGATCAGTAGGTATGGGGCAATCAACATATGAAAAAAAACACATAACTTCAATTTCTACCTAAACATTTCAATATTGGAATAGGAATTTCTTAGGAAAGTGACCTTTATTTTAATACAAAATGTCGATATATGCAGCGTGTTTCAACAACAAAATTATAATATTTTAAATCTTCAGTAGAGTCCAAGAAACTTTTGTACGAAACTTTTTTTCGTATCTCATGGGTTTCCAGATCGTATAGTGGGTCGTTTTATTTGGCACACGGTGTACATTCATTTTGCATTAAAGAATAACCGGTCGGTTCTTCTTTTTACTATGCACTGCTTTCCTTGCGACGGTTGGCGGTCCAAATGGCTATTGGGGTGCGGGAAACTGCAGCCCGAAATATTTCTATTGACGAGCGGTTAAACGACCTCCTGAGTCCTTTGACATTTTCCTATCGATATTTTCCTTTGTACTTTGTTTCTCTGTTTTATTGTGTCCAATAAATCGCGAGACTTGTGCATGCCATTTAGAACTTCAATATTGGTGATTTTTGTACCCATCAAACCCGCATTATTCTTCTGTATATATGCATCTCGAAAGCTTCTAACGTCTTTTCTGCTTGAGCATCGACTGTTCAGCTCTCGCATCCATGAAGCAAGGCAGAGCTCAAGACTTAAGTCGGATCTTATAAAAAGTGCTGCTCAGGAATGTTTTTTTCGCCTGCTCAATTCTCAACAACATTTATCCAGGTTACGCTATTCATATTGGCCCCCAGGTATTTTATTAAGTCTACTTGCTCCCATTAACATTTACCTACATCAATGGTCGTTTTCGAAAAGGCAAATGTTAGTTTTAGTCTGTTTCGGAATTCAAATTGACTTTCCTCTATTTGAAGTTCGCATTTCCTATAGATATATTTCCCGAACTATATATTTTGTTAAACAGTGACGTTATCAGTTCCAGACTCTTGCTTTCATTATCCGCTGTCAGTTTAAGTGTTTCTGCGTGGAGCAAAAAAAAGCTCTCGAATGATTTGTCGTACCCAAGTTCTTTTTTCTGCCTTGTTCAACTTCCATCCATTCTTCCATGAAAGTTTTGAGATATTGAAAGTCTGCACCATCCTTGTTCATAGGTTTCCCAAAGTTTTAAGTTTTTATGAGTCCCAACATTATGTGAAGTGGAGGCAGAAAAATTTTGTCATTTGGCGCTAAAGGTTCATGAGATATATTTTTGAGTCCAGGAATCAAGCTTTTTCTTTGTGATCAAGTTTGAACTTTGTAATGGTTTTCTTTTTCGCGGCTGTCCCACTCGCATATAATACTGGTAGGATACACCAGTATTATACCTTGTAATCCAGTAAGTATAGCGACAACTTTTAAATCAGCACAAATATTGAGAATTGAGAATATTTTATTTTTTCAAGTACCTCCAGATTTGCATAATTTTCTTTCATGTTTGTTGCATGTGCAACGGGCACTGATGGGTATTTATTACCATTATGGAGTGAAACGGCTTTCAAACTCATCTTTGAGGCAGCAATACAAAGTCTTCATTCATCAGAATTTTCTGGAAAACTAAGTTTTTGAAGAAGCCCAGCAGCATCATTACAATTTCCTAAATCATCTTCTTTCGACAAGTAACTCGTGAAATCTTCTTGTCTTGTGCCAAAATATCAGACTCTTGTACTTTTATCCCACAAATTCCATTGTTTTAATGTTCATCCGAATAATTGTGCTTTAGATTTTGATAGCCCGAAGTCTCTAACAAGATTATTTAACTCACATTGTTTAAAGACTTAAAGATCTAGATAAAGTGAATGAAGGTGAAAATGTACAGGCAGAAATAAAACTCGATTGAGATAGTAGACCGGAAGTATTTTATTCTCCATCTCTTCGTGTTGATGTCATGCAGAAATAACAATCATTTTCATGATTCTGAGATTCCCTCCAAAGCATTGGCAATGTAAATAGATTG